TCGTGATTCTTGAGGTACAATATCGTCTAAACCTTCTGACTGATTTGGATTCATTATAATGGTTACTATGTTACCAGTGCTTGCGTCTGGGATTGTGTCTCCGAAGAAAGCCTCGTCAGCTGATTTTCCCACACTCCTGGCAGCATCCCTCGCAAGCGCCTCCTTATACTCCTCGTCGGTAGCTTCTCGGAGTGTTTCTAAAACTGATGATGCGAGATCGACTTCTGGGTGTAGGAGTGGCTTCGGGTCTTCTTTCGGTTCCGTTGGCCTATTGAAAGTACAGAATTTTTAATTTTTTAATTGCAAGAAAATGAAGAAATTTGCTTTCCTACGCCACTTGTCCAGTAAATCAAAGTGTTTTTTTTTTTTTGTTAATTAACTTATCAAAAAAGTTTTTTTTATTGAGGAAACAAAATAAGGGCCTAAATATCTAAGATAATTTAAAATGGATAGTTAATGGAGAAAAAATTTGCCTTCTGGCTACTATACAACGTATCACACTCAATTATGTAATAATATCCTGGGTTTTAATGTGATGTGTATGTAAAACATAACTCAGCTAAGTTTGAAAAAAAACTTAATTTATTATTTGATACTCTGAAGTTATTTATTACTAACTAGTTCTTGCCAGCGGCTCCGTCTACAGTACCAGGGGCAAAAGTAGCCTGTGTCCAACCATCCAACATAATATTAGTAGGATGTCAAATGGGTACCACTAAAATACCACTACCACTGCAACTGCATCAGCGCTGCAACTCTGTGGCTGAGCAACTGGCTGCTATGCAATGTGTCGCGGGTTCGACTCTTTTGTGATCGACAAGTTATTGTTTCTGGTCTCGTGGGTGTACAATTGAACAAAAATTTCATCCACATCTAGACTATAAACAACAAACGAAAAGCGGCCAGTTGCTTCAGCCACTGTGCCAGTCATGGAGTAATATTATTATACCTTACCTCACAACATGCCCATCAGGACGCACTGCAGTTGGAAAGAAGACTGATGTGGCTCCCTCGGAGTCAGCGCTTCTACCCCGACACGGACAGTCGTCCATGTCTCTAGCACGGCTGTATGGACCATCGAAACTGGAGAAAGAAGGGCTCTGTGCTTCGAAACCCTGTCCAACTTGACCAGCTCCTGGACAAGGACAGCATTCACCGAAATCCAGTTGACGAGTTTGCCGAACATTCTCTTTATCTTCTAAAGGTTGTGATGATATCTGGAAATTGGCATTAACGTCATCAGCATCTATTCGATATGTTACTATTTCAGGATGCTTTTTCTTCTTTGAATTTATATTCACACTTTTTTGAGATTATGACCGTATTTTAATGTAAAATTATGCTTAGTCAAAGTTTTCACATCTTGCTAACCTTTTTAAAGAAAATGACTCCAAAAACTACTATTGTTAACCTAAAAATAATTATTGATCCTGATATTTCTGTTGTGTTAAGGTTCTTACCTAATCGAACTACTTTTGGAGATCAAATTTGAAGTGCAAAAAATGAAGGGTACCAAAGCATTTTATGGTGGGCCCTATAAAATCACTTAAACGAATAGTGACCTATAATGTTGTTGTGCAGAGTCTATTTCAGTGCAATTATGGAACCATTGTTAAACATATCAGTAAACCATTGCTACACCAATTTAATAAGGAGAGGTATGTAATTTTTTTATTAAATTTATTTAATGTTTTGTATTTAGATAGGCGAAAATGCCCAATATGTAGGTATACCTTAAACACTAACATGTATACGTTATATAATGTAAAACTTATTAAGTAATAAATGAAACCACCACTTCACTCTGCACTATGAGCAATAGAGCATACGACATTTTTTATAATTCTTTACAGTTTTAGGTCCACTATTTCTAAAAAAATGTTTGCTATATAAATACTTTGAATTGGTACACCTCCACTTCCTATAAATTTGCTGCATATCACCCATCACTCATCTCTGTACTACAAAAAGGATGACTGGCAGAAAATGCTTCTAGCATTAAGTCCTCCGATATGCAATTGTATATCTATGAATAAAATTTGGAGCGGTGGCTGGGTAATCGTTTGCATTATAAGTTCGTTTCCCGCACGGAACAACTCTTTGTGTGATCCACATTATATTATTCCGAGTCTGAGTGCGATGTGTATGTTAAATTGCAAGTTTTTTTAACTATACATACATATATAACACGTTAAAAAAAGACCAGACAAAAAAAACGTAAAAAAACACCAGACAAAAAATAAAAACTTACATGACTGTTGATTGTTAGGAGACAAGAAAACACTATCCACCACATTTTGGATGCTTACATGCCTTCGGAATGAGAGCTAAACCTTCAAACTTGCAGTTAATATTCTCCTAATTATCGGTAGATCTTGTAGATAACGGCTGTCGCATCGAGAAAGCGCGCGCGCGGCGCTGCCGCCATTTGAAAACGTGACCATTATGCACTTCTCAGCAGAAATTCTAATCATTATCGTAATAATATTATCTAGTTCTGTGGAACATTCACATAATTTTGTGATCTATTTCATGCTTAATCTTCAATATTTGAGATAATTAGTCTACCATAGATACGACAGGATCCTGCTACGGATGCTGTGGGTATCAATTTAACTTGTACGTGATATACCTATGTACCTAATGTGAAATTCTAAAAAGTTGTTAGGGTAACCAACCCATTATAAATGTAGTAAGTTATTCGTACTGAAAAAAAATTCAGGTAAGTACAACGGCTCCGACCTAGAACAGGAGGAGAAACGGGGATGTGTTTTTTGTAAATAAAAGTCTAATACCTCTCGTCCCACACAGGACGATGAGAATTCATTCGATAATTTTATTTCCCCTTTAAAAAATACTAATACTATAATAGATACCTAAATGTTTAACCAAGAGAGGAGGTCGCGGTCTTTAAGGTCAGGTCAGAGCAGGAGAAGTAGTTTGACACTCACACTTCACTTAGGGCGGGAGAAAAGAATAGGTAGATAATTCAAAAAAAGAAGGAAAGAACTAAGCACAGATTACATTTAAGTAAAGTCTTATTTTTTTATTGGTTTGTGTGATGTGAGACACAGGTACGCAGACAAGCAGCGTCTTAGACAAAACCTATATTTATTTAGGTTGGTATTACGCAGTATGAAGAAGATTGTGTGAGGTTCCCTGAATTTGGAAAAGTCTCCCGTCCCATATTGGTTAGACATTTGTATCATATTATGACGAATTACTATAAGTCTTCTTTTTTAAGTTACGAGTAGGTACATATCTACCTAAATAGTTTAATTATTAGTTTTTTTGTTTTTCTTTTTAAGTAGACATAATTATTATTTGCTTTTATGTGTGCGTACCAAGTAGGTACCTAGGTAAATGGTACAAACCACGGGTACACAAACACGTATTGAAATAATAAATGTATTTGGTTTGCAGAACTTGGACTTTTTCAATCTAAGACTTGATGTGACGTCATCAGTGAGTTTATTGGCGAATCTTCTATTATAATAAGTATTCGTACACTTTATTGTTAATAGAATACACCTCGCCCTGCGTATCCATGAATCCTCTATTTTGTAATGACGCAACATTATCAATCACCTCTCCCGCAGTGTCAATTCTGACTGACCATCACGGGTCTCAAGAAGCAAGCTAGCTATACTGGTTGCAAACTGACACTTGCGTGCCTATCTTCAGAACGGGTCCACTTAAACTGGTGTGGTTCTTTCCTCAAAAGACCACTGCAGAATAACCTTGCACGGTTCTCTCACATTATGTTATTTTACATTGTCTGGACTTGAAAAGAGACTGACCTCTGAGTTTGTTTCGGCATTTCTTCTTAGAGTAGTCAGATAGGAAATCAGCCGGCTTCATCTAGTTTTTCACATATAATTTGACGTGTAAAACTGCCGTTTTATGGCCTATTTGCAAAAATAAATTCATTGTTTCATTGTTTCAAGGGGAGCACTCGCCCGACCAGACCAGACCCAATCGTAAGGCATCTAACGTTTCACACACGCATCAAACAGCCAGGAGACCTCCACAGACTGATGATGGAAATGGGGCTGGGATTGCGGTTCAAGCACTTAGGTAATGTATCACGGCTTCGTCCTAGAGCAGAAGAAGAAATGGAATGGTTTTCAGTCGATAAGAGCCTGCTGAGGATTCAGAACAAGATTCATTGTTCAGTCTATTAAAATTTAATAAATTTATTTCTTTGTAAGTCATTTAAAAATGACCAGATGTAGATGTACTCTCCATTGATCATTGTATTATTGGTTGCGGGGCAAGCGTAATACCTAACATACCGCGGCCCCGGCCTGGAGCAGGAGAAGGAAAGGGATAGTTTTTATTCAATAAGAGCCTTAATAATAACAACAAGAGAGAAGTGGTGAGAGAAGTCATTTGATGATAATAAATACAATTAAGATAATAAATAAAACCCAAAAATAGATCATTATATTTATAAGTGGACCCTACACAACCATGAAATTCTAAAAAGACATTTTTGAAATGAGTTGATTAATATTTCGTTGAAGGTGGTTACTAAAATAAACAATGATCGTAAATACAGCAAAAAAACGGAATAAGAAAATAATTGGTATTTGGTATTATTTTGTAGCAAAGATTTTAATAGAGTCTAGGGGGAATTTGACTTTGTAGAATATCCAGTCTATGGTGTAACCATTGTCTATGATAATAATCGGCACGTTCCATGTAAAAAAATTATTATATCTTGAGTCATAATCATTTCTGAACTCATACAAAACTATCAAAGGAATGCTAAACAACTGACGTACAAATATGGGAACGTGATTCATAGACAAGTAGATAAACAACTAAAAAGATTGACAAGGCATAAACAATTCAAATATTTTAAAAAATTACGTTTGAAAGTCGTTGTGAAACGTTAACGATATTTTACCTATATTCCCAGTAAACAATTTTCAATTTGAATCCCCTATATTATATTGTAGTCTTTGATTTGAATTAAATACTAGTATTTAGTACACTGGATTACCAAATAACTAATCTGGTTTCCATTTGCCTTTATCGATGTGTCAATAACATCGAAAAAACATCAGTTTAGTTGATGTGGATTGTGGAAGTCGGCCACAAGTTTTGCTAGGAAGTTATAAAATTCCCTATTACAAAATGGATGATTTTCTAAAAATTGAGAAAATCGGTGAAGGTACTTATGGTGTTGTGTACAAAGGGAAAAACAAAATAACTGGGCAGTTTGTGGCCATGAAGAAAATTCGCTTGGAGTCTGAAGACGAAGGCATTCCTTCGACAGCCATCAGGTAGACGAACATTTTGCATTATTTCCTTCATTCAAAACATTAACAGCAAAAATTCAACCCTTTATTTGACCAAAACTTGCATGTTGCTACTGACAACATAACCTATAGCTCTTTTTTTATATTGGTAGGGAGATTTCGCTACTAAAAGAGCTGAACCACCCAAACATAGTGAAATTAGAAGATGTACTTATGGAGGAAAGCCGCCTGTATCTCATATTCGAGTTCCTCTCCATGGACTTGAAGAAATACATGGACTCTCTTGGATCGGGGAAAGTAAGTACCAAAGGTTTTTTCGGCATTTATTCTAGTTATAACTTTAAACGGCTTTGTAACTGGTTCTATAGGTATTCTATGTGGTCTTTCTCTTCCTAATTGACCATATTATATCATATTATCTATTTAAATGGGTAAAATATTTCAAATTATACAGTTACTTGGGATCAACATACAGTATCTTCACCAGATTCTAAGTCTGATATGAATACATAAGAAATAGTTTTAGTTTGCTTCTATCATATGACCCTTGTTTCCAGTTTATGGACCCAACAGTTGTGAAGAGCTACTTGTACCAGATCAACAATGCCATCCTCTACTGTCACCAGAGGAGGATCCTACATCGGGATCTCAAACCTCAGAACTTACTCATTGATAAGACTGGAATTATTAAGGTAAAGGATTTTAGAAGACTTTTTGGCCTCATGTATTTTAAAAGATATAAACAAAGATATAGTTCTTTTTAGTTTCCTTATCACATCCAATAAAATCCTTGGTTGATTATTTATTTACAAAAAAGCATGCTCCTTTATTATACACTGCAATTTTGTCTTCAGTCATATATAATCTGGCCCCGTTTTTAATTTAAGGTTTCACCTTTAACTTACAGTTGCAGATGATGTGTTAAGACACACAATTGTAGTTATTTAAAGAAACATTGCCCATTTCAGGTAGCTGACTTTGGTCTGGGGCGAGCCTTTGGAGTGCCAGTGCGTGTGTACACACATGAGGTGGTCACTCTCTGGTACAGAGCTCCTGAAGTCTTACTCGGCAGTCAGAGGTATGAATTGGTCAATGGCCTCATGATTATAATAAAAAAACATTGTGTCTATTTTTGTATGTAATGTAAGCTATGAATTGCATCTATATCCCAAAATTAGGTTTATTTTTACCCCACTTTAAAAAAGGAGGTTATATTGTTGTGTTTTCGAATATCTTAAAGTATGCGGGATGTTTTGTTTTGATATTTTGTATAGTTTTGCACTATACATGATCCCATGACACTAGATACTACAGTATTGATTGCACACAGCTGTTCTGTTATGTGAGTTAGAGACAGCTTTACCCTCAGGGTAAGACAATCAGGAAAGGTGTCAAATAAATTAATTAGAGAATATTTTGAATTTTGAATCCTGATTCTTGAATAATAATAATTTTTATTCACTTCCAGATATTCATGTCCAATAGACATGTGGTCAGTAGGCTGCATCTTCTCAGAGATGTCCTCAAAGAAACCTCTCTTCCAAGGAGATTCAGAGATTGATCAACTTTTCCGTATATTCAGGTACAGTGCCAAATAAAAGTATAATGAAAAATAACTAAGTATTATAAAAAATCATAATATAATTTTAAACACCATCAATTTTAATGCTACACAATTTATTTTATAGTGTCAATGATTCTGTTATTGTTTATTTATTAACATAATAATATAATTAAGTTTGTTTTTTAAAAATCCCATTTATCCTCTATAGAATGCTCCGTACTCCCACTGAAGATATCTGGCCGGGTGTGTCTTCACTGCCAGACTACAAGCCCACATTCCCCAACTGGACTTCATTCAACCTGCATAATCATGTAAGTCAAATATTTCAGATTTAGTAGCAGGCTTACATAAACACCTTTATCCGGTAACTAGGATCTAATAACTATGAGATTCATACATGCACATACTAATGGCATTGATGTAAAAAACTTCACATGTACTTAAATGGATTTATATTTCACTGACTAGATTTTTTTTTATGGTATAAGTCGGCAAACGAGCAGACGGATTACCTGATGGTAAGCAATCGGCGCCGCCCATGGACACCCGCAACACCAAAGAAGTTACGAGTGCGTTGCTGGCCTTTTGGGGATGGGCGTTGCGGATATAAGGATTGGGAAGGGATAGGGGAAGGGTAGGGATTGGGCCTCCGGTAACCTCACTCACACGGTGAAACACAACGCTGTGGGTTGTTTCACGTCGGTATTCTGTGAGGCCGTGGTATCACTCCGGTCGAGCCGACCCATTCGCGCCGAAGCTTGGCTCTCCCTCACTTATATTTTCTTGTACTTTCAGGTGCAAAACTTAGACGAAGTGGGTATGGACCTGCTGCAAAAGATGTTAGTGTATGACCCGGTGAAGCGCATCTCGGCGAAGGACGCACGCAGACACCGATACTTCCGCGACGTGAACCTCCCGCCCGGTCTCAAGCACCACTCCGCCTACATTCGCTACCAACCTGACTCCCAAGAAGATGAATGCAACGTCCAGAGCGTATAGTACATGATATATCGATAAGGACATCAGTTGCGCTTCACATGCGCTTCGCAGTCAGGTTGCGCAATAAATAGTGATGCGCAACATCCCAAAAGTCATATTTAATCTTGGATTCCAAATAATGTCTCCAAGTTAAAGTTAAATATATTCGGTATTGTGCATCGCTATGCCCATTAGCGACAGTTTGGACCATGTTTGCAGTCTACGATTGCTGAAGGCCCGTCTTAAAAAACAACAGATTTATTTATTTATCTTAATCATCTTCAGTGCATATTTATTAATTATATTTATTTTGTCTTAGTATTCATAAACTTTGCCATTCTATCATACCAAAGTCATAGACTGTTTTCTTCAGAAAGATTTCTTCTTCTACTTCTACACAGAACCCAATTGAAGAGTTTTGCGTAATAATTGTAGGTCACTTAAAATAGAATAATACATTGACAGGATAATCTGGCATCGCTCTTGTTTATTGTTTGGTTTTCTCTTCTTGCTCTCAGAAATGAGTTTCTTCTAAATAGTGCCAAAATACCCTAACTCTTATATTTAAATTTGTTGTAACTGACAGAAACTCGATTTGTCTGCGTAACGTGTATGAACGATTTGATTACTCAAATCGTGCCTGTGGTCAAAGAAATATATAAAAGCAATAAATAAGTTCGTTTCGATAAAATTACATGAAACATGTGGCCTTCAAATTGTATATCGTAATCGTAGTGTAAAAAAAATGTTAGCGGAATTATTTTGTAAGCGTCGTCGGCTAGGATTATTTGTAGTTTTATGTATTTTTATATGCATGGTATTGTGTCGCAGGGTCTTAAAGAGCGTGGTACGTCGTCTAGGAATTCGGACCTGACTGGTGTCTCAATTACACCCTGACTTAGTTCTCGAAGAAATTTAGATACCAATGAAACCAAACACTGATTTTCAAAATAAGTGTTTCGTTTACATCAAAAATGTGGTGTTTTCTCTTCTCTTGTCAAAAGTAGTTCTCAATTTGTCTTTTAAGGCTGAATTCCAGTGTTGTCTTAAATATTATTGTATTGTATGGTAGCCTCGTGCCGGTCTTGCGAGTTTTAGTTTTTATAATACAGTGGTCAAATCTGGAAACTTTAAACATGCGCAAATTACTGTAAATATCGCGATCTGAACTAGTGTGCCAAAAAATACAAGAACTTGGAACTTAGAACGTAACAATTTGGATTCATGATCACTGTATTGTTTTCAGCGACATTTTCCGGTATTTAATGCTCATCAAAATGTATATGGATGCCTAAACTACTTTTTGAAATCAGTTGAAATAGTCTTCGCTAAATGTTATCCTGGTGCTACTTAATAATAAAAAAAATGCTAGCTTGTCTATCCACAGATAAATACATATGTATCTGAAAGAGAAATAATTTTATTCTTTATCAAACTATGATAATATGATAAATTCGTGTTTATTTTGGTGAGCCATTAACCATGCCGATATATTATTATGAATAATGAATGAATTGCATTGATTTTAGGTATTGTCTTAATTATTGAAGTAATTAAATTTTAATAATAAGTTTTTATATTGACGTTTTATTTTTACCCACACTGAAAATGGCAAAAAAAAACAAATTAGTTTAGCGAAACCAACACTTTAATAAAAAACAGTTTTCTATTTACATTATTGCTATCCGTTCACAGTGAAATACATCTTATATACATTTAAATAATGTCTAAATTGCTATGTGTAGTTATAAAGTATACCTATTCTAGTATTGCTGAACCTAACGACTACGCGTCATACACAAATTCAAACATACAAATGTATAACTGCGGTATTATTATAATACTCAGGCACCAGTGCAATAAGACTTCAGATTTCTATATTAAGTAACTACTTATTACAACTATTGTTTATTAATTATTGACAGTAAAAAATGGAGTGTTTGGAATCTACGAATTTCATACTAAACATCTTAAAATTACTTTCCATAACAGACTAATTGATTTGTTTAAAGCTCTAAAATTATTATGTGTAGTCAAAACGAATTATATTAAAATTGCTACTTGGCTAACAATTCTTAAGGCTGGTTTACATTATACTATACTTATTGCTTAGACCATCAAGTCAATTTTGTATTGCTTAATTTATTGTAAGCAACAGCAAAAAACTAACAACAAATCACTCCATTATTTACTTCTTCTATTTACTCACTTGTACCAAACATTATGCTTTCTATTCTTAGGTGATGTCTATAGAGGTAAGGGGCACACTCCGTTTATGAAAGAGTCCGTTAAATATTTTAAATAATCGTCACAGAAACCAAACAAGGAGTATGAAAAAGACATGTAATAAAATAATATCTTTTATAAGATTTTAACATTTAAATAGTGATCGTGAGCCCTAGTTTAGCTCGAAACTAATGTAACAGAATTAGAAAAATATGGCATTTATTCAATGGAATTTGATGGAAACTTTCTAATCGAAAATTACTTTTTACATCAAATATCAAAAATCGATTTTAATACAAAGATTTTGAGATCGTCTATTTATGATCAGATCCCATTTATGCCAATTTGCTATTTACTGTAGTCATTATTCAACAGAACGCCCATTTTCTATAGTTATCCTTATTGAGCTTCACGTCCCTCCACACGATTCCCAGTAGGTAGAATGGTATAGGGGTAAGTTGATATATTTTGTATTTTCTTGTTATTTCGCATTTAGTTTTCATCACTAAATTGATTATGCCTAGCGAACAGTGATAATAAAAGTAATGAGGGGAAAAAAGCGCGAATGTAGCCCCATCACGACAAAATCAGACCATTATCTATTCTTGCAGGGAATTATACTCTGTCAATATTCCCGGTACGTGTTTAGTTGTATAGATCTTCAGTGGTGTATGGTGTAGACAGCGGGGTGGCCGGCGGAGGGCTGCGGCTGCAGGATGATGCGGTGCGTGACGCCGCCCAGCTCCTGCTGGGACAGGCCCGACACTGCCACCGTCGCCGGCTGTAACTGTGGCAGAATACATTCTATTATAAGTAGTCAATTTTATTTTGAACTTTTGTATTAAAAGTTGTAATAGAATCGTTTTAAAAATCTATTGAATTATCTAAAAAACCTCTATAAAGTAACTTTATGATGATTATCTGATAACTTGAAAAACAGTATGATTTTCAAATGAAGTAGCACTAAGTATCTATATCATAGTTAGATAGCCGGTATATAATAATATTAATCGTCAGCTAACATTGGTCTTTCCCCACATAGCATTTTAAAACGTTTTATACAACAACTAAAGATTTGCTTTTCTATTATTTAAGTTTTATTTGTTATATGGAACCGCTACTTTTGTGTACCTACTTTGACAGAAGCTCGGAAATTTAGTCAACTTAGTTAGTTATTTACATACCTGCAGTATGTTTGGCAGCATGGTCTGGCAGGACGATGTGGCCACGTGCAACTGTTGCTGCTGTACCTGCTGGACGCCCACCGCCTGCAAGAATGACATCAACATCACCAATAGCCCTTTAGACTCCAGTATTTGCCTATGAACTCTAGTCGCGCTTAACTATCTCCTGGAATCTAATCCAACTATAGATCTGTTTGCAGATGGATGGAAGGAAATTTTAATGGAATGCATGAGATTCTGAGAGAGGAACTCATAAATGTTGTTATTTTTTTATTCCTTAATGTATGTAATTGTATCAAGTCCTTATTAACATAAATAAATGGATTCTATCGAGGCTACCTAGATAATAATTGAACGTCACATAGTAAACTTACATGTATCTGTATGGGCTGGTGTTGTGGGTGTATCTGTATTGTTTGTACTTGAAGTTGCTGCGGCTGTTGCTGTAACAATACATATGCACCAGTTATTTACTCTGCGAACCTTCGAAACAGATATGAGATAAATAGATATGGCGCCCCAAATTGTTATCTTTTGACTTCAGGTCGCTACAGAAAAGGGCCTCACAAAATCTGTCTTGCCCACATTAAAATTAGGTCTTGGAAGTTGAATAGGTCTATGCTTTTACTTTTCTCTTATTTAAAAAAGCGCTAAGCAATATCTATTTACACAAACCAATAACACACACATAAGCCTACTTAACAACTTAGCACATATATAATTTGAAACGAGTAAAAAGGCAACATAAACTGCGTGAATAGAGTTAAAATTTCAATGACAACCACAGCTTTAATTGAGTTTCTCTTCGTTGAAATTTCAACCTTCCTAGAACACATTTAAGTAAAAATTTCTAATCTTAATTTTACCATGCCGTATTCTATAGGTACAGACCTAAGCATGCGATGTAAGGATATATTATTATATAGTAGGTACAAGGACAACACATAATGCGGTGTCATAATGGAACGCGGGTACGCGGTCACCGCTTAAATAAACAATCAAGGAGGTTGATGCTTTCTGAACACCTATGGGAAACTGGAATCGTAATAAAACTCGGAAAAAGAGTTTAACATGTTTTGAACGTATATCTAACTAGCTTCCGTCCGCGGCTTCATCATCATCATCATCAGTTCGTCATTAGTACCTACTTAGAATCTCAGTTAACTGCGCGACGTCCGCAGCGTCATGACGCGCTATTGTGCTCATGATTATAACCCCTAGAGTGGCTTGAAACTGGTTGAGCATCTCGCGAAAAGTTACATGAGTAAGCTGATAAAATAATAAGAATATAATATAAGATTACCAATGAAAAATATTTAATAAAAAATCATTTTCTTCATTGTCATGTATGCGCTAGATACGTACATTGCAGATAGATTTTAACAATCACAAATTGATCAATTTATATTTAATTAATTATATACGTATCTATCTAATCTTTATGCAACTTATTATTACCGTAAAACTCACTCAGACTCAATACATAGCCCCACAAAACTGCTTACGCAGTATAACTGTGAGATCATTAAGTATTTTTTGAAGAAAAATAAAATCATTCAATCATAATTCCGTACTGACTAAGCCACTAATCGTTTATGTAGAGAATTTATAACAGAGAACATCAAATTCCTTGAAAGTTTATTCGATGACCGTGTACTCCCGTTCCATTAAAACACTGATCTATATATACCGCGTTAACCTGCTGACTTTGCTGCAGTTGTAGAGACTGCACTGATGATATCACCGGGTACGGGTGCTGGGTCTGCAGCAAATGGAAATTTTAGTTTTATTCATAACTATAATTTTTCAAACGATTTTTTTTGCAGTTAGAAGTAGTTTTGACCAACATCGTTAGTTAAAAACACTTTCGACTGTGAAAATCAGTCAAATATGTTTTTAACTAAGAGCATCGGTCAAAAATACTTTTGACAATTTTTTTTTATGTAATCTGTCAGCAAACGAGCAGACGGATTACCTGATGGTAAGCAATCAGCGCCGCCCATGGACACCCGCAGCGGAGGAATTACGAGTGCGTTGCCGACCTTTTAGAGATTAGGGTATTGGGGATTTATTAAGTGTTTGGCGAGGGATCGGGGGAGGGGACAGATTGGGCCTCCGGTAACCTCACTCAAACAACGCTGTGGTTATTTCACGCCGGTTTTCTGTGAGGCCGTGGTATCGCTCCGGTCGACTTGTTTTACGGAAATTTTTGCTTGACGTTTCGGCAGGAAGGTTTTTTGTGTGGGGCAAATCGACAAATGGTTTCTCCCATCTAGAGCCGGGCGAAAAGGAGTGTCAGACTCTTCCTGACGTAAACCCCATCGTTCCTTCTCCTGCTCTAGGCCGGAGCCGCGTTGCGGCATTGAGCTTGCTTCTCGTTCTTGCTTCTTGTGTCGTTTGTAGTGGTCTAATGGTACCTACTTTGAGGAGGGTCGCTCGGAACACAACGCGCCGTACGCTCGAGTCTGGATCTAGTTTTACGTTCTTACGCGCTACCCTTACTCACCGTCCGCAGACCTGCGCTTACGACGGCCGAAGATCGTCGCGATCCCCGACGCCCAGAGTGTCGCCGACTGCAGCGGCTGGGGCGTGAGAAGAATAGCCCCCTTACGGCGGCTTCCCAATTCCTCTCGCTACATACCACGGCCTCGACTAAGGTCGAGCGCGAGACGTCGCTGCCACCGATCACTTTTCCTGAGAGCACTGCAGTGTTCAGCCCAAGGAGGCTACACCGCTATCCTATGCGCCACCGTGTCCTCTGACGATACTCGGTCGCTTCCTTCCGCCGGATTCGAAAACGGAACCTATCGAACCTGCCGTGCCCAGTGAGCACCTGTGTCAGACGGAAGGTGAGGACACAGGCACAGAGTGTGCGTGCGAGAGAGTAGAGTAGTGTGCGTGTACCTGTAGGGGCTGCACGATGCCCTGCGCGTGCAGCGCCAGCGGGGGCACGCCGCCCACCTGCAGCACCTGCTGCGCCGCCACCTGCTGCTGCACCTGCAACGCAGTGCATACAAATTGTTAGAAATAAATTTTTTTCCTCGCCAAATATGGATTGTCGGCTACCAGTAGCTACGAAGGGTTAGACTCTTACTAACTACAACCCCCCCCCCCCCCCCCCGTTCCTTCTCCTGCTCTGGGCCGAGGTCGCGGTGCCTCATTGCGCTTACCCCGCAACCCCGGCTGAACATCAGCCCTATAGGGCCCCGTCTGTGGTGGTCTAATGGCTCTTTGAGGCGCGCACGGAACGCTACGCGCCGTACGCTCGGGCCTGGTTCTAGTCGGGCGGCGAGCTACCCTTACTCGCCGTCCGCAGACCCGTGCTTGCGGTGGCCGGAGATCATCTCTCGATCCCTGACGCCCGGAGTGTCACATGTGACACAACACAAACTGATTCTAACTAAAATACGCAAGAAACGCAATCTGGCTGACCAACCTTCAAAATACAGGATGTCCTTTAGGGAGGAGGGAAATGATCAAACGACATTTCTCGCCTCAGGTATATCATTCAGGATATACTTGTCAGGTGAATTTAACAGAAATCTGTGACATGTTTGTTGGAGTCTGATAAAAATCTCACCTGTTGTTGCACCTGTTGCTGTACTTGTTGCTGAACTTGCTGTTGCACCTGTTGCTGGACCTGTTGTTGTACTTGGTGTTGTTGCACTTGATGTTGCTGCATCTGTTGTTGCTGGACTTGCACTTGTTGTTGCTGTTGTTGTTGTTGTTGTTGTTGCTGTTGCGGTTGCTGCATTAGAATGATTTGTTCGGCGTTTCGATTCATTTCCTGTAATTATTATTTAGCTTTAATATCCCATGAAGTAAAGTAACAATATTACTTTAAGAACATTTTATTGTCCATCCATTATTTTGTCATAGAGGTAATCAGTTGTGAGTACCAGTTTTGGTTCGCAAAATAGTAAGTAATAGCAGAGTCTAATTCTAAAAGGAGAATTCTTACGGAATTTTGGTAAAAGCAAAAATGGCGAAACTTTAAACTAATAAAAAAATGAGAGATGCCAAGGAACACCCGGATACAATTTTGACGATTCTTTGTTACATTTATCTGACTTAGAATTTTTATTATTTAATAAAATAATGTATTTTTTAAACTCTGTAAAAACAATCAACGACAGTAATCGTTGCGACACCACATTGTTCAATGCGAAATAGAAACACGAAACGAAAATACCTGGCTTGCTCTCTATGAAAGAGACAGACAGAGAAAGAGAGAGAGGAGAGAGAGAGATATCTATAAAGAAAGAGAGAGAGGGAGATAAAGAAAGAGATAGATAGAAAAGTGTCTTTTGAACTTTTCGTCATATTTTATCCCGTCCAGCCCTTTCGCTACGAGCGGTAAGGGGCCATCCACAAAGTATGTCACATTAATTTCATGATTTTTAGTTTGATTAATACCTACATATTATTAGATTTGCCAATGTGACGTCACAAAATTTAGGACCCCTCCCACCCCATGTCACACTGTCGACCCTCCCCCCTACCCCTCAGTACGTGTGACGTAAGTACTTTACGGATGACACCTAAGGAACTCGTTGCAGCATGCTACATACCTCCGAGTGCACGGCGGTGTGTTTCTTCAGGTTGTGTAGGTACATGTAGGTCTTGGGACAGAAGGCGCACTTGAACCGGAACAGCTTCTGCAGCGAGCGTCCCCGCGGCGTTACCTGCTGGGGCTCATGCACTTGGATCTCTACTTGACCTGGGAATATCGACAAAGTTTTTTTTGTAATTTATTTTTTACATTCGTGCAATAATGGCACTTAGATTTTTACCTTAAAAAACGAACATATGACATTATATAACATAAAACTTTTATCATTTCACTTTTATCCTATTCACATGCTTACTTACCTAAGCAGTTTTAAGAACAAAACGATTAGGTACTATATAAGGGCTGATTTTTCAATAGTCAGATAAATGTTATCTGAGGAATAAAATTGTTGCTGTCACTTTCTTATTCAAACATTTTGACGCGACAGCATCGTTATTATTCCATAGGTAACTTTTATCTAACCATTGAAAAATCAACCCTAAGAGTTTAAAAATAATACGTAGAATTAAAAAATTTACAATAATTTTGAACGTATTGATATTATGCAAAGAACGAACATTTTAGTGAGCTTAAAAAAAAAAATTAACATCTTCTTCATGTTTAAGGTTTAATTTTAGTCTTGATATATTCGTGAAAGTCCAAATAAGTTCAAAAAAGTTATGATAAGTTCATGAGTACCTTACTACCTACATTGTACGAAAATTGGCTACACAATATAACTTTCTTTACCATACAAACTATTCTAAAAGTATCATTTTGTGATAAGGAACAAAACTGTTTTTATTAAAGTTTGAGATGCATTGTTTTTATTGTTATTCACACAAAAATATTAATCTCTGGATTTGTTAATTAAATTTTATTGTTTAAAATCAGTGTGAAATTCAATAAAAGTTATTGTAAATACACTTACATTTCAAATAGAATGGTTATGCATGTACCTTGGTTTTGTTCCTCAGTAGACTCCTCAGCGATTGGAGGCGGTATATCAGCGGGGCGCTCCACGGCCGGCTCGGGGTGCTCCGGGGGCTCCGACGCGGACGAGGAGCTCTCCGACTTAGCGGCCGCCGCGCCGTGGGACTTCACATGTTTCTTGTATGAACTAGATTCTACGTAACCTGAATAGAGAAGTTGTTGTTAGCTATTGTGTATTTTTCTTGGTGCTTGGGTTAGTTTGTATGTAGATATTTTTATACCAGCAAAGAAACTCCGGTAATCGCTCAGTGCCGCCCATGGACACAAGGAGGAGTTACGAATGCGTTGTCAAGCTTTTAGGGATTAGGGTTTTCGAGAATTAGGATTCGGGGAGGGGAAGGATTGGTCCTCCGGTAACCTCTCACGCCGGTTTTCTGTGAGGCCGCGGTATCACTTCGGTCGAGTCGACCCATTCGTGCCGAAGCATGGCTCTCGCACACTTTAACTCTCGTTTGAAATATGAGACATAATAGAAAACACAGAGTGTCTCGCGCATATCTGCGCTGGCGCATTAAACCTGTTAATATTAGAAGATATTCACGTACCTTTCCCGCAGACAGGACAGTGGTACTTCTTTTCCCCGGTATGGTACCGGCGATGCACGGCGAGGTAGGAGGCCGAGCTGAACCTCTGTCCGCACTGGTCGCAGGGGAACAGTTTGTCCCCCGTGTGCTTGCTCGTGTGCACGCGGAGCTCCGACCGGGACGTGCAGCCCTTCATACATATTGTGCACACGAACCTACACAAACGGGGGCTTTATCAACGACCACGCTGGCTTAGGTGCTTTCCAAGAAATTACACTACTTATAAACAGACACGAGTTCCTACACATTGTTCAGCGGATATGGAGCAGGAGATGGAACGGGGGTTTTAAGTCTAGGTACTGGATTAACCGATTACTGAGAAAACAGATTTGCTTAGGATCTTTTTTTTCGCTAGAGTCTGACACTCTCTCTCTCTCGCCCCACCCAGGGCGGATTAAGTTATGTTTATTTTTCCCCGTAAGTAATAAAAATAATGCAGCAATGCTCTCTGATAAGTAAAAATCATTTAAACTGCAATATCTAACCCGTTTTGACAATTCTGTTTCAACTTCTCCAAAGTGCATAATTATGTGTATGGTGATCTAATATTGGCTAGCATGTTTTTCTCTCCAGATATCACTTAAAAGGATCTCTCGTCTTTTGGTCCAATATATTTTTTTTTAAGTGTCGATACTACATTTATTAATTTACTTCTAATAGTTGACTGTCCGCTTTTTCCAAATGCTGTAATTGGTCAAACTAACCATTTACAACATTGGCGCCATCTGGTGAGCAAAAACACAGTAACTTCCATTAAAATAAATGGTTCGAGTATTAACGTACTTCTTGTTTCCAGTATGTGTAAGCATGTGGTTGTTCCTGGCGGAGGATGTGGTGAACCTGGCGGAGCAGACCTTGCAGCAGTACGGCTTCTCCCCCGTGTGAGTCCGGCTGTGGTAGATCAGGGCAGACTTCTGCGCGAAACGACGGTCGCAGAACTGACACTCGTATGGCCTCTCTCCTGATGTATACACAGCATGTTAAATAATTTAAAAATGCTATTACAATTGGGTTTTATAGTACCGAGATTTATTATGAGTCTACCCTCAGAATTTTAAATTGTATAATTGAAACTATACCTTCCAGTAGGTATATTATTTAAGTACTATTCATTTGGCGATTTTTATATGCTACTCTCGCTCTCTCGCTAACTCAGCTTCAGACGGATCGGAGAGTGGTGTTTTAACCTAAACCCTTCTCGATAAATGGATTTGTAACACAAAAAGAATAGCTCAATTCCAACTAGTAATTCCAGAGATTAGCGCGTTTTTTTGTTTGCTTTATAATATTGGTAGATATAGTTTGACAAACTTAATAGCACGGGTTTAAAAACCTTAAACCTTGGTGGTTTTTGGTTGCTATTTGATTTAAATAGTTCTGTATTGTGTTTATCTTATAAAGGTTAAATAGACCCAGAATAGGATTTAATAGGTACTAGAACCCTATTCTAATTTTTATTTAATCACCTCTCCAATTCTAATAGCGTTACTGGACAAAATCTCTTTAATACATTGGACCGCGGTTATAACAGATACCTAATACTGTTAATAATTACAATATTACTTGATAACTCACCAGTATGGATCCTCATATGTGCGTTGAGCTTGGACACTTCATAGAAGCTTTTATTACATACATTGCACACGTGGTTCCGTATGCCGCGGTGCTTCTTCATGTGCTGGCACAGAGTCGAGTGACGCCGGAACGTCTTGTTGCACTCATTACACTTGAGGGGCTTCTCGCCCGTGTGCAAACGAAAATGAACCTTATCGACAAAGAAAATACAAAATAAATATCATCGCCTATTTCACTTATGTGGACAACATAATTTTGGTTTTATAGCGCTTAATTAAACGCCAAACGAAAATAACACAGGCCGTCACAAATTGTCAAAAATGACTTAAAAACAAACCTGAATGACACAAGACTTTAATGTTTACATAACAAATAAAAAATACGTTTAATACTCTACTTTAAACTATATATAATCAAATAACACGTGTATTATTGATATAATAAAGTGTAAACAAAATAATTATTAATATTTGACTTGGAAATCATCGAGTGACGAAGTGGTTTTTGAAGGACGTAGCTAAGGTCGCGATGGGTTTCGACTTTTACGGCATTTTAGGTGTGAAGCGAAACTGTAGCCAGTTGGAGGTGAAGCGAGCGTACCGTCGCCTGGCGCTCAAATACAATCCGGAGCGACATGACAACGACGAGAACATCCAACGAATCTTCGCCCTCATCGCTGAAGCTTATGAGATCCTCGTAAACAACAAGCTGCGTGCAGTCTACGATCAGTACGGCGAGGAGGGTCTCAAGCGCGGAGTACCCGGACCCACAGAGTTCTTGCAACCCTACGCCTACCACGGAGACCCAATGAGGACATACAACGAGTTCTTCGGCACTGCAAATCCTTACGCAGACTTGTTAGATTACTACGAAAATCCCCCGCCGATGTTCGAATCCCCCCTGGGCAAAGGGTATAAAGAAAAGGATACCACAATAGTGCGACCCCTCGCACTCACTTTGGAAGAGGTGTACAAAGGAGGGCTGAAGAAAATGAAGATCCAGAGACTGGTGTTTACAGATGAAACTTGTACAGAACTGAAACTGCGGGAGAAAGTTCTGTCTATACCGTTTAAGGCTGGCATTTATCCGAACACAGAGGTGCGGTTCAAGGAAGAGGGGGATCAAGGTCCGACGAGGATACCAGCCGACGTGGTCTTCATAACTGAGGACCGTCCACACGACACGTTCATCAGGTCGGGCCTCAGCGACCTGCTCTACATGCAGAACATAACGCTACAAGAGGCGCTGTGTGGGTTCATGGTAACTATAAACACGCTCGACGGTCGAATGTTAAGGATTAAAATAAGTGACGTAGTCACTCCTACCTACGAGAAAGTGATAGAGGACGAAGGCCTGCCACTTCCCTCTTGCCCGAACAAAGCAAAGGGCAATCTCATTCTAAGGTTCCACATCGATTTCCCGGAATATTTATCGAAGCGCAGTAAAAAAGCGTTCCAGGACGCGTTCAAAATAAAGGACGAAGAAGAAAAGAAGTTTGAAAAGTTATCGTGTGGCACATTGGACGAGTCGGCGGAATATTGAACATTTTTTGATAACAATACAAAATATACTTAATTTTGTTGCAATTTTCGAATATCTCTTTGCTGTCTTTTGGAATTATACTAACCTATCAATTAACCAGAAATCAAAACATCATATCATCAGCCTATAAGTGCCCACTGCTGAGCAAAGGCCTCTTTGAAACAAGGAGATGGATTGAACATGAATCACTACCACTCAAGGCGGGTTGGCGATTTCAAAATTATTATAAGAAATTATAAGTCCAGGTTTCCTCACGATGTTTTTCCTTCGCCGTATGTCAGTGGTCTCTAAATAATTATAAAAAGTACATATAACTCGGGAAAAGTTACATTGGTACTTGCCAGGTTTCAAAGCCGCATCCTCATGCATGAGAAGCGGGCGCCCTAACATATTATGGTTTAACACGACAAAAATATATTGTGTAAAATGTCCCTACGTTTTCCGTCCATCATCACTTACCTTCAAATCAGTAGGGTTGTAGAAGCTCTTGTTGCACGTGGTACACACGTAGGGCCGCTCCCCGCGATGTCGCGCCATGTGGGACCGCAGGGCGTACCCACTGAAGAACCGCTTGTCGCAGACAGAACACAGGTGGGTCTTCTGCTCGAAGTGAGTCTGCCGGTGCCGGTACAGCAACGTCTTGCTGGGGAACGTCCGCTGGCACACTGAACACGTTGGCTGCTTCGCTGGCCGCTGTTCGTGCGTACGCATGTGCATTTTCAACATACCCGGACCCTGTGATGAAGGGAATAGTTTAAGTGGTTCTGTACTTGTTTTTATTATTTAATATTGTTTTTGCGAACTCTACTATTTATTATGTCAGACTATTTTTGCCAACCCTACTATTATTTACTCATTCCTAGAATTTATATAATTGTCCCTTGGTCATGGCATAACGCGCAAACGACTAAATACTCAGGTCTAGAGAAGGTTCTTATTAGAGAAAAATTACTGTTGTAACCGCGACGATTTTATAGAAACAAATTATTGAAAACGAGGTAGGACACCATGAAGAGCAAAAGCTTAGTACATAATGATGTAGTAGTGTACATAAATGTTCAAATGGTGAAACCTACGTCCCTAGATGGTATAGGCGTGTTTTTAATAAGACTCACCTTAAAAACCCTATCACAAATCGGGCACAAATGTGGCTTTTTACAATTAGCTTTGATCCAGTTGGTGTGCGAGCGCATGTGTTGTTTGAGCCACCGAGCGTGCTTGAACTCCTTATGGCAGAGGTTGCAAACATGGCGCCCGGGAGGCATCGTGGCCGTCGCTTGAAACAAAACCATCTGAAGATAATTCTCTTCGTCTGAATTTAGACCTTCTTTGTCCTTTGCTTGATTCTCAGGCGAAGTTGTTTCTGCCTGTAATTGGATAAATATGGAATGACGAAAGAAACATTGCTACATTTATTAAAAATAACGATTTACTCACGAGAATTAGTTGAGAAAAACTCTAGTAGTTTCAAGTCACAACGGGGCTCTTATTCATAAGCAGCGTGTACTTATTGATGCGGCTGATATTTCAATAGTCAGATGAATGTAATCTGAGGATTGAAATTGTTGCTGTCGCTTTCTTATTCAAGATTCTGACGCGATAGCATCATAAATATTCCCCAGGCAACTTTTATTTAACCATTGAAAAATCAGCTCTATGTCGTTATTCTCAATATTTTTTTTATATCCAACGACAGTTACTAAGTATTTAAAAAGAGAATTGTTATTTATCACCACCATATTGAATATTTTTCCTCTTGTTTTCTATTAGGTACTTGTGGATTAATAACATGCGTGGTTGAGCACTATTTTTATTGAATTTTTCACTTTTGTCAGGTAGGTAGGTACTTACTTTTTCCACTTCAACGAATTCAATTTTCGTCTCCTGCTCTGGGGCATTTGTCGGCGTTTGTTCTGGCGTTCCGGCAAAGAAACCGTCCAGAATCTGGTTGGCATTCGTCAGCGGCACCTCCATATATTGCATGTACGTGTCCTGGCAGTTCATGTTCAGCAACTTTTCTTTCTATGGGAAGAATTATATTTATGATTGACATGTAGATACATAGACTTGTGATATTCTAATTACTGCAAAGTATAAAACTAAGTCACTTTGCCTGTCACTTTATCCCTATGTAAGTATGCTTAGACGGACGCAACGGATTTTGATGCTGTTTATTCAATGGATAGAGTGATTGAAAACGAACGTTAGGTATATGTATAAATAGCATGCATTAAATAGTAGAAACAATTTTGTATCAGCATTGTATCCGTGTGACGCCGGGGCAGGTCGCTAGATGTCGCTAGTAGTTATTATTAAGTAAGTATACAATATGGAATAATATCATCAACTTTTCTATTGTAAAATTACTCTAACTGTACCTAAATTAACTCTCTGGTACCTACGGTGAAATTTAAAACAAAACGAACGGAGTTGGCGCCGATTGCTTAGCGTTGTGTGATTCGTCAGGTTGTTTTCCGCTATAGTTTGCAACTAGTCAAATTCAATCCTTTTATTTAACCAAGTGTCAAAAACAGTACTCTTCTATGAAAATATGAAACAATTATGACGTCATAGTATCTATTTGTGCGTCAATTAGCTTACTTATTTGTTAAAAAATATCGAAAACTTTTTTAACGACAGATTGATGTATGAAAGTATAGGTGATTCAATATTGTATTGTGTAGGAAACTGGCCAATTGGATCACGGTAAAGACAATACCTCTTCTCTCTCTCTTTTGAACACCTCTTCCTGCATACGCGCGGCATATTCCCGCAACACGATGTCGTTTCTCTCGACGAGGTCCTTGTAGGCGTGGCACCGGGATATCTGGTGCACACATTGCAGACACAGCTGTGCAGGCAGACCATCGCCCACTGCCACCTGAATATATTTTATTTAAGTATTTTATAAACAGTCTCTTATAAACTAATGTATGTATACAGTAAAATTAATACACATCTACAAAGTGTGTTCCATTCCCATAACGGTAATATTATTATAAACTAGCTACTCTCACGCGGTTTCACCCACTGCTCGGCTCTATTTGATCGTAGCGTAATGTTTTATAGCCTATAGCACTCAGGAACATTGTAGCTATCTATCAGTGAAAGAATTTTAGCAATCTGACCAGCGGTTCCATTGATTAGCCACCTACATACAAACTTACAAATTTTACCTCTTTATAATATTAGTATAGAAGTAGGTATAGATACACTAGCTACTCTCGCGCTGTTTCAACCGCTTCTCTGCTCCTATATATCGTAGTGTTATGCTTTATTCTATAGCCTTCCTCGATACCTAAATGGACTTACAAACACAATAAAGAATTGTTCAATTTCAACCAGTAGTTTCGGAGATAAGCGCGTTCAAACGAACTCTTCAGCTTTATAATGTTATATCCCTAGTTAAGAAGTATAGACAGTATGATTAGTAAATTAAAATAAGGGGGTAGATGAAGATTCATTGCCGAATGCAGGGAGCTGTGACATCGCATTATCAGTCCGCTTGCGACCACGACCTGTGCTGCCAGGTCGAAACGTCAAGTCTTCCAATGTATTTTAATAATTACTTTTCGATATAATACCCGCTTAATATTATATTAACATGAAAAGTTTGTATATCTAGTATCTGTAGATAGAATTCATATCTTAGAAAAACCGCATTGAAATCGATTCACCCCTATCTATGTTCGACGAGGGCTTCAGTCAGTTGTTGTTGAGAGTCACTGACTGAAGCGGGCGGACTGGCTTGGAGTAGAAAGAATGGGGTGGTTTTTAGTCAGTCAGAATTTGACATTCGATCTCGCCCCTTCCGAGGCAGTAGAAGAGATCTTCGGAATGATATGATCCCCTCAAAAAATACACCACCTGATAGAAGTCTTCAGAATCTTAGATTTTTTAAATCATATGTTTTTTTTTTAATTTAAGAATTTCAGAAAGGATCAAAGTAAAACTTTATCGTTAGTCAATGTCAATGTGCAGTGCTTATGCACAAATATTTAAGACGACGAAAAAGAAGTTTCGGTTTTGATGTTTCTCGGGCCGCCAAAATAATTATTTTTGTCGATTTTCGAAGATAATGAATACCTACGTAGGTATATATTAGCTTTGCGGTTCTGTATTATTTTCAACAAATCTTTGTTTAAAAAGAAACGCATCCTGTTTAACATTAAAACATTTCCTACCTGAGTATGGTGCGTACCTACTTAACTTTTTTTATAAACGTTTAACCATAAATAAACGACAGTTTCCATTATTTATTTCATGAATAATTAAATTAGGCTAACTGACTATTTATTTGTAGGGAAGGTACTGCGACTGTGATGTCCAGTGTTTGACATTAGCCAATTAAATACATGAAACTAATAACGAACTACCAACTGGCGAAAAGTGGGTGTTTCTGTTCGGTCACCCTACTGTCCCTTTCTTATCCCGAGTCCACTACCCCTTCCCGTCCCAACACAAGGACACCGTGCACACGTGTTCCGCGGATATTCCGCCAAAATAAAATGCGTTATAAAAATTATAAGTATTTATTGAAATTTAAATTCATCAATTTGATTAATAAAATGTAATCACTCTTGCTTTTTTATACCTACATTTCGTAGGACAAAAGTTCTCTCTTCATACCTATAGAAAAATATAGGCTGAACTTTGGGTTTAAAAACCTTTCCTTTTTGGCAGTCGGGAAAAAAAATTCAATTGTCTGGAATTATATTTTGGGTGCTAAGTGTTAAAAAAATGATATTTTCCCGCATTTATTTGAATTCAATATCATGTCTACAGGAAAAAATAAACGATAAAGGACAACATTACATTAATTCCGCAATTGCATGCCTATCTCGGTCTTTCAGGTAGGTATTCTAAAAGCGCCATTTCAGTCATCATGCGTCCTAACGCGTAAGTCAGAAAGAGAACGAATGACATCTCTCAACAAAATTTCAGAATTTAGTTCCTCAGGAATTACAAATTGTTCATATCTGATGACTTCTAAACAAAGATGACGCGATGTAAAGGACGATTGCTATCAATACATGCATATTGCGTTTCACATGAGAGTGAAAGAGACAAAAATAGATTCCCAAAATATCTTAACAATTTGTCATCTCACCTGCACTTTCGTTATGCCCATCAACATTGTAGCCGTGAGTTGCTCAAACAGGGGTCTCATGTCCTTTTTTATCTCTAAACAAGCACGACATATTTTGTCGAATTTCAATGGTTTATTGGGGGCAGCCATTTTGAGCTACACTACGAAGATGTTTTTGTCCTTGTTATACGATAATGAATTTCACTACACAAATATTATGTTGTTCACAACAAAATTCACACCACTTTAGGAATTCCGTTTATGTTTGTAGTAAAAAATATTAGAACGGTGCAGCAATATAAACATTCTCAGTTTTTAACAGTAACAATAAAATTCACAAAATCGCTACAAGGCGCTTACAAAACCAAATAAGAAAGAAAGACTGCTGTGTGACGATGGGTGGGGTGACGAAATTAGAGCGAGCGAATAAGCTCTGCGGGCATTGGAAATCAATACAAGTGGAAAAGAGATAGCTAACGGTTGAATATGTTCGATAAGTTTACGTTGAACTACTGATTTAAAGCAATATAAGCCTTATTTCAATAATGTTTAAGCTCAAATTTGTTAGTGTTAAACTTTGTATGTTTACTCAAATAGGTGAAAAGGACACTTCTCTAGAAGTTAAAATTAACACCCATTTTACGTAAAAGTAACAACAAAATATATACATCTTTATTTTTAATGACTAAACCACTTTCAACCCTTATTTAATTGCATAATATATTTTAACCTATGAATCAATTGCTACTGATTTTGGACTCGAAGGTGACCTCAAACGATACCTCACGTCTATCTCTTTCTCTCTTAACAAACTTTGCTGTTGCCAAAAAGAGACATTTGGGTTCCTGCAAGCAGCAGTGGTTTCGTGTGTGTCAAAAATTGTACTATTTTTATATAAATAATAAAATAAGGAAAATAATCAGGTCTTTAGTAATAAACGAGTTAAATACTAAGGCGATATATCCACTTAATTATCCTATTTTGGATTTTTTTTGCATAGCAATACAATTATGTTAGCAGGTGCTCTAATTTACACAAAGTAGTATTTTTAGCATATCTTTTATCTGAGCATAACTATACACATCTCTATCGCACTTGAAATTTCTGAGTGAGAGATGAATATAAGACGTGTAAGACACAAATCTTCACAAACGAATGGAAGTGCAAAAATGTCGAATACATACTATAGCAGCTGTCAAATGACAAAATAATGTCACTAACACTAAGGGAATGTCAAACAAATGTCAAGATAAATTGTTTCAAATGAGTCAAAAAATAGATTCGCATGAAAATAAATAAGCGAGATCTAAACAAAATATACAAGATTTTAAGGTTTATTTGCTGATTTAAGTTGTTTTTGAATAATGACCGCTATGGCGGGGTCTTCATGGGAAGGTGAGTGGATAACAGTAAAATCGCGCCGGTTCACTTGTTCAGGATACTGTGACGTTGCATTCATAAACTTATCAACACGTTAAATCTGATCGAAAAAGTGAATTTACGTTTATTGTATGCGTTTGCTAATGAAATAAATCTGTTTACACAGGAATATGTCATCTTAAGAGATTGTAAAATACCACAAAAGAATGATAAGATGTGGAGTATTAACAATGATATAGGTATTTGTTATGTTAATAAACGATATGATAGGTTCCTGTTAATTTAATTATGTTTGTTTATTGGGTACTGCTTCCTGTAAAACAGTTTATTTGTGTTAATGTCTTCATTCATCCTTTACAGAGTTGCGGAAGCAAGCACGGCTGCTTGAAAATGACATAGATGTAAAACTGGTAGCATTTAGTAAGCTAGGTGTGAGCTCAAGTAGTTCTGGACTGAGCTCAGAGAGTGTGCCTCTAATAAACAGTGATGACATGTTTGACACCTTGTCTATGGAGCTACAACAACTTTTAAATAAGGTATAATATAATATTAAATTTTCTTGTAGAACTCTTATTTAATACACAAAATCAACTCGTAATATATTTCGATTTAATTCAATTTAATCGAAGCAATTTCTTAGTAATAAGTAGGTAGCACTCTTATGCTTTATATAGGTACTGTTTATGTATGCTTCATACATACTTGTACATACAAAACAGATAAATAAATAACTTATTAAATATGAAATAAGAAAGAACTTATATTAATTATGGTCAGACCCGCTACTCACCAGATGTTTATGACCCCACAAAGAGGGGTTCCACTTGCCAATAGACGCATTTCTAGCCCCCAATATCTATTACTGAGTACTGAGAATGTGTATCAATATTATAATTAATGTATTTTGCAGAACTTAATTCCAGACTTCTGTATTTATTTTTACTTTCAGTTATCCAGTATAAATGACAAAATGGCAGATATGGCTCCAAGCGGCACTGCTACAATGCACACTATTAAGAGACACAGAGAAATATTAATGGTGGGTATAAAATAAGTAATAATTAGTTGGGTCCGGGTATGTTCTAAAACATTCTGGTGGTCTGGAGGTTAAGGAGCTTGCTTCTCATGCATGGGGGTGTGGGTCAGAAACCTGGCAAGTACCAATGTGAGTTTATCCGAGTTATATGTACTTTCTATGATTATTTAGACACCACTGACATATGGTGGAGGTAAACATTGTGAGGAAACCTGAACTTATGATTTCTAATTATAAGTTTGAAATTGCCAAACCCGCATTGAGCAAGCGTGATGATTAATACTCTAACCTTTTGAGAAGAGGCCTTTGCTCAGCAGTGGGCACTTATAGGCTGAAGATGTTCTAAAACTCCACCCAGATATTTAGAGATGATACATTTTACGCAAACACGGGAATAATGCTATGGGTAGGATAATGGCGATAATAATAGTGCACTTTGTTCAGTAGTGGATTTCAGCAGTCTACCTGATGATAGTTAAACTTTCAATTATGGTAATTAGAGGCACACAAGTGTGGGAGAGAATGGATCGGCTCAACTGGAGTGATATCACGCACAGAAAAACGACCTGAATCAACCAAAGCATTATCTTTCGCCGTGGGAGTGAGGCTATCGGCAGCCCATCCCCTCCTCCTCTCCCTATTCCTTCCCAATCCTTAAAAAATCCGAAACCCTTAACCCCAAAACGCCGGCAAAACACTCACTTGCGGGAGTTCATGGGCGGAGCTGATTGCCTATCATTAGGCTACCCGTCAGCTCGTATAAAAACATAATAAAGTAAGACGATAGGTTCGCAAATATCGGCTTTTCGTGTTTATAATTATCACGGTTGCCTTTTCTGCAGTAATAAGTTCCATGTAGGTAATAGGGGCAAACTAAACCTAATGCCATATTGTAATCTATTCTAATATTATAAAGAGGTAAAATTTGTATGTTTGTAAGTTTGTATGTAGGGGGTAGTCTTTGGAACCGCTATTCGGATTGCCAAACTTCTTTCACTGATAAATAGCTACAATAGACCTAAGTGCTATAGGCTATAAAACATCACGCTACGATTAAATTGAGCCGAGCAGCGGGTGAAACCGCGTGAGAGTAGCTAGTGAATATGTAGATAAATAAATGAAAAGTAATGTATCCTGGGATTTTAAAAACAGCAGCATTTAAAGCGATAGCTTTTTTACTTTATCTCTTTATGATATCTATACCTACTAACATTATAAAGCTGCAGAGTTTGTTGTATGAACGCGCTAATCTCCGAAACTACTGGTTCGAGGCTATAAAACATCACGCTATGACCTGTAGTCGCCGAGTAGCGAGTGAAACCGCGTGATAGCTAGTTATAAATAAATGAATAATTGTTTGTTTGCAGGATTACCAACAGGAGTTCTCGAAGACATCAGCGCGTGTGAACGCTCGACGCGAGCGCGAGGAGCTACTGCGCGGCGCCAGCCCCCCGCCCGCCGCCACCATAGGACTCTCGCGCCGCGACCAGTACTCCAAGGAGGCCAACCATCTTCACAGGTTCGTACACAGCTCTTGATTTCTGCTACTATATCGGTTACAAACGACATAAACCAATTTTTCGATAGTGCATAATATATTTTATGGTTGTCGTGGCGATCCGGAGGTTAAGGCTTCTCATGCATGTGGGTGTAGGGCCGAAACCTGAAAAGTACCAATGTGACTTGTGTGTTTTCCGAGCTATATATACTTTCTATGATTATATAGACAAACATCGTGATGAAACCTGGACTTATAATTTCTAATTATACAATCCTCCTAGATAAAGCGTGGCGATTAATGCTCAAACATTCTCCGTGTGAGAAGAGATCTTTGCTTAGAAGTGGGTACTTATGGGCTGATGATGATAAAATCTGCAATGCCCACACGAAGCATTAAGATCGTTATTGGCTATTGCCTACGTAGGGAACTGCAGTCTACATTAGAAAATTTACTTAGGTACATCGATATACAAGAGTTCACACAGTACTTAAAGTTTTAGTAAATAAATATCTACCAACTTATTCAATACTAACAACTTGCCCCGGCTTCGCACGGGTGCAGTTCTGATTCTCAATTACTCCACTACTGCGTGGATATTACTTATTATACATAACAAACTGTCCCCTTCAATCACTCTTATGTATTTAAAAAAAACGCATCAAAATCCGTTGCCTAGTTTTAGGTCGGCAACGCACTCGTAACTCGTCCGTTGTGGGCGGCGCTGATTGCTTACCATCAGGTAATCCTGCTTGTTTGCCGTCCTATAACACAGGGACAGAGAAAGCGACCCATTTTGTTTTATACTATGTAATGATGAATAATGATTTTCAGTTCCCACATACTGGTGGATGAACAAATAAACATCGCGATGGAGGCGCGCGAGCACCTCGCCTCGCAGCGACAGACATTCAAACGTATGCAGACCACATTCAATAATATCACTAACAGGTAATATATTTATATAGTTACTTTATACTTCACCTAGAAACCATTCCCTTATGGAAACGTAAAATTTTTAGTTAGGTACTTACGACCTTTTTGAATGTGTCCATTAATTGATTTGTCTGTCTTACTGTCTGTCTTTCTTTAAGAATCCAAGAGTTTCCGACTAGTCGAATTCAATACTTTTGTATAAATGTTGTCATAATGTATTGTTTTTAAGTCAAACTACAAAAAACTAGTCAAAAATCTAAAATTAAGTATATCGTCAAATCAATGAACGAAAGTATGATTATATTTTAATAAATCCTTGCATTAAAAAGTCATAATAATTTATTTTTGATGTAGAAAACCACCCTATGTAATGTTTACTTTTTATTCTATCCTCATATTATCTGTTATGATTCCAGATTTCCAATGCTGAACAGTTTAATCTACAGGATCAATGCTCGCAAACGCCGCGACTCCCTGATCTTAGGTCTCGTTGTAGCAGTTTGTACATTCTTGTTATTGCTCTATGCATTCCATTGAGCGACTGACTGGTTTGATATCAAGTGTCCGTACTATCTAACATGTCTTAAACATTCGGATGTGACGTCACAGTAATGTTCCTAAAATATATTTCAAATATGCTGTGTGTAAACCAACCTTATTCTTACTTGCAATTTATAGAAGTCTTACACCCGGTTTCTGAAAGTTGTCAACGCTAAAATTAACTAATCTCCTGTTAAATCTCTTGTCAAGTAATCTGATTGGTTGTTGATAATTCAGTCTACCAATCGGAAGACTTGACAAGAGATTAAATTGATTTTAACATTGATCGGCCTTTCGGAAACCGGGCTTTACCCCATAGACACCTTATTGGTTGTACACTATGTAGAAAAAATCCACTCAGACTCAGTCAAAGTACCTCCAAAAGTACATTTGAACAGTTGGATAGTGTTTGAGAAATAAATCATCTGCCTAAGGGAAAAGGTCCCAACTAAATTAGGTTCGGCTTCCAGTCTCACCTGATGCAGCTGAACACCAGTGGTACTTTTTAGGTAACATTTTTTGGTGTAATTATATTTTATGAGTACTGGTTGAAAAAAATATTATAGTAACTACACCCGCCATCTTGATGTCAATTTGGCGGGTGTAACCTTACCTACTTTCTAAATAATTTATTTGTGAAAGAGGTACAGATTTTTCAGTCCTAGGTACTGAATAGTACATTTTAGGTAGATTTTTTTGGTAATTGGTATAATTTAATTGGCTAGGGTACACCCGCCATTTTGACTCTCAGAAAATGAATGAAGCCGAAAATTGCAGCGGTTCTTACCCATATCTGCAGCAGGTCTCCAAGGTGGAGATCATCTCCTCTTTAGAATAATGTATGTGTATGTGCTAATAATAATGCCCTCAGTGCAGTGTCTTCGGATAAGAACGTCAACCCTGCAATTTATTTCAGATTTTATTACGAAAGTATAAACTTTACATTTCAATGTTTATGACATGGCATTTAGTAAGGACGCGCCTTAGTTTATGGTACTCGTGGAGCGAAAGATATTATTCGTACGTTGGGAATGTTTTAGTATAAAATACTATAATAAATTATTTATGTTAATTTTGAATTGTAATAACTATCATTAGTGATCTCTGTAATCAATTTAATGAGCACACATTTTAAATCTTCTGTTACATGTGCAATTATGTTTAAGTACCTACACATCAAAAAAATATCTATAAATACGGAGAATGCCAAAATACAACAGATTAAAAGTATACGAAGTTCTCGTTACAAAGAAGAATTGTATTTGTTGAGGAAATGAGTAACTTGGTAACTTCTTAGGTTGATAAACCAGTATATGTTGACATTATTCAAACAAGCCCCTTTTCGCCAGTGGCGCCACTTTACAAGTGCAAAACTATAGCTTTCATTCGTTTCCTGGAACATTTTTATTTGGAGTTTATTATTGACAACAGACAAAATATATATATAAAAAATGGTTACTATGTAACGAAATTGTTTTAATTCCTAAATGTTTTATCGTTTTGTTGTTTGTATGGTTTCACGAAATGTGTACTTACCGCGTCCATTAAAATCAAAAATGGCTAATACTAAGGTAGTTAGACAAACCCAAAACGAATATTTTTGACTACAACTCTACAAGTGTAATAGCGACATGATGTATTGTTCAAATCTAAGTATAGGATGGACCTATAAGGTTCCTTTACATTTACATAAGTCTTTTTAATTACTTCTATAGCACTATTTGTTTATTACGAGATATTAGCGACAATAATGATAAAGAAAGTAAAAATTTTACAAAAAACGTCATTCTCAAGAAAATAGTATAGGTACCAACCTAGCTAAAAAAAAAATATACTCATATACATGCACAGAAATATGGTACCTCCTTTTTTAAATCGGTTTATAACCACCCCGAGTAAAAGATGCTCTGTTTTTTTATCCAGATTGGTGCAGTAGTTCAGGAGTAATTCCCACATAAACATTCCGGCAATTCGAAATAAATCGCCGATTGATATTTTTGTTCTTATCGGCAACACATTATTATGCCCTTTATCAATTTGAAAGGACGCTAAACTGTCATATTTTTTATTATACTAGTACCGAAATGTTGTTGCGTTTATAACTATAAAGCAACGTACTGAAACATGGTATTACTCGAAAGTTTTACCCTAGAAAAATAATGTCAAGAAGTGACTAATAATTCATACCTCTAGGGGTTGCGTTAAGCCGGCTCTATGAAATTCAATACACCATCTCAAGGCTAGTCGATGTTTACTTTAGCGAAAATTGACTGTCGCGAATCGCTTCATCGACAAATTAATGCTAGATGGGATCTCGATCGAGTAAAACTGTGAGTACCTAGCGTTACACACACGTTGTTATGTTTAACACTTCTATTTTTTTGTAGGCCTACTATAGTAATATTGTAATTGTAAAATAGATATATGTAAATATTTATCCTATATGTAACAATATATCAAATAAAACAAATTATTTTAAAAATATAACATTGTTTTATTCCAATTTTAACTTAAAACAATAAAAAAATACATTAATGAGATTTTCATCTTTTAAATACTTAGCCGACGTACTAGTTATCAGTCATTTCTTTAAGAAGCATTAACCTTCGACAGCCTGTGTCAAAAATAAAAAAAAGATTTTTCCCGCCATATTGCGGTTTCATAGTTTCCAATCATGTTTCCAACAAACTGCACCAGCGCCACTTTACACTTATTTAAGCATTAAGTATTGAGCATGTAAGAAATGTGGAAGAACTGCGACATAACGGCAGAGCCACTTAATACGAGCCCACGTATTTAATAAGTTGTACCGCAATCAACGAATTTGACAGCTGATCATCCGCATTTGTTTCCAATTTCTGCCGTGTTGTGCGCTGCGGTAGTTATCTGTCCGCCACTACTCGCTTTGCATATAGCCAATAGGTACGTATTTACATTTCAGTCAATAGGTACCTACTTTATTTTTCTGTTAAGTATATTAAAATAAGCACGCGTTATTTATGACATTTTCAAGTAACTACACATTAAATAATATAAATATAACTGTGCAAATATGTTATCTGTGTGCTGTGTACCTATCTTAAAATATAAATAAGGATTTATTTACAAATAATACCTATCATAATGAGATAAAAAATGTATCTAAAGATTTTGGTAGTAGTGCTTTAGCATATACCTATAGGCAAAGGCACAGAAAAATATGTAAAAAAATCTTGCATATATATTTTAACGATAAAATTATATCGATAGATATAAAAATACGGCAAAAACATGTTTGTAGCTTATAAATGGAATGTTGCTGTTTTCTTGTGAGTTGGATTAATGTGTTATTGATTAATCTTTTTATCTCTAACCGAGAAATGTTTGCATGTAATATATACAAAGATATAATATATAAAGGATCAAGATAATATAGACAGGATCTTGGCAACGTCTTGATGAATTTTTTTATGTTATGTTTCGGGCATGAAAACGCAATCGTGCTAAGAATATCCCGAGCTAAACACGGTCACCTAGGTATCTACTAATTGAAACCTAACAAAACATAGTTACGTATACGTATAGGAAGACTAGATACATGTTTGGGAATTTTATTAAAAAAAATTGATTACACTAACCCATGGCGACAAAGATAGCTTGCCCTCTTTTTACTCAATACAAAAGTAAATAAAAATGGAAAGTATTCGTCCAAAAACAAAACAACGTCTTAAGTGCAATCGGTTGAGACGCGTTTTACGCGTGACCTCTCAAAAACTGTATAAGTGGAGTCAAAGGACTTTAATGCTTCAGCCTTTATAAGACAATCCTAACTTGCATATTCGATAAACTGGGAAAAGACTCTTAAAGAGGTTAAAAAAAATCTTTATGTATTAGATTCTTGTTTTTCAGGCGTTAACGTATTTAAATCTTGTTGATGTACTGACATTTTGTGCGATTTGAGCGAGCCCCGCTGTGAAAATCTTCTGTCGCAGACATCACAGGCAAAAGGCCTCTCGCCCGTGTGAGTACGCACGTGTTTCTCTACGTCGCCCTTTGTAGCGAATTTCTTTTCACAAACAGGACACACAATATTTCTGTTATGAGTTTTCTGATGTAAATAATATTTCTTCCAGGCGTTAAACTTCTTTTGGCACAACTGAAAACAAAAAATAAAAATCAAATACATTTGCTTAAAAAATTAAGAAAAATTTCCATTTCCGTGTGTTTCCTTACTCAATATCACTCATATCTACAAATATGTAAAAAGATCACACATCTGGGATAGAAACCGCAGCATGTTGCGTTGTAATTACTCATTCCCATGGATTACCTACCCACCTCAACTTTAATGTGTAGAATATTAATTAAGAATACAACATACACATAGGACCTAGATTCCATAAAGAATAATTTTAAATAAATATCGAATAAAACTTATAACTAAATAATATATCTATCTACATCATAAAACGCCTTCGTTTCTTCTAGGATTATTAGCTTGTTGTGCCCACCAGGGTCCATAATTGTGTCAATTGTATTTTCCACCTTACGTAGGTTTTCTTTTGTGAGGGGAAAATCATCAAAGGACTTCTCCCGCCCAGGATTAGACGGGAGGGAGTGTCAGACACTTACTGACTAAAAACCCCCCCGTTCCTTCTGCTTTGGGCCGAGGCCGCGGTGCCTTATTGCGCTTACCCCGCAACTCCGGCTGAACATCAGCCCAATAGGGCCCCGTTTGTGGTGGTCTATTGGTTCTTTGAGACTTGTGCGGATCCTTACGTACGTACAGTAAGTATTGCAATAAACGATATGAATATGAAAAAATATATAAAACTTTATCACTTACGTCGCATACATAGTAAAAACTATCGCCGGTACTTGTTTTGATCCTTTTTATTTTCACTTTCAGGTTCTGTTTTATAGACGTGACTACATCTTTAGTAGACGAGGTCTGCAATCAAAAAGAAAGTGGTAATGTAGCCCCCTATTATGTTTTTGAGGTTTCGAGTGAATACAATCATTACTTTACTTTTACTTACAACACTGGGGGCCTGAGGGCTACTAAAAAGGTCCTTTCTGACAGATATTTTCTTGTCCGGTTTACTCTGAAATTGAAAAAAACTTAACATTACGTCAAAGGTCAAAAAGTGAGTGTAAGATACACTCACTTTTTGACCTTTATGTTTAAATTCATAAACTGTAATAGGGGGTGAGACAATGGCCATGTCCGGGTGTAACACCAGGCGATGCACAAAATGGCTGGACAGTTATTATTCTTCACATGATCCAAATCCCTGGATGGAATGCGAAACAAATTTTGTTGAAAGTGCATGATGAAGTGGTATAACGGGATAGCATACGCACTCTTGCACACACGGAAGAAAAATTGGTACTGGACTGGACTGGTATTGCACATACCTATGGGTGGCACTGATTGCTTACCATCTAACATAGTCAGTTTGTTTGCCCCTCTGTATCCCATCCTACTTTCTTTCCTAAAGATGTATGTTTGTCATTCTTTCACGCAAAAACGGCTGGACCGATTTGGTTGAAATTTGTTATGTAGGTAGGTAATAACCTTTATCAACACATAGGCTGCTTTTCATCAATACACTACGCGGGGGAAAGCTAGTATAAAAATACTTCCACGCAAACTCACAATGCGAAACACTACTGAAAAGGATTTTTATCCTATTAGATACAACCAATCAATTACGCATTTTTTTAAAGGTGCAATTACGCATTTTTTTAAAGGTGCAATTACGCATTTTTTTAAAGGTGCAATTACGCATTTTTTAAAGGTGCAATTACGCATTTTTTAAAGGTGCAATTTTACATGTTTATGTAAGTTTAGGTCATACATAAATGCTATGCAATCCTAAATTCAATTTATTCATTCTATGAATGTTGAAATGTGCAACTCAAGATTATTAATTATACTTAAACAATATTGTAACTTGACACAGGTGATATCGTAATATAATACCACCATATTGCAAGGTTGAAACAAAATGAATACTAAGCTTAACTGAGAAAGATTTAGAGAACAATTTTGGATAATATTGAAGCTATCAATTCCAATGAATAAGTATGGTTAAAAATGTCTCTGTCTAAACCTATTTATCTATTAAAGCTGATGAAATAAATGATCAACACAATAACATCTGTATGGGTTATCAGTTCTATTATACCTTACAGAACTGGCTTACACCTGATAGAAGTGACTGAGAGAATGACAGAAAATACTTTTAGCATTAAGTCCTCCGATATGCAATCTTACAAATATTATAAATGCGAAAGATACGATGTTTGGATGTTTGTAACTCAATCACGCTAAAACGGCTGGACGGATCTGGGCGAAATTTGGCACAGGCATAGGATACACTCCGGAAATAGGAAATAAACTACTTTTTATCAACATACCAAGCAGACGAAGCCGCGGGCGGAAGCGAGTAAATAAATTAATAAATAAGTGATGAAGATATGAAAGTGCAAGTAATTGTTATGACACTGGTTAAAAAGGTCAAAAATATCTCACACTCTTTAAAGCCTCAGAAGAGTCAGACCCTCGGGCCTTCCTTTTCTTTGGTCTGATATCTTCTTCTTCCTCCTTTGTTACACTAATCTGTGTTTCATCAATCTCTAACTTTATTGTTCTGTCTGAATCTGTGCTACTTCTCCGAGAATTTGACTTCATTTCTGTGGGGTCCTGAAAATACAATGGCAATTAATTATAAAATTATTATTTAATTAGTCACTTCAGCTTGCTATATATTAACATGTCTGCTGCCCTATCTCATAGAAATATTACAATATTGGCAAAGGGACTCGCAGGAATAGCACACATAAGAGTTGAAAATGTAACCTAGTGGCTCAGTCACTTTTAAATGGAGCTCTTTAATTAAAAAATTAAAGGAGGAAACTGATGATGAAATTAATAAAAAAACTGGAAATAAACTCCAGAAATTATAGTGCAATATGTGTGTATGAGATTTTTTAAAAATTTTTATCATTAAGAAATAATGCTGACCTTTACCTTTAACTTTTCTGATTGACTGAACTCCAATATCAATGGCTCATCATCAAGAAACAAGGACTTCAGATGTCTTTCCGTTGACATAGATTTATCTCTTAACCATTTTGCATTTACAACTATTTCTATACACTTAAAACATATTTTCTGTGGTAAACTATCTTGAGTAGAAATCTGGAAAAAAATATTATAAAGAGTTTTTCTTTATGACAAATATTAATGAATCATAGTCTCTATTTTAATATTTTCTAGACAAAAACATTTTTATTTAAATAAATATCTGTGAAATTCTGTGGACTCTAGCCTAATACCTGTAGGAATCGATGATAAAGTGATTACCTACGTGTGACTTATTTGAGTCTTAGGTCATCATGGACAATGTGGTGATTTGTTAGAAATAATTCATTTATTCTGTTCCGAATTTAATGCTGAATTAAAACCAGGTTTTTATAACATTAATTAGGGTAAAGCTTTTAATATAGGCCCGGAACATTCTTTCCCTAGCCCCAATATTTTGGAACATCAATTAAAAGGCATAATTAGTGTTTATATAAATATTAATGAATAAAACAGATACGTACAACGACGCCTGTGCATAAATATATATCGTGAGAAAGCCCTTCTTTCGAACATATGTTAGTAAAGCCCTCATTTTCAAGACACAGTCTGCATAAATCACGAAATGGAACTGGTTTAGGCTGCTCCATTATATTTTTAACAATAGTTTCTTTAATCTCCATGTAACGTTTTGTCTGCCAAGCAAGTAATTTTGATACGTTACTTATTATGAATTCACTTCTCTTTATTATTTATTTTGTTTATAAACATAATGAACACAATTCAAATCCATAGTTCAAATCAACCACGTTATCACGTTTGACAGTTTGGCTAAGATGCAACTAAAACATACGGACATGGACATGCACTACTTGTTGCTGTACCTAGACCTAGCCTGTAAGCTAAAAATACAAAGTCAAAGAAATCAACTGACACGACATGAAATGACAGTTGACATTCTTGACAACTACTACGACCACACTTTAACAAAACTTGATGTTCAACATTTCACCAAACGTAGTGGTTACATACTCTTTGATATTCACGAGTATGGTTTACATTACAATAGAATGAACAGGAACCTTACGAACATTGAAATTCAATGAAATGAACATATAATATAAAAAATTATTCAAAATAATGACTAGGTGTCTTCAAGGCTAGAGTGAATAGCCTCATAATAAACTAGTGCGCCTTACCATCAACGATTGCATCACTGCTTACCATCAGGTGAGATCGCAGTCAAGCACTAGTTTATTGCAAGTAAAAAAAAAAACTACTTAGGTAAGAAAATTATTTGTGATAAAAATGCGGTTTATTTAAATACTGACTGGCTAAATGTCAATATATCTGTTATTTTTTTTTTAATCAAAATATCATGTATTGCCAAATGGATGTTGTGATTTACGTTTCATAGTTTATTGAATGATAAAATGCTCTCAAGTGTTATTTTAAAAATATTTTTATTGTTTTAATAGTTTGTCACAAGATGCGAGCAACGTTGTCGTACTTTGACTATATGATCGATGCCCATTTCTGTATTTGCTTGATTATGCCGAAGATAACTTTAAATGGTCGTTGATTAAGGTAAACCTTTTCATAATTTGATATAGAAAAACTAATATCTCAGGAGCTGATTCATAGGTACCTTACCTAGGTAGGGTGTAGATTAGATCTACGAAAATGAGATCTGCGAAATTTAAAAAGCTTTGCGTAGACATGTTACGCAATGTTCGTTTTATTTCAAAGAAATGAGGAAATGGTTTAGGGGTGATAGACCCGCCTTTGGAGTAGAGGGTACTGTTAAATTTGTTTATTTTTAATTAAATCGTTGAGATAAATTATGACAATGAATATTTTAACAAAGTATTATTTTTCTTCACTTTTTTAGTAAGTATGTTCTTTTCTATATGTAAGTACGTAGGCTGTCCCAGAACTATATATCTATACTAATATTATATGTAAAGACGTAAAATTTGTAAGTTTGTATGTTATAAGTTTGTATGTAAGTAAATTCTTTCACTGATAGATAGCTACAATGTTCCTGAGTGCTATAGGCTGTAAAACATCTCGCTACGATTAAATGGAGCCGAGCAGCGGGTGAAACCGCGCGTGAGTGGCTAGTTTAATTAGATAACCCCCTGCATACAAACACACAAACTTACAAATTTTACCTCTTTATAATATTAGTATAGAAGTATAGATTTCCTAAGAAATACAGGTTTAATGCTAATTACTGAATCAATAATCAAGATAATGTAAGTAAGCTACAAACAAAAAGTAACGATTTTTAACACCAGGAGCCAAAAAGTTATAATTTGAAGTACACATTTTAGGATAGGTAACTATACACATAACTTGATGTCGTTATTTGGACATCGAATTCTGGAACGCCTTTACACATAAGTTGCACGGTTGGCACAGTGGCTGGGCTGCTGATGGTAGCATAACGAGTCGCAGTTTCAATTTCCGCAGTTTATAACCCTTTTTTTGGCATCGAATTGGAAAAACCTCATGGAGACACAAGGCCGTTAGGGAAGGGCGAAGGCTACTATCAGACTCTTACTGACTAAAAACCAACACGGTGTTCCTCCATTTACCCATGTGTCGGAGGGGACCGCCGAAGCATTCATCGCATCCCCCCGACGGGTATTGGCCCGCCAGATAGTCAAGCAAGTTTTTTGGTGTTGGGGGGGGGGGGGGAGGGAGGTCCATGGGCGGCGCCGATTGCTTACCATCAGGTAATCCGTTTGCTCGTTTGCCGACTTATACCATAAAGAAAAAATAAGAGTTATTTAGCCGACGAGAACTATTACTTTAAATAAAAGTCGAATTCCGAGTCATCTTCTCCGAAGCCAAGAATTCTCCATGGCGGGTAGCGTGTAGGTAAAGCACAACGATCTACCGCGTCTTGGCTCGAATTCAAGCAGAAGAAAGAAGAAGGAAGGCGTGGTTTTTAGTCAGTAAAAGTCTGATTCTAACTCTCGTTCTACTCAGGAAATGCCAGACACGGAGAAGTCAAATTGTTTAAATTAATTTTCCCCCTCATAAAATAATTTACAAGGTTTTTATTAATTGAATCTGTTTTAAAATTTCCTTTGGAAACACATTTCCATTGCGTTCCATTTAGACAAAGACTGTTGTTTTTTGCAAGCGTAGAAAGATGGAGGACATTTTATAAATAAATAATTAATAATTATGTACCTATTATAATGTTAAGTTGACGTGGACCGATGATTCAGTACCGCGTTTATCGTAGCACGTAACATTTCCTCGACGCTTTCAGTAGTAATGTTTTGATTCGGTTACCTAGGCAACCGACTGAGGAAAAGTCTGTTTTTCTATCGATTTGTAAACAGTGCGACTTTAAATCTGCTATACTTATAGTTATTGGTTGATAGTTTGCAAGTTTATAGCGGAAATGCGAATTTTGACAATATGCCTTGAGGTAAGTGATTAATTGATATACTTTTTAACTATTTTAGTATTTAAATTCCTTAGTAAACAAGTAGGTACTTGAGGATGTATTTTATTCCCTTATCACTTTTTCCACCTCATAGATATGTGCCTAATATACAGAATATACCTAAGTCTAATATTTTTTATAATTCGCCTAGTAAGTTTGTATTTTATATTTGACTTTAATGGAATGAAACTATTCTGTTGTAGCATCAAATTTTTTAAAATAAGTAGTGTTTCCATATCAAATTGACTTGAAACAATGAATTTATTTTTGCAAATAAGCCATAAAACGGCACTTTTACACGTCAATTTATATGTAAAAAACTAGATGAAGCCGGCATTTCCTATCTGACTACTCTGAGAAAAAATGCCGAAACGAACTCAGAGGTCCGTTTCTTTTCAAGTCTAAATCCTTGATTGACGAAACCAAAAATCATCTTAGCATATCATGACAAAATAAACCCATATATTTTAGTTAAATCTTCATATAATTTATCTTGAAAAGAAAAACATTTACTTTTATATATTTGTTCAAAAAGACGGAAAACGTAAAATTATTCAACGTCAATTAAAATGAATATTAGGTACACCCGCTTTTGTCGGATATATTTATTTCATCTTTGTGTGTCTTAGTTTCGTTCTCTCAGTCTACTATCGCAAAGTATGGACCATGGACATGTATGGAGTCCAGCTGGGCGGAAAGTGTAATAATATACCACGGCCCTGATCCGGAGAAGGGACAAGTTCGTTTTTAGTCAGTAAGAGTCTGACTCTCTCTCTTCCCAAGGAAGACGGAATTTACGAGTTTTCTTCTGAAAAAAAAGTATGGATGTAATGTTTCATCTGAGAAGTATGTTCAAGGTCGATTATTTCTCCATCATTATAGTAAGGAGTCTAATCCTTCGTAAACATGGAAAGTCACGTCATCATAATTCAATTGAAGTCGCAAACTCATAGAGTTCCACGTATGCTTGTGTTCTTTTATGAAATATGGGGGGCAAACGAATATACCGAGTGTACCGATGACTGGTGACTACACCTGTCATCTCGACCGGAGTGATACCACCATGAAAACGTGGCCTCACAGAAAACTGTTGTAAAACAACAGCACTGAGTTTCACTGTGTGCATGAGGTTACTAAAGGAAATATCAGAAACCCTTACACCTAAAAGGCCGGCAACGCACCCGATTCAACACCAAAAGAGTTCTTTTGGTGCTGCGGCTGTCCATGGGCGGCGCTGATTGCTTACCATCACGTAATACGTATTCTCGTTTGCTGACCTATACCTTAAAATTAACACTATCGCCGCCGCCCATGAACACCCACGACACCAGAGGAGACACAAGAGCGTTGCCAGATTACTACCGATATGCATCCATGCAAGCTCAATAACCAATAACTTTTATATCAGTATAAAACCAATATAAATGTCACCCATCACTTAATCCAAGTTAATGAGCGGTCTCAACACATCAAGGTTAAATAAAATAATATACAATCAATACTTAAGCCTGTGATAAGATAATTGGCATTCTAATTAACTATTCGTATATAATTTTCCACGTTCCATTAGAATAGGTTTAGTTTAATATTATTCTAGTAGTTAGTTGGGACAGAATTTTATTTTTAAAGAATTTATTTGCAACTTCTTCTAATTCTATGTACTTATACATATTTCCTAAGGCGGAAGATACCGCCCACAGTTATGCCCGAGTGGTATGTTGATAAAAAGCATACCAAATTTCCAACAAAATTGGTCCAGCCGTTTTTCGTTTCAAACATACATTCATACATTTGCTCAAACTTTCACATTTATAAGTAGGATAAATGTTAAATAAAAGTAGGATTAGTAGGATTAACGTATAAAATTATTGTACTGTAGAAGCATTTTAGTTTAAGTAAATTGTTTTGTAAGAAACCAAAGTCTCCATTACTCAATTTCCTTATTAATAAAATATTTATAGAATAATCAATCAGTATCTAGTACGATTACTAAACTACGGCTTACGAATAATTTAAAACTTCGCCCCCATTTGCTACGAAACGCAAGTTGTTGGATGTAACGTAGCAATGTCGTAGGCATCGTAGCAGTAGATCGTAGTACGCGTGGCGCGCCGCCCGCCTTGCGTAGCGTAGCTTCAGCTACAAGTTACAACTTAGAAACTTGTTTTGTGATACTTGGATAAACGGTAAGTTTACTGCTTAGTTTGTAATAAGTAGTATTGTAACTGTAGTAACAATTCGTAAATGTATTTACGAAGATTAGGCTTCATTTATGTAGTAGTTGATTTATGTACTTAGCTGTTGGACATTTTATTTCTTTTGTTCTACTTAGTTTTTTAAAGTAATTTGTTTTTGACATTAATATATAATTAAACGAAGAAAAATATCGTAAAAGGTAACTTCTTCTTCTACACATTATATCAAAACACAACAATATTTTCTAAGAATTATTCCGTCTGTGTGTACTTAAAAAATTGCGTGTTGATTGTGATGCTTCCCTGTATAATTATATAATATAAATCATGGTTTGCTAGCTCAGTAACGTTATAGTAGTATTATTATTAAAATCGTTTGATTATGTGAGCCTATTGCCTCGGCCATTAGCGATCGCGTGATGTCTCAAAACTATGAAGCTAAGATTAAAAGTTACAAGAAACTTTTAATACTTGGTGGTAAAAACTTACGTTCATAGACTACTACTGACTACTTCCTGTAAATAAAATATTATTTACCAACCAATTATTAATAATTTAACTATGTTTTGATATAATTAGTCAACAAACGAGCAGAAGATACCAGGAGCCTGAGTCTACTATTTTAAAAGTATTGTCATTCCTACACGATTCCATTATCATTTTGCTAAAAGTTCGTAGTCTGTTAATTCAAAATGGCTGATCATTGGCGTTCGGCGATGTCGTAATAGAATATAGTACGAGATGTCTTGTAACGAATTATAAACAATAACTGCACATTAATATTTTAAACGTAAATTATTGAATAAAGGAACTGACATTTTTTTATTAATTTACCGCATTATGTAAAATATTAATTTGTCATTATGTTCGAGATTACCGTTCTAAAGAATTATTTCAATGAAATGGCATTGGAAAGTCATAATGACGCTATCGTGTTAGTAGATTACCAAACTTGTCAAAATCAACAATTTTGAAACCAATGATCTACTATTCTGACACTATTGTAATAGCAGACTTGAGGCCCTGATGGTAAGCATCGACGCCGCCCATGAACACTCGCAACACCAGAAGATTTACGAGTGCATTGTCGGCCTTTTGGAATTAAGATTAGGTATTAGGGACGGATGGGGGAGGGGAACGATTGGGCTTACGGTAAAACCTCACTAACATGTCAAATGAGTCGTCTCGACCGGAGTGATACCACGGCCTCACAGAAAACCGGCGTGAAATAATCACAGTGTTGTGTTTCGCCATGTGAGTGAGGTTACTGGAGGCCCAATCCTTCTCCTCCCCCGATCCCTCCCCAATCCCTAAGTCTCCAAAACCCTAATCTCTAAAAGCGCACTCTTAACTCCTCCGTTGCGTTACCATCAGGTTATCCATCTGCTCGTTTGCCGAACTATTACATAAAAAAAAACATGGCGAAACACAACGGTGTGATTATTTCACGTCGGTTTCAGGCCATCAGGCCGGAGCCTAAGCATGGTTCTCCTAAACTTGATTAGAAAGGACTGAACCAAAAAAGACACAGAAAACAGACGTGAAACAAAACTTGCGTTGTTTTGCTGTGTGAGTGAGGTCACCATAGGCCTGACTCGTACCTCCCCATCAATTCCATAGCCTTTGAAAGGCCGGCAAAGAACTTGAAACTCCTCTAGAGGGTGGCGCTGGTCGTATACCGGTAATCCGTCTGCTCATTTACTGTTTCCATTAAAAATCATGTGTCTCATAATTTGTAAGTAACGTAATAACTTTTTGTAAATGAAGCGTAAGTCATAGGTGGCATACATTGACTGTAACACCCTCATTTCACCAGTATGTCTTATTTTTTTTTTTTACATGCTATAAACTAGTGCTTGACCGCAATCCTACCTTATGTAACCAGATATCAGTTATTGCCATATATCAGTTAAATTTCTTACCTATTACGACATTTTTTTGCCCCTTTATTCCTAACCTATTTTTAAGTCTTGAATTTATCGAGAAATCTTGAAATAACTTCTCTCGACCTGAATGGAGCTAGAAGAAGTATGGAGCGGGAGAAGACTCTTACTGACTAAAAACCATCTCATTTCTTCTTCTGCTTAATACTGATTCCGTTGTAAATTTTTGCGCTTGCTTCACAACCCCAGTTGAGAACATAACCTGGGAATCTTCGTAGTCATTAGTTTGCGACCACCTCGAAACAAAGACCATATTTCTGAAGCCTTACGCTTCAGAATTATCTCTCCTTCTTTGTTGTCGGATAAAAATGTATGTCAGTGCCCTTTAATGTGTGGCACATTGTGGTGACGCCATGGTGACATTTTACCTAATCAAATGAATTTTAATCCGTATGTAGGTCATCCGACATAGTCACCGTGTCAGCTATCTACTGCCCCTGATATTACGGACATAGAACACAAATGATATAATTATTAATTCACATCGTCCCATTTTTAACAAGGTCTACTGTCTATGGTTTATATTTCATGTAGCTATTTCTACAACTATTTATGGTGAACTCAATGTTTTTGATCATATCAGTCGATTCACATCATTAGCCTTTAAGTGCCCGCTGTTGAGCAAGGCCTCTTCTCACACGGAGAAGTTTGAGCATTAATCACCTCGCTTGCTCAGGGCGGCACTTTTATTATTTCTAATTATCAGTTTGAAATTGCCATTCAAACTGATAATTAGAAATAATAAAAGTCCAGGTTCCCTCACGATGTTTTCCTTCACCATATGTCAGTGGTGCCTAAATAATCATAGAATGTACATATAACTCAGAAAAAGTCACATTGGTATATGCCACGTTTCGAACTCGCACGTAGTTCTAAACGTAAGCTATACTACATCTTTGAAAACAATTACATAGCTGTGTATTTTTATACCTAAGTATAATTTATAATAAATGGCAATGACGTGGCTTAATCGATTAAAAAAATAATGCCTTAGCGTAGCTTTATACCTTGGATATATGCACTGTCGGTAAACTGAATTCAATGAAGTCGATTGAATGGAACAGTAATATGTGCATATCGGTTGTTCTGCTACTACACCAACTGCAGTTAATCTAGTCACATAAGCAATCCGGATAAAGGTGGTTACATTTATTTTCAGGTTAGACAATGAGCGAGCGAGGCGCTCGACGCGGCCCCGGCGCACCTTTCTACGCGCCCTTGCGGCGGAAAACGTCTGCTGAGATCATCAGTGAAGCAAGAGCTGCTATTTACGGCGGTAAGAGAGTCACGATCAGTCAGATTAAATTATTATTTTACAAGTTACTTGTATGCTCGTGTATTTTCACGGCATTCCGGGGCCTATGAACCTTGAACAAGTGATTCTTTTTCGAACGAGTTTGAACTATTGTTGCCTAAATCTTGTACTTAAGAGTTTAGCCGCTGAAAAGTTCACAATGTAGATATTTTATGCGCACATTAGGTATGTTTCTATTTAAACATACGGTGGAAAAAACATCGCTGGTTCTTACATTCAAAGATTAAACTTATGTAAACAAGGTCGGTTATATTAACGAAATTACATTCTTTATAGAAATGATGTAGATGACCTGATTACAGAAGATAACAATGACGAAATGTCATTTTTTCTATCAATCATTCGCTGTTTTTGTCAATGTACTGTAGGCCGTAAACCTTTCTGCTTATAATGTCAATATCACTCATTCGCCACTTTGATTTGTGATTCAATAGGAAAGTACATCATGGAAAAGGGTTTTGTTGTTTGAGAGTTAGAGAGAATTATACCATATTTTACCATTTTTTTGCATTTAAATGTTAGACTGGAAACTCTTAAGATGGCAAGAAATGACTCGACTGACTGTTTTCTTTTGTTGTGTGACGCCTCTGTGTCCGTAAGCAACGCTGATCACTAACCATTAGGTGATCCGTATGCTCGTTTCCCTATTGCCTACTATTCCATAAAAAAATATAGATTTGCCTGATACAAAGCCCTGTATAATCGATGCGGTATCGTTATAGAATTTATCAAATCGTTATCGTTTTTCGCACATCGATAGGGAGGTTAATTTGGCGCGACAAACGCTACCCCTCACCTTGTTGAAACCACAAGGTGAGCTAATGTTGAGGAGTCACGGCACGATGTAATAAAACCTTTTGGAAAATACAGTTTCGCATCGTTACCTTTGACGTCATAAATTGCCTTTATGGTATTCAATAACGCTTTGTGTTCACATATTGTTACATGCGTCGATAAAACCCTAATGCGGATTTCCACCAGACACTTTTACGATATGCCATTGTGTTATTTAATTTAACTCTTTATCGTGGTGCTATGTCAGGTTAATTTTCATATTAGTAAAAGTACATTTTTGGACGATTCAGTATTAGTATATTAGTATCTAGTGATGTAATTAATTGAAGTTTTGTAAAGAATAGATACCTAGGTACTTCGTTCTTATAGTGCGCCTTAAGACGCCCGCTTCTCATACATGGGGGTTCGAAACGTGGCAAGTGCTGTAGTAGTAGTAGTTTTCCGAGTTTTATTTAGGTACTTTCTATAATTATTTAGACACCACTAACAAACGGTGACAGAAAACATCGTGAGAAAACCTGGACTTATAATAAATAAATTGTAAGTTTGAAATTGCCCATCCGTCTTGAGTTAGCATGGTGGTTATTGCTCAAACCTTCTCCGTATGAGAGGTGGCTTTTCTCAGCAGTGGGCACTGGGCACTTATAGCTGATGATGTAGATACCTACTTATATTCTGTATTTACTAAAATTTTCGGTTTCAAATTTTGACGAAAGTTGCCTATCGAGTTCAAACATCTTGATTACTGGTAGAAGCTACGAAAAAGCAAGCACATCTATAACTCACAGACGGTTGACCATTTTCAATAAACAAGGATCTATTTTCTGTTTTTTCACTAAATTATTTGTGAAAAAAATATATAATATACATAAATACTAATGCTTACTATTCAAATGGAATAGAATATCGAGTGCGTCATTTTTTAAATCGGATGTACCATTCCATTCCAATGACAATACTTATGAAGAACTAAAGACATTCCAAAGATAGTATTAATTTCATTAACATGGAAACACCAGTGCTAGCTTCAGTTATAAAGCCATATACATACTCGTAGGTAGGTGTAAATATACCTATATAGTGCACAAGTTGGCGCCATTCTTTGTGCCGTTTCTTCGGGGTGGTTGATCGTCGAGGTCACGCGGTCATTCCTTCTTGTTATTCTGTTACCGGCTTGGTTGCCACGGTGAACTGCCTTGCACGCCATCCCCACATTAATACCTCACTTCAAATAACGCTGATTTAAAATCAGAACCTTTTTATAGCACCCCTTCAGAAGGTCATTGTCGCTTTAATTTTTTTTTATAGGCGATAAAATATTACTTGCGGTTTCTTTATGATCGCTTTGGATCTTTTTGGAGAGACGACAGAATGGTTTTTGGCAACATTCTTTAAAAAAGTATATACGATTTCTTATAGATATTCTTTAAGGATTAAAAAAAAAGACAAAACAGTGATTTTAAAACGGAAGATACAAATTGTTTTTACTAATTACAATATAATAAATATAGGTACGACCAGCCCAATACTACAATTTTTACATCAATAAATATCTAAATAAACTAAAATAAAAAGGAACTGTTTGTTTTGTTCGTAAACTCCTTGAAAGAGACGGCAATTTCATTATGTTAATGACTCGAAGGAAAATCGTCAACAATGTTATGTGTTCAAAGCATTCACGCGACCGTTGTTTGTTATTTCAGAATTTAGATTTTCAGGTGAAATTATTACACTTCATAAATTTATTCATATGTATAGTTTTCAACTGTAATAGATTATGTCCTTGAAAAAAAACAAACTATTTTAAATAGTTTTAAATGAAAGTTTCAAGGAATTGAGGATTTGCTATTGTGTAGTAGAGATCAAAATTTAAATTGAAACTTAAATTTGTTTGGGCTTAGCGTATGGAAATAGGCTCACTCACTACTAAAAAAGGAATAACAAAATAAAGGCCAACAAAAGTTTATTGATTTTATTTTATTTAAATAAAAATTGGAGAGGCTTTTGCCCAGCAGGGGGACATATTAGACTAGTCTAAAAAACAATAGACGTTACATTAAGTGAGTGCGAAATTGAATAAAGATCGTGATATTAATCCTCATTTGCGACACCTCATTTCTTTTATCAGCCTAACCTCTCATTCGTTTTTTAAATATCTATGTGGTTCCAGTCAATGACAGACGTGAAATTGCTTGCTCCGTTTTTTGTATGAACTTATTCTATAACTGTTTTGTTTGGTTCAGAGATGAGCGGCACGTCTAGTGGTGGTGGCGCTGGCGGCGGCTTGCGTCCGCTGCGCACGCGCCGACCCTACACACCTCGCGAACCACAGAGGTCGCTATACACCAACAAGAAAGAACCAAGACCGCCTAGTGGCTTTGAGTATGTTCCAACTTCATTTTATTATTTCTTAACTGAATTTATTACAATAATTTGTTCAGGTTAGAAAGAAGTAGATTAAAAGTGGTGTTTTACTTCTGTATTGCTTTAAAAATTAATCCTGGACACCCATAAACGTCGATTTTATGAATGTCGTAGAATAAAGAGAGTCATCAAGTCCATAAAACCAGTTTCGATGTTTTATATTCATTAGATGTTCAGGGCTATGTACTCTGTTAAATAAATTGAATTCTTTCGATCTTCCTGATCTCATATTGTATCTAATATCCAACAGTCTGAAGTACCTGAGTCTGTCGGAGAGCAGTGAAGAAACTCTGACGGATATGGACGCTCGGATCGCTCACCTGGACGAAGAGGCCCTTAATGAAATGCTCACAGACACTCGCAGCAGGAAAAAGCCTGCGGTAAAGTTGTAACCGACCTTGCTACATATATATATATATATATATTTTTTTTGTGGATCCAACAATCGCTTTAAATACAAAACAAATGTAAAGAGATCAATAAGTGACATGGTTAACGAATTAATTCACATACATTTGTTTCGTTTATGTTTTTATATTATTCGATAATGTTTATCGATACTGAGCTTGGACATGGATCACGCCTTACTATACCGGTAGTGGATTTTCTCATCAGGAATGGAGACTAAGTCATGGTAATATGCATCATTAATCTCAAGTGATGCTCATGTCCATATGGACATGAACCCCTTGTTACCAAACATTTATCTGATGATAATGATTTATCTTTAGTCAAATTTTAATTCATCAAACCTCAAGCGAACGCCGGCTATAACATTATATATTATTTTGTTGTTATTGGTTTGGTTATAAAAAAAAAATGTTCTATTAAAGGGGATGTTCTATTTGTACATTAAGATTAGATCATGTTGCCATTTCTAAAAAAAGGATAATCCTTTATAAATGAGGTTTTAGTTTTGATATCATTCAATTGAAGAAGATAAATTTAAAGTAAATACTTGTTTTTGCTTATCAAACATTCATTTTAGCATTTATGCAAACATTTACCGTCATAAAAACTGTGAGGAAAATTCATATCTACAAAATTATTTATATTCACGTTTTGACTAGCCGTCGTATCATCGCGTGCAGGGCTTATAATAAAAACCTCTTTTTAAATTCTATTCTAGAACTAGCTCGCAGTACTGAATCGTGCAAGATAATATATTTTATATGTGCATCTACTTATTTATAAGACCTGACCCGATCCAACCCGTCAGAAAACGTTTTGTTTGCTGCAAATTTTCTAAGTGTTTCTTTCATCAAAACTTTAATCAGCTTTCAAGTTTCGATTTAAATATTTTAACTGACTAAGGACCAAACATTATCGTAAAAAATCCTTCTATTGTCAAAAGATACATTGTGAGTGCTTGAATTTATGTAAATATTACTTACTTAGGTAAATAATTTAGGGCTCTACTATCTTCCACCCGCGGTTGCACTGGCGTGGTATGTTGATAAAAAATAGGCTGTCTTAATCCAGGCTCCAACCAAATCGGCTTAGCTGTTTTAGTGTGAAAGAGTAACAAGTATACATACCGGGTAAGTTCGGGTTACTTTAACTCTGCGAGGTAACTTTGATCCAAACCCTTTAACCAATAATAACTGAGAACCAAACATACCTATATATTTGTTTTTCATTGGTTCGAAAATTTGGATCAAAGTAAAATTGGCATACATAACACAAACTTTCACGTTTATAAGTCGGACAAATTATACGCTAAAGTTAAATAGTAGTAATATACTGTAAATATTGTTCAGGTACGCAAGGACAATCGAAATGCCGGGGTGGGGGACATGTGGGGAGGATTCACCAAACTGCCCCACCTCAGCGGTAGGAGCAAACCTTTACACAGGCGTAACACCACCGGGCAAGTAAATTCTGAAGGTATGTACTTACATGTTATAAAAATAAACTTTCCGGATTGTTTACTTGTATGAATGTAATAAACTTAAAAACTACTGGACGGATTTTTGTAACATTTCATATAGTAACTTAACTTAAGCCTTAAGAAAGTTTATGTGCATTATTTAAGTTCTGTGGTTTTGACTGTGTGTTCAAAGCCGCAGAGAGAAAACTAATAAAAATAGTAGCAGAGGTTGTAAGTTTTACAGAGTTTATTCATCAAAGGGAGCTGAAGAGAATATACCATATGTTACACCCATCTTTCGCCAGTTGCATTTCGAGAACCACCTAAGGGATTCCGTTTTTTTAACTTATCAAATCACTGTAGCTGTCAAAATTCAACGTCAAATTCAAAACACTTGAAACTTACAATTGGGTTTCCCAGGTCAAAAATAAATTAATTCGACGTTTCAATACAAAAATATGTATACTTTATTCATCGATTGATACACTGAATTTTAGATATTTTCTAGCTAATTTTTAAGAAATAAGTAAACTATTTGACGCAAAAAAAACTATGACGTCATAACTCAGTTTTTCATACAAATTTCATAGAAAAGTATAGTTTTTGACATTTGGATAAAAGTATTGAATTTGACTAGTTGGAAATTGGAAACTACCGTATTACGACATCTGATGTGTATAAAAACGGTAGGCCCATTGGTGGAGAGCCTATTGCTATATGTATAACGGAGACGATTCCAGACTCCGAGTTAACTACTACTTATTATTGTCTAAAATGGAGCTTGCGATCGTTCGATCGACATAACAGTACGTTTACAAGACCTTGTATTGTTCTTATTTTCAATTATGTTATCTATTTGTATTTTCAGAATTAAAACCCGAAGTCAACTTGACTCATGCTATCTCGGTGTCTCGTCCACTGGGTGACTCAGACAGTACCACTGTCGGCACATTAATGGGTGACGTCGTTAATGTTAAGGGTGAGAATCTCATTTTAATGACACATTAAAATAAATTATGTACACTGTGTTCATGACGATAGGTCGACTGTGCGCAGAAAGACAGGTATGTAAAAAATACCTTAGAAAATATTGCAGAACTATCCTACAAAGATCAGAAATTACATTATTAATGGTACTTTAACAAAATTTTATAAATAATACACTAGCTACTATCGCGCGGTTTCACCCTCTGATCGGCTCCATTTCATCGTAGCGTGATATTTTATAGCCTATAGCACTCAGGAACATTGTAGCTATCTATCAGTGAACGAATTTTGGCAATCCGACGAGCGGTTCCAAAGATTAACCCCTACATACAAACTTAAAAAATTTACCTCTTTATAATATTAGTATAGATTTGCTTACTTACTGTTAAAACATTTCATGATAGTTAGCAGTTAAAAAGAACACTTTTTTGTTGAGGGAAAATTCATGAAATTGCTTCTCTGGCCCAGGATCTGGCGAGAGGGAGTGTCAGACTCTTACTGACTAAAACCTCTCCGATCCTTGTCCTGCTCTGGGCCGAGGCTGCAGTATGTTATTGCGCTTGACCCGCAACCCTGGTTGAGCATTGGTCAAGTAGGGCACCATCTGTGATGGTCTATTGGCTCTATGAGGCGCGCGCGGAATACTGCCACGGGCCAACTGAGATGATAAACTGGGCGTTAAAGGTTTCAGTTTCTATCAAAGAGGATATAACCACATCGGATCCTGCCATCGGAGCCTTCCTTAAAATCCTAATTGTAAGGCAAAATAATTTTTCATAACACCAGATTGAATGACTTCTTGAAATTATAGGAGTAATTAGTTTCTATTCATGTTATTGGATTTGCTCCAAATTTCACTTGTTTCACATCCACCTTAAAATGTGATTTATTTATTGCTTTGCTTATAAACAGATGGTGTAGTAAAACGCAAGCAGTTCGTAGCTACGAAGGCAGCGTCTTACGACGTTGCCAGCTGTACGAGCGGGCTGCGAGCTGACATCGATGTAAAACATCTCGCCGTTCAACTGCCCAACACATCATCGGACAGTTTGGAAACGTACGTTGAAACTATATAAATAAATAAAACATATTTACTTTCGCATTGTTAACAGTTGACAGTAACGATAAGTAATTATGATTATGGCTAGTCAGAAGTTCTAAAAATGGACATCAGATTTAACAACAAATAGGGAAAAAGAAATCAATAGACGCGAAAGTTTGTAAGTATGGATGACTCTGAATGAAATTTGGATTAGATCTCTTACACAGGCTACTTTTTACTCTGTAGGTGAAGCCGCTGGCAGAACCTAGTCCTACAATCTTACTAATATTATAAATTTGAAAGTTTGCGAGAATTTATGTTTGTTATTCTTACACGCAAAACCGCCTCGACTGATTTAATTGAAATTTAGGTATACTAGATACTGGTTTAACACATAAGCTACTTTTCATCATCATACAACGCTACCGAAAACGTAGGCGGAAGCCATAATTGCATATACTGGTTAGGACTGCACGGTTGACGCGGTAGCTGGGCAACTGTGTTCTGGGTTGGATTCCCGCACAGAGCAACAATTTTGCTCTATTTTTGTGTCTTATCGTTACAGAATGACATTACTGGAACTATCAGAAGCGCTGTCGCAGCGGTGTCGTGACTCGAACCGCACTCTGCAACTATTGGAAGCAGTCGTGGCCAACGTACAGGCCGTCACGCCGGGCGGCAGTCTGCGCGACCTGCTCATTCGCTCTCTGTACATGCACATCGACAGCGAAGACGACAGGGTCCTCGTCGCTGTTGCGCAAGCCATGCTTACTGTACGTACACATAAAATAAATAAAGCACCGTATAATATCATTTAAAGCATTGTTTTAGGGTTGAAAATCAAGGTTACACGACATTTTCCATTCAAACCATAGTCATCTTTATATAAAATCTGCTGTACGCGTGTATGTAATTGAACTTCTCCTAAACGGCTTGACCGATTTAAATGTTTTTTTTTGTGTTCATTTGATTTGATTTGATTGGCGCCTTGGATGATTAAGATTCACAAATCAGTCCGGCAGATAGCGCTGCTGATTGCTTGAAAAAGCATGTGATCTCGGAAACGACCCTAACAATTTCGCTGAAATTTGATATGAAGAGGTTTTTTGAGGAGGAGGACAAAAAAATCCTTTAAAAAGAAGTAGTTTTTTGGTTTTGTGTGATGAATAACTTTAGAAGCACATAGATGTATTTTCTTTTCTTGCATTAAAGAAGATTCACATTTAAAATTTTATTTCTAGTAAAACAAATTTTACGAAAGTTGTAATAAAATAAAGCTTGTGACGCCTACGGCGTAGCAGGACTACGAGCTACGAGTCGTGCTACGCCACATACTACAACAAAATTTTGTTTGGTTCTAGATGCGAGTGACTGGTACACATTTGGCAGCTGCCTGCAAGCTTGTCTTCAAGATAGCTAAGAACGACAAAAACGATCACTTCTTTAAGACGACCAATTTGTTGGGTGAGTTGATAAAACAAATGAAATATTCTTCGAGACCATAAAACACATATTTGTAGTATTTGTATGATATGAAAATAAATACGGTAGTTTCCAACTAGTCATATTCTATAATGCTTTTATCCAAATGTCAAAAACGTTCTATGACATTTGTATGAAACTTCAAATTGTGACGTCATAGTACTTTTGCGTCAAAAAGCATAATTATTTCTTTAAAATTAGTTAAAAATTGTCGTAATTATAGTGTACCGACAGATTGATGAATCAAAATATAGTGATTTTTCGATATTTTATCGTTTTGAATCGTCGGATTAATTTATTTAAATATGTAATACTTGATATAAGTATATTTTGTTTATTAACAGTTTTTACGACGTAATAGTCACAAGATTAGGTACAAAGGATTAGGTTACACACTAAACACTAAGTTAGAACACAGAACAGAACTATTAACTATACGCGGGAAGAGTCATAGAAGGTTTTCGTGACGTGACGCGTGCGGCAGTGGTTGCCGGCAAGAGAGAGAGCTCGGCTTGCGCGCGTCTTGACGACGCCGAGCCTCGAGCGTGCGCGGTATGCTTCGGAACGGTTCCGGAATGTTCGCGCGGCGGACGGCCGCGCTGATTGGAGGGCGACGCGGCGACTCACGCATGCGCGTGGTGTCGTACGTTCGGACGGCCGAGTGCCGAAGCGCGGGAGCGGAAACCTACCTACCGCTGGTTCTCGCGTTACAAAGATTATTTCTTCTTCTTTCTTTCTTTTATTAAAATGTTGCCCTATACTAGGATTTTCTCCTGTGTCGTAGTTGAGTTTACGAAAATGCAATTTCATACACATTTCACCCAGAATCGGAACAACAATTTGTGGATTACACAAAGAGTTGTATCGTGCGGGAATGAAACTGGCGACACGTTGCGCCGGAACCAGTTGCTCAGCCACCGCGCTAACTGAGCGGTCCGACGGCAGTAAAGTCATTATATGTCCAGGTTTCCTCACGATATTACTTAGTAATATCGTACTTAGTAGTATATAGTACTTGCCAGGTTTCGAACCCACACCCTCATGCATGAGAAGCGGGCTTCTTAACCTCGGGGCCACCACGACGTAAACGACGCAGTAAAGTATTTTAACTTGGTATAAATATTGTGCAGAGTTGTTGGTGGAGGGTTGCGGGCGCGCGGAGCCGGTGTCGGAGAGCGCGTGCTGCGTGTACGGTTGCGCCGCGCTGCGCGTGCTGGCGCTCGAGCCCGCGCTCTGCGCGCGCGCAGCCCGCGCCGGCGCCACCCACCTCGCCGCATTGCATCTCAAGATACTTAATAATGCTGTATGTATTTACTCTAATTAACATCTACACTTAGTTTTCGCTTCCTAAGTTCTAAAGGAGAGCTCGAAACCCAAGGACAATAAAATTCGTGACCATAAATATATTTTTTCTAAAATGGGGATCACGTTCGTCTATAGAAATATGGTTTTATCTAATACACTTTAAACCAGGAATGTTAGGCAGCTCCGTAACCGAAATCGAAAACTATCGGATATCCGATATAAGAGAAAATATCCGTAACCGTATCCGAATACGAAATAAAAGTTTCGGATACTATCGGATAGAGGCGGAGCCTTTGCAACACATTATGTATGAATTTTACTTTTGAAATTCCTTAAAATTTTAATGTCCGTTAACATAATTATCTGAAATAAACGGATAATTCGAAATAATTTCATAACCGTAGGTATCCAGTATAATAATAATTATTCCTATATCCGTATAACGAGTAAGGGGCTTTAGTTTGGTACCGATTTCCGAACGCAACTTTGTTCCTCTCTCCTCGATGACTGTGCTCTTTACTTTACGCCGTTACACGAATTTGAAATCAAGCTGCATTTTAACTGTGCTCCTAAAAAACCTTCGCTGTAGGCAACTAAGTAGCGAAAACCTAACCCATATGTAGCCTGGAGTAGCCGCTACACTTTCTTCTATGGTAACTTTTTTTTACAACTGCATATTACTAAGTCAATTTTAACTTCTCCTCAATAATGTAATATTGCATGTAGCTTTCATAATAAACTTTCCAATGTATCGTAGAAAGCAGAGTCGCCCCGCTCCCTAGACGAGCAGAGTACGCATGCGCTGTACCAAGTGACGGGCGCGCTGCGCAGCCTGGCGGGCGCCGTCGATGAGTTTGCGCAGGAGTTCCTCGCCAGCGGCGCGCTACCGGAGCTCGTGAACGCGCTGGCACTACACACTGACAGGGACGTGCTCACTAACGTGGCCAGGTGTCTCAGGTATGGACATTTTATTTGTTTTCTTCTATACTAATATTTTAAAGAGGTAAAATTTGTAAGTTTGTATGTAGGGGGTAATCTTTGGAACCACTGGTCGGATTGCCAAAATGCTTTCATTGATAGATAGCTACAATGCTGCTGAGTGCTATAGGCTATAAAATATTACGCCGGACATTATATGGAGCCGAGCAGCGGGTGAAACCGCGCGAGAGAAGCTAGTAACTACATATATAAGAAGACTAGCTTCTCTTAATAAATGGTATATTAAACACAAAAAGATTTTTTTAATACGAACCTGTTCCTGATACTAGTGCGTTTAAACACACTTTTCAGCTTTATAATATTCTTCTTTTTTTTTATTAAAAAACGTTTTTAATTACGAACGTCCTTCTTATATTTTTGCCGTTTTAAACCTTTTAATTTTTTCGTCATAAAAATTTGCCAGTCTATAATCGATTTGGATGCCAGTACTCGTCGTTTAGAGTAGAGTAAAATATAGCTGATATATAATATATCCAGCGTGGTGTCGGGGTCTGCGCCATGTTGCGCGTGGCTGTGCGGCCGTGAGGGCGCGGCGCGCGCGCTGGTGCGTGCGCTGGCTGCGTGCGCGCCGCGCGCCCCGCTCGCCGTGCGACTCGCCTACACGCTCGGGAACATGGCCGCCGCCGACGAACGCGCCAGAAATGACGTAAGGAATTCTTTACTCTTTTTGTCATCTATTTTGTCTATAAAAAAATAGCTGTAAACCAAGTACCCTTTGTTGTAATGTGACGTTTTGTGTGTATGTAAATGTGTATTTTTTGCTTATTAAAGATTTTTCATTAATGGTTACAGCTAATAGCTTAGTCTCCTACCATGTTACCTAATCTAAACAAAGAAGATAACTGAACTGAAAAAAAAACAAAATAACTTTACCAAACAGATTAATTCCACAGCAGAAACAACAATTTTCGCTTTGACATCTTTTTTTTATGAAATGGCATGAAATGTCTCTTTAGATTTACAACGAGGACGGCGCGATAGACGTGCTACTTACAATATTGGAATCGTACACGAAGAAGAACCCGCAAGATCTGGCTGACGTCGAGGCAGACCCTGATCTACACCTTGTTGGTGAGTCATCTTCTGAACATGTAAATTTAATTTTTATGCTGTTATGATTGAGAAATATCGGGATAATAATCAAACAACGACTGAGCTACAAGGCGTATATTCGCAGACTGGCTGCAGCACACATACAATAATTAATGTTATCAAGTACCCACAATTGACCGACATCACAATGATAAGGTATATTTTCGATTATTGTTCTAGGTTCAGATTTAGGCGGATCGGATGGTTCAAATGAAGATGTTCTAATCAAGGTAATTGCCTGATTAATGTATAACTATGTAGTACTTACTAATGTATATGATTTTTATTGAATAACGTCTTATTGTCGTCTTCAATTGTCAATTATCAATTGTCTTTAAAAACAATTAAAAGGGGCACCTAGAACATGTCTCTACATTTTCCGTACGTATTTATATTTTTTGAGGGTGAAAATCATTTTTTTTCCACAGCCCTGGTTGGTTTTAAGGATGTTAGGTTAACTTAGGTCGTTGCGGGGTAAGCGCAATGTGGTACCGTGGCTTCGGCCAAGAGCAAGAGGAGGAACGGAGGGTTTTTAGTCAGTAAGAGTCTGACACTCTCGCCTTTCCCTGGGTGGGAGAAGTCATTTGATGACTTTCAACTGACAACAAAAAAGTTTACCTTAGGCTTAGGGCATACATAGGTATTTTAAAACAATAGTAGAAAATAAATGGCATTGTTAATTTGGCAGACTGTTCGTGTTGTTGCAAACTTGTGTCTGGCGGAACGCGTGGGTCGAGGTCTGGCGGACATACACGCAGGACGGATTGTCAACTCTCTACTTGCTTGCCTACAACTTGCTGAGAGGATTATTGCACATACGGTTAGTCAAATACGGTTCAAATTATATCAAATATTGTTTTTGATAATATTGTGTATTTTACTTGTACAAATATACAGGGGTCCCTGCCAGGGGTTCTGGTCAAAATAAAACAGATTTTTCTATAAAACCAATATGGAAATCTCAAAAGTATTTACTTCTCAATGCAAAATGATCAATCTGTTGCGATTTGTATGAGCATATAATTTATTTTGAGGAAATAAAATTACTTAAGTCACTCGATTCAAAGGATCACTAAAATTATGTGTTTTTTCAGGACAAATCTTTGCCAGAAAATATACCACCGGTGGAGCGCGCCGAAGAATTGGCGACGGCGGCGCTGGCTACCCTTAATAACATGACCTTCTACCGCGAGCCGCCAGACCCACCAGACCCACTCCACGTGCCCATTGACAATATATGCAAAGGTAATCTATGGATTCGATTGTTAAACACCTACAACTAAAGTCAATTTTAATAATACAAGTGTTAGGTATAATTTTCTTTTGAGACTTCTCTGCACATAGGGCTACTTAACGCTACGCCTTGGCTACAGAAAATACTCGGATAGCTATGTATGCGCTAATTGTTGCTACGACTTACTACGCAACTATAACTACGCTACGCTGTAGCTGTAGAGATGCTCCGGTGTGGTTACAGAAATACTCCGATAGCTATGTATGCGCTGTATGTGGCTACGCTGCTACGTAATATTATTGTTTTATAATAATACTCTACGAATGGCTACGATACAATACTCAGCCGTAGCTGCGCTACGCTGTAGCTACGCTGTAGATACGCTACGCTGTAGCTCCACTACGCTGTATCTAAAGATGCGCTTCGGGTTGGTTACAGAAATACCACGTGAAACAACGCATATACTACACCGCTGCAACCATGCATACGCTATATAGGGTGACTAGTAACTATTGACCGATATTTAAACACAACATGATTGTACCCATGATAACAAACAATTCTCTCAAAGAAACTTTTTTTCTACACTCATTAGTTTTATATTTATTGATATTTATAACAAACTCCTCGCGCCCTCTGGGCATCGCCCGATCAGCTGTTACTGGCGCGACCTAGTTTAAATTGTGCACAGTAGTAGTAAGTGTAGAAAAATAGCTTTTTTTTTTGGGAAAATTTGTGTGTTATCACAAGTTCAATCACGTGTATAAATATCGGTCACTAATTACTAGTCACTTTATGTAATAGAAACCTATTTTGTTGAATAGTGGCTATTAGAATTTTTCGTATGTTGTGTAGCGACGTGTCGCTGGCTGAGCGGACGCGGGGCGGCGTCGTGCGAGGCGGTGCGCGCGCTGGGCAACGTGTCGCGCGCCACGCGCACCGCGCAGCTCATCGTGCTCGAGGGGGCACTCGACAGGCTCGAGCCATTCCTCAACCACGGTAACTTATACATTATAATGATTATTCTACGCTGAGGGACAATGAATGTCATGTCTCTATATGTGTTTTTTTTAAATACATATTTTTTTCATAAATGTATGACAAAAGCGTTTACAAACATACTATTTCATAGATGAAGTATGTTTGTAAACGCACCCACGACACAGGAGAAAATTTTAGTGTGGGGCAACGTTGAAAAAAAAATCTTTTCATTACGGCTAATAAACAATAGTATTAAGCCAAATCCGTCTTGAGCAAGCGTGGTGGTTCGTGCTCAAATCTTCTCTTTGAGAAGAGGTCTTTACCCAGCAGTGTCTACTATAGGCTGATGATGATAAAATTTAGTGAATAGAATATGGTTGGGAAAATAGGCTGATGAAGATTAAATTAGAGAGTAGAATATGGTTGTGAAAATAGGCTGATGAAGATTAAATTAGAGAGTAAAATATGGTTGTGAAAATAGGCTGATGATGATGAAATTAGAAAGTAGGACATGGTTGGGAAAATAGGCTGATGATGTAGTAAATTAGTAGTAAAATATGTTTGGGGAAAAGTTGAGATATTGACGGTGGAGTGTCGCATGTGCCCAGAGGACAGCAGCGTGCGCTGTGCGGCGGCGGGCGTGCTGGTGAACGTGTGCGGCGCGGGCGCGGAGTGCGCGGCGGGCGGGGCGCTGGCGGCGCGCGCGCTGGCCGCCGCCGCCGCGCGACGCGACCCTCTGCCCGCGCCGCTGCTGGCGCGCGCGCTATGGAACGCGCATGCGCACCACCCCTACCCGCTCTCGCCTATACACACGCACGCCGTCTCCGAAGCACTCGCTGTCTTTATTGGTGAGTATATTAATTACCTGTATCTTTCTGTTTTAATCTGAATCGTAATTAGAATGTAGAGTAATATTAAAAATTGTCGTGTTTTACATAGAATATGAATCAGTTCGCAAGTTAACACTGTACTTGACAATAATACGTCGTAAAAAATATAGTTTAAATAGCATTACAACCCTATATTCGTTGTTCCTTATAATATCTATCAACCGAACATCATACAGGAAACTCAATTGGATACCACATTTTGAAAAATATTATTTAAAATATGGATTATACATATAATGATACCATGGTAGGGTTACCATGGTAAGCGTCATGTCACCGGGACAACCCTACTGTGATAAATTCTAAACCCGATCTTTATACGATTTATGTTTCAATTAGGTATTTTGCTAGAACGAAAACATTTTAAATTTTCAATACAAAATCATACTTTTATTAATTAATTTGACGACGTACTCGAGTAGACTCTTTCTAGATAATTTTGCAGATTAAAGTATGCTATTTGACGTTAAAACATTATGACGTCATCTGTTAAGATTTTATAAAAAAAATCATAGAAAAATATAGGTCATATTTTATGTTGAGATCATAGGAAATTTAAAAAAAATATAGTTTTAGATATTTCAACAAAAGTGTTGAGAATTTGAGTACCTAGTTGGAAACAACCGTAGGTGTGTCAAATATTTCTAAAATAATTAGTTACTTATATTAAAAAAAAACCTATATGTTTGACCTAGGAAACTACCCAATTCCAATCAATTTACAGCAACTAAGAAATAAACTCGTGCGTGTGCCTACGGGATTAACTTGAATAAAGAAAGTAATGTATATTAACTAAAAACTTACGTTGCCCACATAAGTTTATCATTTTGTATAATAAATGTAGGAAAATTGATGTAATTTATTAAAAAGACAGGATTATTACGAACGATACCAAAGCCACGCATGTTAACTACCTACGTTACTTGCAGGCTCATAGCAATAAGTTTCATGATTACTGAGATTTGCTATAAAACACTGACTTATCAGCTAATCACTACATAATATAATACAAAGTAGCTTTTTCTATCCCTGTTTCCAATGTATGCTTAAATCTTTAAAACTACACAACGGATTTTGATGCTACCTATTTTATGAAATTGACAAGAAGAAGGTTTATATCTACATATATAACATATATTTATTAAATAGTAGATAACTTTACTATCAAAATTGAACCCGCGTGAAGCCGGTTCGGGTATAACAATATTTCGAACAGGAGCAGGAGCAGAACACGTTTTAACCGCTTTTAAAAATAACTAGCCGTATGATAAAAATATATTTCACAATATTTGCCCAAGCTTTGGAACAGATTTCAGAATCATCATTGTTCAACTCAATGTTACTATTATATGTTCTGTGTTTTAATACGCAATGAGTAATATAAAGATAGATAAATAAAATATAAAAATAAATACACCAAAAATAGTTTTTACACATACAAAACCCAATATAATAGATGATACTTAACAATTATTACAATCAATGTTAAACTGTGTACTATAAGTAATTTTATGTACTTATACAATGACCTAATAACTTGTACACTATCAATATCATAAATAGTATCTATTTCTATCATTGATAACTTATCAAAAGAAAAGAAAAAGAATGATAGTAGTGTAAGCTCTACCGCTATTTCGAACTCTTACTCAAGTGACTCCGTGGCGCAACGGTAGCGCGTCTGACTCCAGATCAGAAGGTTGCGTGTTCAAATCACGTCGGGGTCAAACTTCTCTTTTTGTAATTTTCTATATTTTTTATTTCTTTTTTATCTTGTTATAGATGATGAATCTGTTTTTGCTGCTTGCGAAGCAGACAAGCTGGGAGAACAATGTGCAAATAGTCAAAATATTTCAAAACACCACGTGAGTAGATATTATTATAAACAAAAAAAAAAATTTATTTTAATTTAGGTACCAAATAATAATAATAATTCATTCCTTTATAAGAATTTCAATATGATTTTTCGGTGCCTACATTGAAAATTATCTGTACCCCTTATTCTACGAATATTATCTTTAAATTAATAAAATAAAAAACATATTTTCAAAATCTATTTTGGCTATCAGGTAACATTCGACTTGGAGAACAATAACTACGCCCCCGACACATCTTGCTACGATACCACCTCAAAACGAATAAGTCGCAAGAACAGTCTAGAAAAAGACGGTGACGTCACAGGGGAGGACTTAGGCTTTGAGGAGGGTGATGTGGAGGAGTGCTGGTGTGAGCCCTGCCGTCGCCTAGCCTCGTGGGACGAACTTGTAGGAGTCGCCATACCCTTGTTAGAGAGATTGCGACCTCCACGGGCAGACGCCTCTGTCGGCACAGAGTAAAAAAGCAAGTCATACCGGACCACGTGAGATGTTTTGAATTCGGAATAAAAGAAAAAAGTCTGCTAGACTTTGGATTGTATATGGCCAGTGACTTTTGTATTATTTTTAAAAGGATAAATATTTGAAACGTAATTAAAGAAAAAGTTGCAAGGTTGTGAATGTTTGGTTAAATGCATGAAAAAAATAAAATTTTAACATATGGAGTTGGATGATTATTAGTTAAATTGTTATCAACTTTTAAGGCACTTGAATTATATTTGATGTTAATGTAGAGTGAGACATTGATGTGGAATTATGTGTATCTGTTTTTAATATTATTTAAGTAGCTTAGCCAATTTAGTCTATACAGAATACGTACCTACTTAAGTCTCATCATGAAGTGAGCTGTGTCTGTAATGATTACTAATGTTCTTTGTACTTATTGCAATTAATGTTTTCACTGCCATACAAACATTTTAATAAATAAATGATAATTGTGATGAATATCACCATATGGATGTTAATACAACATGAGAAGTTTTACATCCTTCGATAGGGGTGTCCATAGAGTCGCCCACTTTTGACCACTTGTGTCGGGAGTCCCTTGAATAATACTTATATACTTATATAATACTATTAAAATTACAATATAATTGACTGAATGGTTTGCACAATGGCTGACAGCAGCTAGTTGTGCTGTGCAACGTATCGCGGGTCCGCTCTCGTAGGAAACAACACTGTGTCATCCACAAATTGTTGTTTCGGGGTCTGGGTGTGGCCTGTGCATGTGAATTTATATGTTTGTTAAGTGCACCCAAAATGAGGCAACGTTTTTTTTAAACAAGAAAAATATGTTTAAAATTCTAAACACGATTTATTGTTTTCTTAAGAATCAGCACGACATCTTTTTCCGGGCCGTGTTTTCTTATAATGATACAATATTATTATTGATTTGTTAAATTTTATATTAAATCACGGCTGTCGCTGTAGCTGGGCAACCGGCTGCCGAGAAACGTGTCGCGGGTCCGAATCCCGAATAACCCTTTGAGCGATTTGCAAACTATTTTTCGAAAACTAAAACTATAAGAATTGCGTGGCGTGATGTGTATAAGAATTTGAATGTTTGTACAGTTTAAAAAATCGTTATGTATACAAGTACTTGGGTATTTAAATAAATAATGTTAATTATGTTAACTTTATATTGTTGAGTTCATATATTGCATCTTTTCGCGTCACTAGAGGCGCTGGCGTCGTATTTGGTCACCACACAGGACATGAATGAAAAAAAATTGCAAAAAATATATTTACAAGTACTCTTACAACTTCTTTATTATTATATTTTCATAATGCTAATTAGTGACTCAGCAGGGCTAATTAAATTTAAAGAAACAGGTATGGAATTTCAAATTACGGTAATTATGACGCCATTAGTTCCCTAATGTACTACCCTGGTATGTAATTAAATTAATGATTAGTTGTAAATATGCAATATTGTCAATTATGTTAATCGATTTGCGAATTTTTTGTTGTTTACACTGTAATTATGAGGACATACTAGTAAATAAAGATACCTACTTATTATTTTCAATGTGTTTTTCATTCAATTTTAACTGATAATAATATCGTTTATTACTCAGTATATGGTGCACACAGATCTTAAAAATACAGCAGTTTCACATACACAACCGTCGCCGGTGTAGTAATAATATTAATAGAATAAAATTGAATAGTTTTCAATACCCTGTTTTTAAATAGTACTATCCAGTTTATTAAATATCTGGACCACCTTCGTCAACGCCAAGAATGAAAATTCAAAAAATTTTTTGATGGGCCGTAAACGTTCGGACAGGTTCACATTGCAAACCCTCATGGCCAGAGAAGCTACGAGTGTGTTGTCGGCCTTTTAGGGGATGAGATTTGAGAATTTGGAATTGAAAATAGGGAGAAGGAAAAGGATTGAAATTTAGATAACTTCACACACGGCAAAGCATCATATCCAACCACCGTATCTCAAAATCTCTGAATGTATAGCAATTTGTGGAGTTTGTTGTTGTTGATAGCTTATGATTATGACTGACCCTATCTTCCCCTTATGAGTATTATTATATACTCGGGTATGATGAGATGGGTCTTAAGGTGTTTTTAATATTGTGCGGATTTCCTATCGCATGCAGGATTGCCCCACATGCGTAAATCCCGCAAAAGTCCTTTTCATACAAGTATTTATTACAATATGTGGTATATGCACCCGGACGCGGGGCGTGATCCTAGGCAGTGGCAACGCGCCACCTCCACATAACAGATAAACTTCAAATAACAGGCCATACTGCGACCTTGTCATCTTATTTCGTCGGTTGTCAACTTTCTGAGTTAGTCTTTCCATTATACACAACCACAACGCGTAGCAGCCCGCATAAAACTAAATTGTATGCTACCGAGTTTTACGCTGCGTAAAATTTTCTGCATGGAAGGCAATCCCGCATGCGTTATAAAATCGGCAGGATATTAAAAAAGAATTACGCTAGATTCTCAAACATTCTCTGTAACATTTTTTTATGCAGTAGCTCGGCAAACGAGCAGACGGATTACCTGATGGTAAGCAATCAGCGTCGCCCATGAACACCCGCAACGGAGGAGTTGCGAGTGCGTTGCCGACCTTTTATGGATTAGGGTTTTGGAGATTTTTGGATTGGGAAGGAATCGGGAGAGGGAAAGGATTGGACCTCCGGTAACCTAACTCACATGGCGAAACACAACGCTGTGGTTGTTTCACGCCGGTTTTCTGTGAGGCCGTGGTATAACTCCGGTCTAGCCGAGCCATTCGTGAGAACATTACGTTCGCCCTTGCAATTTATGCGTGCTGATTGCTGAAGTGATGGAGTAGGAGTACCTTTGGTCGAGACCTCATGGCATCTATCGACGATGCTCCTGTTTGAAAACCAATCTTGGTCAGGTCACTTAAACAATATTTTAAGGTATACAGAGCCAAAATAAAATCTACAACTGCACGGTTGACGTAGTTGCCGGACAACTGACTGTTGTGCAACGTGTCGCAGGCCCGATTCTCGTCCAGCACATTATGCGATCCTCCTTTTTTTTAATTTTACCATAATGCCGATGTTGTTGTACCATATCACATGTATGTATATGAACACATTGCTGTAGTTTGAAATTGGAATGTAATTACCATAAATGTCAAATGGCTAACAATTTTGTCGTTTTGTGAACTATAATTTCAATTTCACAATAAAAGACAAATATCAACAATGATTGGTGCAATGTGTAAGAATAGATTACAAAGGAAACGAGATGTGAGGAAGTATCCACGTACTGCACGTGTAGTGTGTGGTTACGGAGGGCCAGAGGGAAGTGCGCGATCGTTTGGTAACTCGAGTGGCGCAAGCGCACCGCGACAATGTCGATGTGCGAATGGACCTTCGACTGGGCGACGTTCCACGCCTTTATCTACAGGTTGTTTTTGTTTTTTCTTTTACTTGCTATAAACTAGTGCTTTACTGCGATCCTATCTGATGGTAAGCAGTGATGCAATCGTTGATGGTAAGGCGCACTAGTTTATTAAGAGCCTATTCACTCTAGCCTTGAAGACAACAAGAAATTATATTTGTTTTATATTATTTAATTAAATATGTTTGTTTTATTGACGACACAATATTTTTTCTGAAATGCTAAATTAAATGTTTTAGCAAGTTAAAATAATCATTTTGATGAAAATACGCAGATTCAAAAAAATATCCATCTGGAAGACCTTTGGTGAAATCAACACTTTGGGGCAATTGGGTTACGAGCTTCTGTTATTGCCGTATTAGTTACTGAATGGACACATAAATTCGTTACGTTCGAGACATTTTTATGACATGACAAAGAGCACTTTTTATCTCTCTTAAGATCTATAAAATGTAAATTCAGTAAGAAGTTCCGCTGAGAGTTCATCTTTGATGATGACAAAAATCTCTCATAGTTTAATATAAGTAGAAATCAAATACTGATATTGATGGACTCGAAATTTGTATAAAAAGAATACAGATAAAATATGATTTAAAGTTCATTTAAAAAGTAGCAGCCTGTATCTGCCGACAGGAACCAAGTTTTGTTATAAAGTTATTCCTTGCGACGTGCAAGCGACCAATAAGCATATTTTTACTGTTTCGACCACATCTAGTCAAACGAGGTACTGTGATCCTTATTTTGTTTTTTTTAACCTCTTCCGAAAAGTTGCAAATGTTCGCAGTAGACGTAATAAAACACACAAAAGGAATTCAGGACTAGTGTAACAATTGTTTCATCTTATAGTGTTTTTTTTTATGTGATAGGATAGGATACGCATTTCCTAATGGTAGGCAATCGGCACCGCCCATGAACACCCGCAACACTGAAGGAGTTACGAGTGCGTTGACGACCTTTTGGGGATTAGTCATTTGGAGATTTGGGGAGGAATTGGGGGGGGGATGAACAACGGTGTGGTTGTTTCACGCCGGTTTTCTGTGAGGCCATTATGGTATCGATCCGGTCGAGTCGATCCCTTTATGGATTGGATTGGATCTCCCAATATGCAGTGCAACCGCTTTTTGATTTTTTGGAAATTATACCAAACTAAAATTAAATTTTAAATGTTCCTAATGAGACATTGATTTGTCACAAAATATTAGAAAACATTACATTACATCAACTAATTCCACCATCTTCATTAGACTTATAAATTCCACAAATTATTTCCACTAATTATTGTATAATGTAACTGGTACTACAGCATTCTTGTTCATTGTATTTAATGGGCTGTGAATCTATTTTGATATTATTTATATAGTAACGTCGGTGCTGTAATTTCAGTGTAAAAGTTGCAGTGATACAAAAATGGTGCGAAGTAGTCTAGCGGTGATTTTGATTGTGGCTTTGTTCACAAATGCGTTCTGCGTGCCAGCCGTTGGATACCGAAGAAGAAGAATGCCCCAAGAAAACAAAAGTTCTAAAGAATCAAGTTTTATTATTCCCGTCACTGAATCTGTAAGTTTTTTTTTGTTCTATATATTACTAGCTTACGCCCGCGACTTTAATATATAGATATATATACCCGGGATTTCAAAAACACTCTCGTACTCTCTACACCGCCCACTGTTAACGTTAGTATAGATAGATATCTCTATATAACTATGTATAATTTAATGTATATGTATGTATAATTTAATAAAAAAATATAGTAAGTATAGTTTACAGCCTATAGCACTCGGGAAAATTGTAGCTAGCTATCCATCAGTGAAAGAATATTAGAAATCTGACTAGCGCCTCTACATAAAAACTTAAAATTTTACCTCATACCTATAATATTAGTACAGTACATACAGTAATTTAAATATTCAACTCAATATTCCAATTGCAGAACGAAGACATAGATTCGATTATTGTGTCTTCACCAAGCTCTACTACAGTATCACTAAGTCCAAATAACGAAGATGACGACGACGATGATAATGATGACTTTGGCACACCGAGTCATGGGACATCGACGGGTGGCGGTGGAGGCAGTAACTTATTCAGTTTGCTGAACCTCGCCACGTCTCTGATGCCGGCATCCGGGTCTGGTTCGCCGGGTGGCAAAACCAATACTGTGAGTGGCCCTTCCATCAAGTCAAATTCACGATATTCGAAATCGTATTCTATATTTTTCTTTTTTGTTTTCTTGACATCCTGCACCGACTTATTTGTCATTCTTTATCATTATACTTCCTCGGTAACTCCTTAAACAGCTTAACTGATTTTTTTGGTATAAATATACAAGTTACGAAAGTTATGTGGAGGGTTTTTCTAAATAATTTCCTCGTCAGATTGTTTGGTTTTTTTATTTCGGACGTAAATTTACTGCAATATAAAATTACCAAGTACCTACTCGATGAAATTAAAGAACGCACATATACACAAACCTACTATGCATCCTTGCACATTCTGTAATGCACCGGTTGCCTTCTTAAGTTCACGCGCACAGTCAAGGCTTTTTACTTTCATTATCTGTCGTGCACCTAGATAGTGGTTTGTTGCAACGTGTTGTGATGCACTGTTACTGAATCTTTGCACCGACAAATGCACTTCACATTCAAGGTAAGTTAAGCATTTTTTTTAATTTATTTGGTCATAACATAAATAACTCCTTTGCGAAGTTAAACCAAAAATAGTAAACAAGAATTGACATTACAGGTGAAAAACAACAATATAATTGTAAAAAAAATGATACAAGACTTGATACGTATAAATCGTAATCAAATTAAACTCGCACAAAGACGCAAAGATATTGCAGACAACGTTATAGATATCGACTACACAGACATAAAACCTCCTCCGTTCCAAAAGCTTGAAGACCTTGATGACGATGAAAGTGGTGGTAGTGATTCAGAAGGTTCCGACGAAGATAACGGTGGAGAGGAAAGTGTGGAAAAAGAGAGCAAAGAAAATGGAGGATCTAAACAAGATTCTACTTCAGATACCGAAGACGACAACGATGATGATAATGACTCGGATTATGATGAGCCACCGGAAGGAGATGGCCAGGGTGGTGGAATACTAGGTCTTCTTGCCGGACTAAGTGGCGTAAGTCTTAAAGAAATGTAAATGAGTGTAGAAATAAAGACTTATGACTAAATTAAAACTTTTCGACAGGATGGAGATTCCGATTTGGGAACTTTATTGGCGACCGTGGGTGGAATTGTCGCCAATTTGAGCGTAAGTTTGAATAAAAAATAATCCAAATATTATGGAGCAAACATCCAAATAAATACTAACTTTGAGACTTTTCAGGGAGATGGAATAGATGTGAATGCTTTAATAGCAACGGCATTGGGTCTTTTCGTTGGCTTACTGGTAAGTGTAGAAAACTCAAGAACAATGAGATATTTTTGTATGGAAATGGTTATAAAATACTTGTGATGGAATTTTTTAGTCTGAAGGCAATCAGAATCCCGGAGAGATAATCGGAAATTACCTTCTGACGTCACTTGACACGATCACAGGAGGTGGAGCGGTAAGTGATTATACAATAAAATTGTAATTAAAAGTTGGGAAAGGTTTTATTTAATTTTCATTTTGTCTTACAGCAAAACAATGGCGCATTCTTTGGCAAATTCTTGTCGACGCTAATAAAAGGGACGAGTGCGGTGAGACACATTCTAAACACATTAAAAGAAGTTGAACTAAATAAAGGGGAGTGTTTTTAAATGAGTGATAATGTTGTAGGCCGGTGATCCTGACGCTTCAGGGTCTAGTGAAGAGAATGGCCCAAAGATGGCGGACTCAGCTGGTTTCTTCGCAAGTCTACTGATGGGTCTACTCGGAGATATGTCTAAAACCAGTTCCGGAAGCAGTTGGCGATAGAAACAAAATACCGAATAATGTAGTAAATTAACTAGCGTGTTGTAGGATCATAAAAAAATGTTATTAATGCCCAGTGTCTGTTGCTTTTTTTATTTATGTAATATGTAAATAGTGGTGTTTAGGGTACGACACCGAGCAAGTATCAATGTGGCTATTCCTCAGTTATATGTAGGTACTTTTTTTATTTATACTTAGATTTACATAGGGTAAAGGGAAAATTTTATAAGAAACCTTTTTTGAGCAGGGAAAAGTCAAATGATTTCTCTCGCCCTTTTTACTTACTATTTGGGTATCCACAGGTTTAAAAAATGAGAAAAAAATACTTTGCGAAGCTTGGCACCAAAAAAATACTATCCCACATTTTTATCAAACCTTGTAAAACAATTGAAGATTTAATATAGTTTTAATTAGACATAAAAGTTTTAGGTTATAAAACATTGATAATAAGTAGGTAATAAAATAAAAACGTTCGTTTTAAGAATAATTATTTATTTCGATTCCATTTTAGGTATTCAATGTAAGTATAAATGTGCAGAGTTCACTTATAAACATAAAATACCTAATACATTCTTAAAATTAATATAGGTAGCCTAAGAAAAATACCGCGAAAACGCACATAAACGCTCTACAAAAATGTGTGCTGCTATCCTTATCATTACTCATGAATGCTACAATTTTGAGAAGCACATCTCAACTGTGTATGTATGTATACTATATGTATAATACTTCAATGTATTACCCAATTTTAACCTGTCAAAAGTTTATTGACACCAACAGCTAACCACTTTACTTATCATTTGTTTTTTTTATAGGTGCAAACAGAATCTACTACCCCGCCAGCAGCATCGCCCATATGGACCCTGAAAATGAACATTCTCCGATCCATTCTACAATTCGCCACCAGCATGATGGGCATCGCGTCATCTGCCTTCGCAAATTCCTCTTACTAATCTTAAGTCAAAATAATTTAGAGCAGTGCCATATTTTTTAGTCAAAATAATTATTTATTCACAACCTCCTTTCAGTAACTGGTGTTATTGTCAGCTCGTTGATCTGTAAATAAAAGAAATAGATTTTTATATAACTTAAAAAAGTTTTTCTTTGTCCCCTGACTAAACATTAGGTCGCAGAGTACTTTTTATAAGTATATGGAAATACTGCAGGGCGAAGAAAAAGGTAATTAGAATTACTGAAACAGGACGTAACCTTTTTTTGTAAATCGAAATCTGGAAAAACGATATATTATTATTACCATTATTGCTACATTGACTTTCAAAAATAATTCCGTGGTAGACATGATTAAAACTATGTTATGGCAATAACAGCGATACGCGAATTTACTCCGATCACGAAAATTCTGACCATGGGGAACTATACTTATATATAAACTAGCTGTGCCCCGCGGTTTCACCCGCGTTTTTGTCGTTTCCGTGGAAATACCGAGATAAAATATTGCCTATATTATAGCCTCCCTCAATAAATGGACTATTGAATATTTAAACAGTTTTCATAATTATCAGATCAGCATTTCCCGAGATTACCGCCTTCATAACAAACAACCAAACTTTTCAGGTTTAGGTATAATATTAAGAAAAATATAGATTAAGTTAAATTATAAGTCAAGTAAGCAATAGCTGTTTATCTGTTCGAAATTCAGCCAGAGTAAGAATTACGACTACAGGCGGGAGTGTCCGTCCACTTTAAACCGGTTTTTTTTTGTCAGGGGAGAATCATCCAATGACTTCTCCCGCCCAGGGTAAGGCGAGAGAGAGTGTCAGACTCTTACTGACTAAAAACCCCCCGTTCCTTCTCCTGCTCTGGGCCGAGGTCACGGTGCCTCATTGCGCTAACCCCGCAGCCCCGGCTAAACATCAGACCTTTAGGGCCCCGACTGTGGTGGTCTATTGGGTCTTTAAGGCGCGCGCGGAACGCTATGCGCCGTACGCGCGGGTCCGGTTCTGGTCGGGCGGCGAGCTACCCTTACTCGCCGTCCGCAGACCCGCGCTTACGGTGGCCGGAGATCATCTCTCGATCCCCGACGTCCGGAATGTCGCCTTCTGCGGCGGCTGGGGCGCGAGGAGGATAGTTCCCTCACGCGCTCCGCCTCCTCCTTTGCGAGCATAACTGCTTCGCAGAAGGAGGAGATAGCTTCCCAGTTCCTCTCACGCTGCACCATGGCCTCGATTCAGGCCGGGCGCGAGAGGTCGCCGCCGCCGATCACTTCCCTGAGAACACGGCGGTGCTCAGCCCAAGCAGGGCACTCCGCCACCGTATGCTCCACCGTGTCCTCCAGGTGATCCTCACAATGACGACACTCGGGCGTTTCCTCCCGCTGGATCCGAAACAGGAACCTACCAAAGCTGCCGTGCCCGGTAAGCAACTGCGTCAGACGGAAGGTGAGGACGCCGTGGCACTCTCAAGGCACTCCTCAAAGAGGGGTCTTACCGCTGCTATAGTAGCGTGCCCGGCCCTCGTTTGCGACAGTCGCTGCTTCCACTCAGACTTTAAACCGGGTTAAAATATCATTTTAAAGTACTTCTGAGTAAATTATATTTTTCGTTTTATTTTTAAAATGTAAAGGCATGTAAGGCAATCATTTGGAATAATTAGGATCCGAGGAATAAATACTGTTTGACCAACCACTGGACCAGTCAGAACTATTATTGCAACGATCACGTTATTGCGAACAAATTTAACCTAAAGTCTCCCGTTACATAAATTTCTAAGTAAAATAAAATAATTGGGGCACCAATTTTTAACTTGAGAGAATGTGATGGGATGCCCCTCGGGTTTAAAGAATGAAAAATCCCTGTAGATCCCTGTGGACTGCATATTCTTGATCCATTGGAAGTTTAGTTAAAATTAAATCGTTAATTTTGTCAACACTACTGTTTAGACTTTACTCTACTGTACACACTTTAGGATTTTCTCCTGTGTTGTGGGTGCGTTTACAAACATACAATGTCACATACACATAACACCCAGACCCGAAACAACAATTTGTGGATCACACAAAGTGTTGTTCCGTGCGGGAATCGAACCCGCGACACGTTACACGGCAGCCAGTTGCCCAGCCACCGCACCGACTGTGCACACTTCCATTGATAATCTTTATTTTCTATTTCGACGATATCTTTTGATATTAAACTCTCAATGCTAGTCTTTTTTCTCCTAAATCTTGATCAATAGGTATTTTATTTTCAAAATAAGGTACTTTTCCGTCTCCAACTAAAAGTAACTACAAAGGAAAATTTGTACTACCTCCTTCCAAATATGCTCTCATGTCCGTAGATAGTTTTGAGGTATGAACAAATTTCCAAAATAGAGAACTTTTAAGGCAATTTTTTACAATGTCTACTTTAGTTCCTCTTGTGTTCCTCTTACTACTACTGGTAAAGTTTGCCGAAAATCCCTGAAATGAGCTCTATGAATCATGGTACATTCATCCCAGATTAAAGTGACTAAAGTGACATCTTACAAAACTTTGCCTTAAAGGCCATTTTTACAAATAGAGCACACGCTCTTTCTGTAACGGAAAGGTTAGGTTATGTTAGTTTAAAAGTGTAATGAGCTGTGCGTCCGCCAGCTAATATAGTAGCAGCGATTCCAGATGACGCTACTGCCAAAGCTAGTTTTCCCTGAGACCATACTTTTGCTAATATCATATTAGTAGCTAATGAAAGGTTTGCCGGTTCCCCTGGAGCATCCAAAAAAATATTTTTCCCTCATTGAAACAACACTGAGCATAACACTATTGTTTGCCATTACCTGGTCATTAAAGAACTTGGGTGCATTTACAGTAATATACTCATTTAATTCATTTACATCGTATGGCTTCCGCAACGACATTTCCAAATTAAGATGTGTGTTTTTCCTTGGATTTCCCTTTCCTTAGCAGAGTTAGTTTAGAAATGTATTTCTTATACTCTTCTAAGATGTTATACTTACAATCATCAACAAATATATTACGAAAAATATTATTACAGGATTTTATGTTGATAAAAAACTCTATGGTCCATAACTCATTAATAAGGTACCAACTCTTAACATCTTACACACATGATAACTTTTAAACGATTGAGAGATTGAGAGGAAATAAAAAAGTATTTTAAAATACTTCTAAATAAATACTCTTGATAACATAATGCTTAATTCCGATAAAGAATAATATTACGATACATATTTAACGCTTTTTTTCCTTCAGACGATTTAATAATTATTTTGAACACAAAATCGGATATTGTGATTAAACCATGATAGCAAGATATATACTCTCGCGGACTTTTTGTAGGTTTTAATAGAATCTACAAACCCGTAGTACATCATTTTGTCAATAGTTTTTGCAGCGCACGCAAAAATAGGTTTTCGATTTTAATCCTTGTGTTACAAAATAGCAATTTTATTACAGATCCCTAATTTTGAATTAAATAAAATATACCTTCCTCGATAAATGGACTACATATCACTGAAAGAATAATTCAAATCGGATTTTTTTTTTGTTTTCGGAACCCGACTTATTAATCCTCAAACGACGAATTCTGTGCTCCAGCTCCAAAGCACACCCGCACACTATTTTGATAGATATGATTGAATTTGAACTTTGTTTAGCGGTAAGAAAGTGCAAATTTACTTTTTGACGTTAGGAACACACCTTTTCTTCTTTCACTTATTTCTTAGATACCAGTGAGTGCTTGTTATTTAATATGAACCTTATGTTTAACAGCAATAAAGCTCAAATTGATTCGACGTTTTAGTTAGAAAACGTTTGTATGTGAAAAAGAAAAGGACTGTTTTTAGGGTTTTCCCGGCAATTATTCGATTTTTTCTCGCCGTAAGAACCATCCTTGGACTTCAACGAACATCTTAAAAAAAGAATTGGCCAAATTCCCATTGGCCCAGGCGTTATTGAGTTATGCGCTTACAACACATTTTGCGATCCATTTTTATATATAAAGAAGAAGAAGAAAGATAGGTACTAACGTTAACAGTGGGCGGTGTAGAGAGTACGTAGAGACATGCGTCAGCAATGTCCTCGGGGCGCAGGGCGGGCATTTCTGCTGTGTCCTCCGTTACCACGTTCAGGCTAGTGTTCACCAAACCGGGAGATACGCTCTGAGAAAACAGAAATAGTTAATTTATCAAATTAATAGTAGCAGCACAGTTGACGCGGTGGCTATAGCCACGAACCATTTGTGTGTTCCACAAATTGTTGTTCTCAGTATGTGTGTGATGTGTACGTCATATGTTTGGCAACGCACCCACAACACAGGAGAAAATCCAAATAAATGGTATCGATATTTAAAAGGCCAAGCTTCGGTACAAATGGGTCGGCTCGACCGAAGTGATACCACGGCCTCACAGAAAACGGTGTGAAATAACCACACACGTTGTGTTTCGCAGTGTGTGTGAGGTTACCGAAGGCCCAATCTTTCCCCACCCCCGATCCCTTCCTAATCCTTTAATCTCCAAATCCCTAATCCCTAAAAGGTCGGCAACGCACTCGTAACTACTCCGCTGCGGGCGGCGATTGCTTACCATCAGGTAATCCGTCTGCTCGTTTGCCGATCTATTACATTAAAAAAGGGCAAAAAAAAATACTTTCGAGACTCATAGCTCATAGGCACTACGTTGAACCAACTGTTTGTTTAAGGAATCTATGAACTGATTTAAAAGGAGTAACCGTAGAGAATCTTGCTCTTTCTTCTCCATCGGAATCTACACTTTGGAACGAGCAAATAGCTTCAAAAAAAGGACTGACCACTGACTGACTTGACTGGCATCTTTACAAATTTGTTTCACGTTCAAAAGAGTCCAATTGAAATACTTAGGTAAATGATTTTTGACTTTAACTTCGACGTTTAGGTTAAATAGTAGGTTGTATTTGTCAACGAGTCGCCTGTATTTGTAAGTAGGTACTGGTGAAGCTGGTAACAAAATATACTTAAATTTTATTCTCTCTCTTTTGTGCAATTTGCTAAGGTGCGTGGCGCCCATGTTAAATGTAATCAAGTCGTAGTTGTTCAACTTACAGTAACTTTGATTTTATTCTTATGATCGGCCAGCTCGTTCAACAGTCCGGCAGTGAAGCCGGTGACTCCATACTTGGTGCTGGTGTACACGTTGAACTTCGAAGACATCGGCACGTAATGGCCCGCAATACTGAAAGTAACACGCATAATGCGCCATCTTAGATTCGAGATTCGAGCAAATTATTGACATGCGAGGTCATTGACTCCCCTTCTCTGACCGCGAAAGGTTGTGTTTTGTTTTGCCAATAAAAATAGCGAACTAGATTGTCACAGACAGCGGACATAAGTATCTGTAAATAAATAATTGTGTATGTTGCTTATTATTGTAGGTAAATTAGCTTCCGTATTGCTCTGAATGTCTTTGTAATTTAAATGAAACAGCTTCTTTCGGAAGGAATTTCGCTTAAGCATATTAAATTACATTTAACAATTTCTAGCATGTAGACTGTACCCACTGTCTAGTCTTAATTTCTAAATTTTGATTGTTTTGCACCACGTTAAGATATTTGCTTTTTTCCTTGTTATAGTAGGAATTCCATTTAGCAACATTACACTATTTGTGAGCAAAACCAAATATAGGCAAACAACTATGTTAATACTTACAATACATAATTTAATATCTACACGTAGTTATAACGGAAGAACAGGATAGAAGATGAAAGAACAGTTATTAAGGCAACAAGATACGCAAAATACAAAAAATTCCAATAATTTAGATCATTATTTAAAAACAAGTTTTTTTAAAAATACCTGTTAATGTTAATGACATGGCCGTCAAAATTATTGCTCCTCATTGACGCGATGGCGTGCCTGGCACACAGTATAGTGCCTTTTAGGTTTGTGTCAAGGATCGCTATGATATCTTTCTCGCTTATCATGTCGTTGCCCGCATCTGTAATGTAATAACATAGAATAAAATTAACTATAATAATTACATCGCTTGCTTCGTCTGTCATTATCAGGTATAGAGCTATGATGGGCTTCGTTGGATGAGAAATCGGTGGCTTTTTATATTTTCTGAGAATCTTCAAATGGCCAAAAACCTACTCTTTTTTTAATAAAAAAAAGTCATCAAAATACTTCTCCGGGATGGCACAAGACGTGTTGTTAGATCACATAATTACACACAAGCCCGGAACATTAATTTATGAATCACACAAATAGTAGTTCCGGACAGGAATCGGACACGTTAAGCAGCAGCCACTGCTCGGTACCACAGCCACTACTCAATACACACATAAACTAAAACGTTTAGATACATCTATCATCATCGTCATCATCATCAGCCTATAAGTGCCCTCTGCTGAGCGAAGGCCTCTTCTCATACAGCGACAACAACTTTCTCAATGCGGGTTGGCGATTTCAAACTTATAATTAGAAATTATAAGTCTAGGTTTCCTCACGATGTTAACCTTCACCGTATGTCAGTGGTGTCTAAATAATCATAGAAAGTACATATAACTCGGAAAAAGTCACATTGGTACTTGCCAGGTTTCGAACCCACACCCTCATGCATGAGAAGTGGGCTCCTTAACCTCCGGGCCACCACGACATAGATACATCTATAATGAATGTTAATATCGACCTAGCTATTGCTTCGAACAAATACAAGGGAAAAGATAGGATATAAATAGGAATAGGTAATAGTAGGTAGCAACCGCTAAGATAAATGGAAACGGAAAACGATGGGAAGTATCAAGAGCTTTATTTACCTGTAATACCACCAGTAACGAAGATACCAGCGTTGTTGACCAGAATGTGGACGCAGCCGAAGGTCTCATTGATCCATTTGAAGGTGGCAGCCACAGATTCAGAGCTCGAAACATCACACGCATGAGCTGTTATACTGCCAGAACCAGTCACTTGGCTTTTCAATGCCTGGGTCCAAAAAATAAAAAAAAAAAACAATCAGACACCAAACATATTTGTCCTCACAAACCTTTGATATACTTAGATGAAAAATAAACTCTAAAGCTCACCTCAATAGGTTGTGTTCTCCTTGCCAGGCCGACGACTTTGATCCCGGCGTTGGCAAACCCCACGACAATGCCTGCTCCTATACCTGAACTCGCACCAGTCACCACAGCTGTCTTGCCAACCCAGCGCTCCATGCTGCATTAACAATATTAAGGTTAACTAATCAGAATATATCTGGCATATACCTACCGACATATACCTACGATAACCGAAATGCCTTTAGTATATCTTATAATTGATATTATATAAGAAAATATCATAACAAGTACCTAATTTAAGATGGTTTGAAATAGATAGATATTGCTAAAGATAATAGAAAATGATCCGTCGACATTCTCGTAGGTACATTACTACTTAGCCAAGATGTTTTATGTACATTGTTGCAGAAATAAATAATGCACAATTTTTCTGGTAATTAATTTTCCTATTTTTTCTGAATGGTCATATGATAAACTAAAAGACATTTTAAGGTTATCCATTATTTACTGGACATCCTGTATGTACCTATCTATTATTTCAAATCTATAACAAGTAGTTAGATTGTACTTAAAAAGAGGTTCTGCCGAAAACCGTTTTTGTTAATTAAAAGTGTCTGTTCTTGCCCAGTGTATGGCAAGCGGTAGTGTCAGACAGACTCTTGCTGACAAATAACGCCCCCGTTCCTGCTCATGCTCCAGGCCGAGGCCGCGGTACGTTACTGCGCTTGACCCGCGACCCCAGCTAAAAGGTTGATTGCGCAATATGAAGGTGTTATAATTAATCGCAGATAAATGGTCAATCCAATATAATAAAAAATCAAACCAATAGTTTCAATGGTTAGGCTCGGCAATGAAAACAAACTCTTCACCTTTAAAAATATAGGCATACTAGATTTATTCTTTTGCTACTTATAAGTATGTTACCATCATGATCATCGCCTGCCTATATGTGCACATTGCTGAGCCAAAGCCTTTTCTTTCAGCATTAATCACATTTATGATTTAAAACTTATTAAGAATTAGAAATTAAAAGTCCCATGTTTGCTCATGATGTTTTCCTACACTATACATATTTTTCAGTAAAGTCTAAATAATCGTAGAAGATACCTACATATAACTCGGGAATTACCTTGCTGGGAGGCATTTTTTTATTTATTTTAAGGTTTGCCAAAATTTTTTCTCCCTATCAGTTTGATTCAGAAAATGAAATATATATATCAAACAATGTTTAAAGGCGTCATTACCATTTATACTATAAATAACGTGAATGGAGTTCGTTCGCATAGTACCTAGGTGTTTAAAGAGCAATCATTCGCTGCACTGACTATCAATGTTATCGTTACATCGTTTAACAATGTAGGTAAATAACTCAATGCTTGTGTAGATTACAAGACCTACAGACTATACAAATAACTCTGTTAATCTGTCTCGTTTTCATTTCTTAATGCACTTCTTGTAGAAGATTCTCTGCTGATGTCTGAATCCAATGAAGGGATTTCTGAAATAACTCGAGCGCGTCAGATTAAGTTACGGAAAATGACTAGCATCCTATTGAATACACCTATTGGGTATATGCCTAATGCGTAATGTAGATAGAAGGAGGGTTAAGTTATTAGTACAGCGTTTAATAGCAATAGCAAGTAAAGGAACGGGGTGCCTTACTGAGGACGGCAATTGATTTAAAGCATTTTTTGACGGACTACATACGATGGGCTGACAATGGTACCCACATGTCACAAGCCTCTAAATAACAAATGAATATAAAAAAATACCTACTTATTAATATCTAAGGCATTTTATTATTGTTATTCTAAGTATAATTATTCTCTGTATCACTTTTCAATAAAATCCGTTCAGTACTTTTTCTATGGAATAATGACAAACATCAGTATTTTACATCTTCACAAACATTCGCATTGACGGATCGAGTGCACCTACTAAAATAACAATATATAAACAAACTATTATTAGTAATTAGTTACTTACTTGTTTCCGTTAGTCCGAATAAGTTTTTACACAAAGTTTGAGACTAAATGTTTCCAAGAGACCGTTCACTGACGCTTAACCGAGCAGAATGATTCGCGATCAATTCGAAAGCCTCAAGATACCGCAATATAAGGCATCCAATATTCAATTAACTACATAGAAAATACGAGCGAAGAAACAGGTGAATATTTTAATAGCAATATTTAAATAAATTATTGGAATTTAAGAGATAAGGAGGTAGATAATCCGGAACTCTGCCTTTGTACATAAGGCACGCATTTCATTTGGTTCTTTAATTTCAATTTATTTTCAATATCATCATGTCACACACATTACCTTCACTCCAGGACATAGGTAAGCCTCTCCCAATGACTTCCAGAATCGGTTGTTAAAAGCAACATGCATCTAACGGCTTTCTCCTATCTTTATTAAGACCCTTGTCGTTCAATTGCAAAGTAAAACTTCAAAAAAAATATAGTCAAACATCCTCATTGATCCAAATAATCAAAAGCGCGTGTGCGGAGCAAGCAGCAACGGATTAGTTAAAAGCTCGAATAGAGAAAATATTAAATACTAGCTTCTGCCAGCGACTTCGTCCGCGTGGAATAGTGAGTTCTGGCAGATTTTTGGTTTTACACCCACATAGTTCCCGATCTCATAGGATTTTCGGGAAGTGTTCCTTCTGAATTCCAGGGATAAAAACTATCCTATGTCCTTTCTCGAGTTTCGAACTATGTCAGTCCTAAATATTATCCAAATCGGTTGAGTATGTGTAGTTTAGGTGTGAACATATTATTAAGTGGTTGTGTTTCGCCGTGTTAGTGAGGTGATCGGAGGCCCAATCCTTACCCTCCCCAAGTCCGTCTCCAATCTCTAAATCCTTATCCCCTAAAGGCCAGCAGCGCAATCGTAACGCCTCTGGTCTCCAATTGTCCACGGACGGCCGATTACTTACGATTAGGTCGTCTGCTCGTGTGCTATCCTATAACATAATAAAGAATATGGAAAGAGGTCGTCGACCTTGAAACGGTAACACAACCTTGGAGTTCATTTACCTTAAACTTTTATTTTTATCAATGTATCGAAGCATATAGCATTGGTAATGAAAATATATATCCGGTTGTTTCAGTACATTTAGATTATGTTATCAATATACTAATACTGTACAGCGCTAACTTAGACGGTATTGTCAACTGTAAGGATGGCGAACTCGCTTAAAATTGAGGTATGCACATTAAAAGCCACTAGTTCAAGAATAGAATATTGTTCCTTTTGCTTAGTAGACGCTATTGCGATTAATTTGTCAACGTAGCAGTTATAGCGAAGTATACCTAATTTTAATAGTATTTACCTAAGACCTAGGATTACCAGCTGATTCACTCTCTTTGTAACAGACTTTAAAATAAGGTTTTTCAATTGGCAACAATATCTCCATCTTCATTGTAAGTGAACCTCCAGTAGGACCTCCAGTAGGGAGACCAGCTGATACGGTGGATATGTCAATCTGAGAGTTCTAGAAGGAACACTACATACTAAGTAGGCATGTACCTATATACGTTGTCCCACGTTGATTTTCTCCTGTGTCGTGGGTGTGTTTATAAACATATAATTTCACACATTCACACCCGGACCCGAAACAACAATTTCTGGATCACACAAAGATTGTTCCGTGAGGGGATCGAAACCGCGACACGTTGCGCGGCAGCCAATTGCCTAGCCACTGCGCCGAATGATGTACCTCAGCCTCTGCCTAGCGGCAGGGGAAGCAACAGGGCAGTTTTAAGCCAATAAGTCTGATATTCCGGTTTACCCCATCCAGGGTCGGGAGAACCCATTCGATGACTTTCTCCCATAAAAATAAAATAATATAATGCTGTCAGGTAGCATATCTAAGAGTTAGACAGGCAACCGCCCCCAATCCCAAAGTCTCAAAACCCCTAAGCCCCAAAAGGTCGGCAACGCACTCGCAGCTCCTCGTGGTTGCGGGTGACTATGGGCGGCGCTGATTGCTTACCATCAGGTAATCCGTCTGCTAGTTTGCCGACCTATCACATAAAAAACACTACGTTCAATATTTCTATCGGTAAGCTACCTTGCAACCAACAATGTCTCTAAAGCGCATGATGACCTCGTGCCCTTACTTAATTCAACTATTCAAGTGCAGTGAGCGGCAAATTGCATAGTTTACAAGGCTTTGTTTTTATATTAAGTAAATAAACCTACTCAAACTAACCATTTAAGTAATTGTTAATTACCCTAGTTTTCGGAACAATATTTTATAAATTCTTCTTAATATTAAAAACGATTATTTCCTCCGATGTTTGGGAGTTATTAAATGTCTCTAGTGTACCTACGACGAAAAGTACTTACATACATTAGCAGGTAGGTACTTCACAACAGAAATGGCTAATTTAGATTTATTTATGAAGAACAATACAGCTGATTTCTACCTTTTGAGATTTGATCTATCTGATCTGACATAGGTACTGTGAAGGAAGACTTCGTGCGGAAACCGGGTCGTATTTTTTCTAAATAAAAGTTTGAAATCGGGAATCCACCTTGAGCAAACGTGGTGATTAATGCTCAAACCTTCTTCGTGTGAGGAAATGGCTTTGCTCAGCAGTATGCATAGGCTAATGATGTGATTTGATGATATTTTTATTATAACTTTCGTGAGACATTCTAAATTATTTATTATGTTATGTTATGTATGTATCGGCTTACTCACGTAATAATTTGACGAGATACTCGACTAGTTTCAAGCCATGCTAGAGGCCCATATTCGCGTGCGTTCGTGCAGCGGAATGTTGTTGAATTTAAAGATTTTAATTATGCAGATATTTAGTGTATGACGTCGTATAATTGTGTATGGTAAAAAAAAAATTGTGCACGCAACCATTGTGGAGAAATTCACCAAAAACTGATTCCGCTGGGCGAACGTTGTCCTGGCGGAACTTTTTTTAATCCATAGACTTTAGAAGAAAAGAGATGTATCCAAAAATTAGTGTGTATTTGTGTGTAATTGTGTATATATGAATAAAACTAGTGCATGCATAAACTTCGGAGAAATTCAAGTTTCCGCTACGCGAACGTTTGGCCATTAGCTAGTTTTCATATAAAGCGCTTACATAGAGAGCTGTAGATTTTTACATACGTTGTTTTGAATTTGTGTATATTTGTTTAAAAAACAGATTTAGAAAAAATCGTAGGGTTTAAAAGATAAAAATATAAACGTAAAATACGCTTATTAGGCCTTAGTTCTTAAAGTATGCACTTTAGGGTCTAGATCAGAGGTTCCCAAACTTTTTTTTCTCATAGACCACTTTAAACATTTTGCTGAACTGGTGGACCCCCTGCAACTATTACATTTACTAACATATTTCCAAAACCCGAAAATCAGATTACCATTTTAATCTGAGATAAACGTTATAATTTTAATGGGAGTTTAGTTAAGTATTTTAACCGTAAATCTCCTCGCTCTGTAATATTTAATCTGCTCCGTTTTTTTGTTACGGCTCTAAGACTGCGTTTGACAAGATATGACGAAGGAAACGCTATGAGAAATTTTTGCACAATTCCTCACAGTCTTGGATATTTTTTAGGTATTTGTGCGTGCAGCCAAAATGATTGATACCCACTTTTGAATGCTACTTTGAGCTCCTCATTAGTGCTAAGCTCGAGTAGCTCTTCATGATACAGGGCAACCAAATGTTGACCATACGTCTCAATATCTTCGTCGAGGCATTCTACCTGCGATAAATTTGGAAACTGGGAAAATTGACGTCGACCAACATTTTGCTTCATAAGTTTCAGTTTACCAAGAAAAGCTGAAATTTCACTCTTTGTTTTTATCAAATTGAGGCTGTCCCCTTGGAACTGTAGGTTGAGGTCATTGATTTTTTTTAACTTATCTGTCAAATACGCAATATGCTTTGAAATTTATGAGGTTTTCTTTTAAAACAGGATCTTTAGTGTTCAGAAACTCTAAAACAGTCGAAAATCAAATAGAATCTTGATAGACATGCACCTTTCGACAACCAGCGTACTTCAGTATGTAGCAGCAATCGTTGGAAGTCCTCATCGTTTTCTTCGCACAATTGTGCAAAATAAGCGCGTATTTAATGCATTGCTTTTTATTTTGTTGACTGCATTAATCACAAATTGAAGCGCTTGGTGCAATCTTTCGCTTCTAAAATTATTCAGTGTCTGTCTTTAAAGTTTAGTAACTCTTAAAACATATTTTGTTCGCCTTTGATAAATCGAACATATGCCAATAATAATGCTTCATTGCCAGGTAAAGTTGACTCGACGAGTTGAATAGAAAAATGTGTTGTTCCACAAGAAACTTTCTACATCAGAGCTCATTTCATCAATACGTCTTTGTACAGTGTTGTTACTCAAAGGAAATCTTTTAAGTATCAAATGAAGATTTGTGTATGACAGTTTTTAAGACCTCTTCAACAGCAGGCAAAATTAAGTCCTCTCCAATGGTATGCGGTTTCCCAGATTTTGCTATAAGTAATGAGATATTGTAAGGTAAGCCACCGTCGTTGCTTTCAGATGTTGAGGCGAACATACTATTCAAGGTGGGTCTCTTTTTATACTTTTCCTTCAATGTTTGGAAATATTTGATATCCTTACCTATTTTGTCAGGATGACACCTTCTTAGATGATCTTCCAGCTTCTATGGTTTCATAGAGTCATTGCTCAAGACTTTGTTGCATAAAAGACACTTGGGCAATCACTTGTCTGTATTTGATGGAATAAAACTAAATTTCAAATATTCAACACTGTACTGTTGAAAAAGAAGTGTCAAATGTGTGAGCTTAAGCTTCTTATAATATTGTCTGCCTATCTTATTGTCTCCCCATATTCATAGAAGTCAAGTCGGGTCACCTAATGCATTTTTATAGACCCCCGTTAACGCGTTGTGGACCCCCATTATTTTTCCACGCAAGCGTAGACCCCTGTCGGGCTCCCGTGGACCCCTGGGGGTCCACCTGGACCACTTTGGGAATCTATGGTCTAGATTTTCACGTTTATACAAACCTTGTAAGTGTCTGCAACATGTTGCCAAGTATCAATGATGTTCCGTTAGTAATTAAATAGTTATAGGACAAATTTACCATGAATAGATCACTGTTTACAAAGCAGTCAAATATCACGACGTTCTAAATTAATTGCATGGTAAAATGTATGCCAGTAATTAGTGTATTCATTCAACTATTCACATGCATAATTTCATGTACAATGCTACATGCTACAAAAAAAGCGGCCGTGCCATATATCTAAGAAACATTCCTAACTTTCCAATATAGCATTTATTAATATGGTACATTATCGTACACAAGCGTTAGGAAAAAATAAAACACAGTATCGTACACACGCTCGTTCATGCCTCTATTGGTTAAATAGTGTAATAAAAAATATTGGTTAAATAGTGTAATAAGCTACAATATGATAAATATTTACCTAAACAGTAGTACTTAAGTACTTACATGTGGTAAATATTTAATTTCCCTAAGGGGTCTATAGTTAGAATCCTGATCCGTGAAATCTTCAATAGAAATTAGCTGTATGAATTTTATTTGTCTTAAATATAATTAGATTATATCTCAAATCTCAAGCGCATACTTAAATAAAGTACCTACGTAAATAGTACCTACTTTCTGTCATAGTCAAATACATTTAAAAAAGTAGGTGTCCATAAATAAATGACCTATAAATTATTTCGAAACAACAAGTGTGTTATCACCTGTACCAATTCAATACCGGTATTATACTGTAAATTTTGGGATGTTACCTAAATATATTGAACAGCCGCTTTTTTGTAGCCATCCAAACTTGGTCGGGTTATGTAGGTTTTCAATACTTCGTCAGTATTATAATTGTTTTTCTTTAATTACTGAATTAAATGACATGAAATTATGCATGTGAATAGTTGAATGAATACACTAATTATTGGCATACATTTTACCATGCAATTAATTTAGAACGTCGTGATATTTGACTGCTTTGTAAACAGTGATCTATTCATGGTAAATTTGTCCTATTACTATTTAATTACTAACGGAACATCATTGATACTTGGCAACATGTTGCAGACACTTACAAGGTTTGTATAAACGTGAAAATCTAGACCCTAAAGTGCATACTTTAAGAACTAAGGCCTAATAAGCGTATTTTACGTTTATATTTTTATCTTTTAAACCCTACGATTTTTTCTAAATCTGTTTTTTAAACAAATATACACAAATTCAAAACAACGTATGTAAAAATCTACAGCTCTCATGTAAGCGCTTTATATGAAAACTAGCTAATGGCCAAACGTTCGCGTAGCGGAAACTTGAATTTCTCCGAAGTTTATGCATGCACTAGTTTTATTCATATATACACAATTACACACAAATACACACTAATTTTTGGATACATCTCTTTTCTTCTAAAGTCTATGGATTAAAAAAAGTTCCGCCAGGACAACGTTCGCCCAGCGGAATCAGTTTTTGGTGAATTTCTCCACAATGGTTGCTTGCACAAATTTTTTTTACCATACACAATTATACGACGTCATACACTAAATATCTGCATATTTAAAATCTTTAAATTCAACAACATTCCGCTGCACGAACGCACGCCCATATTCATGAGCAGTACGACCGCGACACGCGACTCGGCGACTGTCGCGCTGCTACTAGCATGGCTTGAGTAAGCCGAAAACGTAATAAATGATTTGATGATGTTGACATCAATAACTTTCTTGCCGAGAACTTTGACTCAAGCGGCATTGTTTCTGGAGACTCAGCTAACGGGTCTTATCTCAAACAATAGGGCATTAAATATTTGTCGTTAAGGGACTGGAACAGGACCTTATACTACATTACCGCCATCTGGCGTGAACAAAAACAACACCCCATTCCCATGAATAAACGAAATAAAAAACGTTGTATATACAGTTGCATATTTTATTACAGTAATTATTTGTATGTTAATAGAAAAATCTCCGACATGGTGACACTTAACAAGGCTAAAAATATTGAAATGGTCGACTATCGTACAACACGCGGCTTCGTGTCGACAATAGTTGAACCGACTCTGACACACTCATAGGAACATTTGCACCTTATCCTAACGCGATATATCTCTATCGGACGTGCTTCACCGCCCGTGTACCGACTGTGCTTCACACAATATTCTCCATATCAACTTCATACAAGAAAGAAACCAATACATTCATGACACCCAGCAGCAGATTAAACCCTTAAAAATTTTGAGGACAAGTTTCTAAGCTAAGGAATAACTAATAAATACAAGAAAATAAAACTAAGAATACGGCCGGAACCCAGAAACATAATTTAGCACGGGTAGTATTCCACGACTTTCCAGAAAATATAAATTATCTCGTCCACCCATTTTCTAAGTTTGAGCTTAAACAATTTTTACAATAGGCAATGCTAAAACATGCCCAACTAGAAATTTATATTAGCATAACATTATAAATCCGTAAGTGAATGTTATCCTACCTTTATCTCTTAACCACTTCACGGCCCAAACATAAAAAACGTTGTGTCTCGCGTAGATCTGCACCTACCATGGGTCAAAGGACAAAACAAATTTGGAACATACACAACAAATAGGTATGAACCTTTAAATTCAAGAAATGAATACAATTGTATCAAGTAAAACTGCTGGAATACCAGATACAAAACAGAAGCCGGTACACAGGTGATATCACACGTAAGATCTACGATAAGCTTATCTCTACCATAGCTAGCGAGGAAACCTTACACCCTCGACCTCTCTTGTAAATAAAATTCTATCGACCGCAAACAAAACTGGTCTGGGGTCAAAATTTTGTGTCGTAAATAAATCTTTCTTAATTTACTAATTGCATTAATCATTTTACATAAAATAAATCTCGTGCGAACGCTATGGCTGCCATACGCTTATCGAAAACATACCAACAACAAAAAAACCAAAGACAATAATTATATACTCAATTTTCAGTCGTACAAACTTATCAAAACCAACAAGTGTCACAATAAAGCGTGCAAATATAAAATAGAAGCCAAAATTAATACTTGAAAAATAAAGTATAATTTATAATACTGGAAAATACTTGATTACACTTTGAATACGATTCGTCAAACGTAAATAATATATAATGGCAATTTCAATCTCCGCATCACAGTCTTGTATGTATAAAGAACGGATTTTAATAATAAAAATAAAAGCATAATATAAAGTAATACACAAGTGTAACATGTACCGCGCACGATATACATAAATATATGTATATTCTTTCTATAACTATTTATTTCACATTTACAACTACGGCTTGGAAGTGAAAAATAAAATATTGAAAGTTAATACTTATTCTAATGTAACAATATCATAAAGTTGTTACAGTAAATTGCACTTATTTATTATCACTTAACATTATTATTTATATCTGTAAATTTTTCATTATTCTTAATAATTTTACATTATTTTTAATTTTTAATAGTCCAATGAGAATCATTTTTTCGTGCAAATAATAACATTTTTCTATCACTACTTCGCTGTACTTATAAAATATTTCCCGCTAATTAAAGTTGCATAAAGTGTTATAATATAATCTGTAACTCAATTATTTAGAATGTAAATATCTATTTGTATATTAGATGTATGACGTAATTAATGTAAGACAAACGTTTGGTATTCAATACAATTAAAGATACCTCAACATAGGTTACAACCTTTTGATTTAGTCACTTGTAAATTATGAAGGTATTTTTTAATGTCGAAAACCGAGCAGAATGATAACCTGGTGGTAAGCAATCAGCATTGCCCATGGACACCCGCAACAACAGAGAAGTTACGAGTACGTTGCCGTCCTTTTAGGCATTCGAGTTTTGGAGATTTAGGGATTTGGGGAGGGGAAGGATGGAGCCTCCGGTAACCTCACTCACACGGCGAAACACAACGCTGTGGTTGATTCACGCCGATTTTCTGTAAGGCCGTGGCAGATTGAGAGTGGTATCATTCCTGTCGAGCCGACCCATTCGTACCGAAGCATGGCTCTCCCACATTTAGGTTTGCCCATATGACGCTGTCCTTGTCAACCCGGATCGAATATCAACCTTATAATTTTAACACATTATGCTTCTTTCTTAGCACTTATGTACCTCCTGCACCATAGTTCCACAAGGGTTAAATTCGAGAATCCACAAGTCATAAAATACATCTTCAACTTAAATACCTAATTGACTCATATTAATTACGTCATACAATAAAAAAATGGAATACACCAGTACCAATGTACAACAAAATAAACCTGTAATAGAACAGGACATAAAAGTAAAATTTAAGTACAAATAATAATAATTAGTACAAAGCATATCTTCTTACCTAGTTGGCCCTAACGTAGAGAAATACAACAATGTCCCGACTCCCGACGCCTAACATTTACACTATAGACGTGTTCAGACAGGCAGACGTAGGTGCGATCGAAAATGCATTTTATTGCTTACGGAATAAAGTACATAATTATTTCATGTAGTTTTAAGTAGCTACGTCACAAGTCTGAACAGACGCCTACATACACGCATGTTGCACTTACAAAGGTATTTCACTGGAATAAACTCTGCACTTTTAACTTGGGCAAATACTGCGGCTGGGAGGATTTCCGTATTTTTACCTGAAAAAAAAAACAATTATTAATATATACCTGGAACTAATATACCACATTGAAACACTTAAAAAAACATCTATGTACATACTTCATGGTAATCTTCCTCCTTGATTTCCAACGGGTCTTTCATCATCTGTAAACAAAGAACAAAATATTTTAATCATTGCGCAACGACAAAGTTATGCGCAAACCGTTTGCTCGTTTTGCGCAACGAATCTCACGACCGGTAATTAATTCATTTAGGCGGCGTCCTTATTGGGAGCCATCGTACGAGACGCGTTCGTACGTGGCGCAATGCGTTTCATCGCACGATCAAAGTGGTTTTACGATGACCTAACAGATGTCCTCATAGATCGCGCGATGTGCGACGGCATTGCACGATGGCTGGCGCTACTTTAACAGAGATGCACAGATTTTGCTGTCGGGCAATATTAAGGAAACATGCACAACATGAAATACTTTAGAGGTCCAGGAATCTACGAAATAACGAAGAAGACTTTTACATTATTTGTCCATGTTAAAACAAACATTTGACTACATCTACAATGGCGATAGCGTATGTATGTACTCACAAAGTAATTTAGGACGAACGCCTTATATTGTTAACTTCTGATCGATGAAGTGAGGTATATTTGGAAAGGGATGATGACAAACATGTGACAGAGGAGAACGGACGAAGAAACTCCCGGCAGTGTAGCTTGATGATGTGGTGCCGCAGCAGGTGCTCGGTGTGCTCGTTACCTTGGGGGGCCGTCCCCTGCGCGGGGGGTGTGGCGTGTGTGACAGCACGCGCAGCTGGTGGTGCCGCAGCAGGTGCTCGGTGTGCTCGTTACCTTGGGGGGCCGTCCCCTGCGCGGGGGGTGTGGCGTGTGTGACAGCACGCGCAGCTGGTGGTGCCGCAGCAGGTGCTCGGTGTGCTCGTTACCTTGGGGGGCCGTCCCCTGCGCGGGGGGTGTGGCGTGTGTGACAGCACGCGCAGCTGGTGGTGCCGCAGCAGGTGCTCGGTGTGCTCGTTACCTTGGGGGGCCGTCCCCTGCGCGGGGGGTGTGGCGTGTGTGACAGCACGCGCAGCTGGTGGTGCCGCAGCAGGTGCTCGGTGTGCTCGTTACCTTGGGGGGCCGTCCCCTGCGCGGGGGGTGTGGCGTGTGTGACAGCACGCGCAGCTGGTGGTGCCGCAGCAGGTGCTCGGTGTGCTCGTTACCTTGGGGGGCCGTCCCCTGCGCGGGGGGTGTGGCGTGTGTGACAGCACGCGCAGCTGGTGGTGCCGCAGCAGGTGCTCGGTGTGCTCGTTACCTTGGGGGGCCGTCCCCTGCGCGGGGGGTGTGGCGTGTGTGACAGCACGCGCAGCTGGTGGTGCCGCAGCAGGTGCTCGGTGTGCTCGTTACCTTGGGGGGCCGTCCCCTGCGCGGGGGGTGTGGCGTGTGTGACAGCACGCGCAGCTGGTGGTGCCGCAGCAGGTGCTCGGTGTGCTCGTTACCTTGGGGGGCCGTCCCCTGCGCGGGGGGTGTGGCGTGTGTGACAGCACGCGCAGCTGGTGGTGCCGCAGCAGGTGCTCGGTGTGCTCGTTACCTTGGGGGGCCGTCCCCTGCGCGGGGGGTGTGGCGTGTGTGACAGCACGCGCAGCTGGTGGTGCCGCAGCAGGTGCTCGGTGTGCTCGTTACCTTGGGGGGCCGTCCCCTGCGCGGGGGGTGTGGCGTGTGTGACAGCACGCGCAGCTGGTGGTGCCGCAGCAGGTGCTCGGTGTGCTCGTTACCTTGGGGGGCCGTCCCCTGCGCGGGGGGTGTGGCGTGTGTGACAGCACGCGCAGCTGGTGGTGCCGCAGCAGGTGCTCGGTGTGCTCGTTACCTTGGGGGGCCGTCCCCTGCGCGGGGGGTGTGGCGTGTGTGACAGCACGCGCAGCTGGTGGTGCCGCAGCAGGTGCTCGGTGTGCTCGTTACCTTGGGGGGCCGTCCCCTGCGCGGGGGGTGTGGCGTGTGTGACAGCACGCGCAGCTGGTGGTGCCGCAGCAGGTGCTCGGTGTGCTCCCTACCTTGGGGGGCCGTCCCCTGCGCGGGGGGTGTGGCGTGTGTGACAGCACGCGCAGCTGGTGGTGCCGCAGCAGGTGCTCGGTGTGCTCGTTACCTTGGGGGGCCGTCCCCTGCGCGGGGGGTGTGGCGTGTGTGACAGCACGCGCAGCTGGTGGTGCCGCAGCAGGTGCTCGGTGTGCTCGTTACCTTGGGGGGCCGTCCCCTGCGCGGGGGGTGTGGCGTGTGTGACAGCACGCGCAGCTGGTGGTGCCGCAGCAGGTGCTCGGTGTGCTCGTTACCTTGGGGGGCCGTCCCCTGCGCGGGGGGTGTGGCGTGTGTGACAGCACGCGCAGCTGGTGGTGCCGCAGCAGGTGCTCGGTGTGCTCGTTACCTTGGGGGGCCGTCCCCTGCGCGGGGGGTGTGGCGTGTGTGACAGCACGCGCAGCTGGTGGTGCCGCAGCAGGTGCTCGGTGTGCTCGTTACCTTGGGGGGCCGTCCCCTGCGCGGGGGGTGTGGCGTGTGTGACAGCACGCGCAGCTGGTGGTGCCGCAGCAGGTGCTCGGTGTGCTCGTTACCTTGGGGGGCCGTCCCCTGCGCGGGGGGTGTGGCGTGTGTGACAGCACGCGCAGCTGGTGGTGCCGCAGCAGGTGCTCGGTGTGCTCCCTACCTTGGGGGGCCGTCCCCTGCGCGGGGGGTGTGGCGTGTGTGACAGCACGCGCAGCTGGTGGTGCCGCAGCAGGTGCTCGGTGTGCTCGTTACCTTGGGGGGCCGTCCCCTGCGCGGGGGGTGTGGCGTGTGTGACAGCACGCGCAGCTGGTGGTGCCGCAGCAGGTGCTCGGTGTGCTCGTTACCTTGGGGGGCCGTCCCCTGCGCGGGGGGTGTGGCGTGTGTGACAGCACGCGCAGCTGGTGGTGCCGCAGCAGGTGCTCGGTGTGCTCGTTACCTTGGGGGGCCGTCCCCTGCGCGGGGGGTGTGGCGTGTGTGACAGCACGCGCAGCTGGTGGTGCCGCAGCAGGTGCTCGGTGTGCTCGTTACCTTGGGGGGCCGTCCCCTGCGCGGGGGGTGTGGCGTGTGTGACAGCACGCGCAGCTGGTGGTGCCGCAGCAGGTGCTCGGTGTGCTCGTTACCTTGGGGGGCCGTCCCCTGCGCGGGGGGTGTGGCGTGTGTGACAGCACGCGCAGCTGGTGGTGCCGCAGCAGGTGCTCGGTGTGCTCGTTACCTTGGGGGGCCGTCCCCTGCGCGGGGGGTGTGGCGTGTGTGACAGCACGCGCAGCTGGTGGTGCCGCAGCAGGTGCTCGGTGTGCTCGTTACCTTGGGGGGCCGTCCCCTGCGCGGGGGGTGTGGCGTGTGTGACAGCACGCGCAGCTGGTGGTGCCGCAGCAGGTGCTCGGTGTGCTCGCGCGCCGACCGCAGCCGCGCGCCGCACGACGAGAACACGCACGAGTACTCGCTCTCTGCTGACAACGTTACTACTATTGTATACTTTTTCCAACCAGTCAAATTAATTAATTTAACCAAATATCGAAAACGATACGTTTCTACGCGAAAAACGACTGACTGACTGAATCTTAAATATTAGCTGCAAAAAGTCTCGTCAAATCAATTTATGAGCATTTTTACTGCTATAATTATCTACGGATTGACAGAATAAAACAAGACATTCCCATAACACTTAGAATTTGATGTAAATGGGATAAAAATCTTTACAATTATGTACTCACTCTCATTGTCATCAGTGTCGGCGTCAGCGCTGTGATGCTGGGCCGTGTGTCGCTGCAGCAGGCTGGGGTTGGCGAAGCTCAGTCCGCAGACGGTGCAGGCGGCGCGCCGCGACTCACTGCGCGCCGGGCTCTTTAGCTCCGAGTGCGCCTCGCGTCTGTACCAAACAATATTGTACAAACACTATAATAATTAAATAATAAACCCGAAGGGCACCTTGAGTCAAGGTGACGGGAATTAGCGATCCCACGGGCTACCATCATCCCGATTACTCCAGGGAGAAGTCACCGTTCCTTATCTCCGGCTTGCCTTTATTGGCTGGCCGGAGTAAACGATGAAGAGGAACAGGTCTCCCACCTCTGGCTTGCCTTCATTGGCCTTACAGAGCCGAGTTGCAAGAGTAGTGATCCTGCTTGGAAGGTGGAAGCCGTTTCGTAAGCGGCGAGTGGGCCAGTGATGCAGGGTGCTTAGGCAGATGCAGATGATCTGAATAGAAAGCTGGTGGCAGTTTCTTCTCGTTATTTTTTTCATTCTTCAGCCACTTACATTTCCGTTGTAGTAGCAGAGGTTATGTCTCTACCTGCCATTTTTACGTGTATAAATTAAATTATTTCGGCAGGTGCCATAATCCTTCCATAGTTCCTATCATACTAGCCTATCAAGCAACCCACACCCATAGCCTTGTACTTTGTTTCTTATATATCCGCAATATTCCTACACTAACTGGGGACTGTCCTTGGGTGCATTTCCATAGTGCATACAGGGATAGTCGCCGGTTTGTGTCCCATTTCATTTAGATTAAAGTTGTCTAAAGGGCCTCTGCGCAGTTGGCTCCGGCCCCTCGTACGTCTTCCAAATGACCGGGACCCTGTGGTCCCGTGATTGGTAAAGGCATACATAATAATAATAATAAACCGTTTGTTCGTTTCTTTTGTGACTGATATGATTTTTATGACATGGAAATGATGATCAGGAATGTGAAAATTCTATTTTTTTCTAGGTCTCATATCCTGAATAACTGTTCCAGGTTAGGGACTGCGAGAATTGGGTTTTTTTTAACTCTAAATCTGCTTTTATTAGAAAACAGTTTGAATTAAAGAAAAGTCGTAGATCTAAGCAAGATGCTTTTTTTTTCTATTGCACCTTCTTCTTCTTAACACGTTAACCAGAACGTAAGTCACCAATGACCTACGGTAACGAAGGAACGGAAACTTCGATAGTTTTCTGTTGGCCGTCAAAGGTTAAAAAAGAGGCAAAATCTATGTAAAAAAAGGTTAAATAACTAATAATACTAAATAAAACACGTGCTTACGTAATAACATTTGTAAGGCTCTGTAATACATGAGTACTGACCTGTGCATATACATATGGTTACGCTGCTGGAACTGCTCCCCGCAGACGGTGCAGTCGTACGTCGCTTCTACGGGACGCCCGTTCAAGTGACGCTTGCGATGCTGGTTCAGATTTGTTACCTATAATATTATATTATGATTTATTAGTAAATTTAGTTACATTAGAATTTCAAAAGAAAATAACGTAGGTAGAATAAGAAGCGAAACTGACAAGCCAGGCATTCGATTAGGCTACATAAATAAAAACAAAGTTATTTGATTATAGTTTTTTTTTATGTTAGGACGATAAACGGATAGACGGATTATCTGGTGGCAAGAAATGACGCCGCCCATGGTCACCCGCAACAACTGAGGACGACGAGTGCGTTGCAGACCTTTTGGGGATTAGGGATTTTGAGATTTTGGCATTGGTGGTCCCCAAAGGATTGGGCCTCCGGTAACCTCACTCACTCACACGGCGAAACGCAACGCTGTTGTTATTGCACACCGGTTTTCTGTGAGGCTGTGGTATCACCCATTTGTACCGAAGCATGGCTCTCCGACACTTTGAAACTAGTGTTTGGAAGTCTACACGAAATAAAACTCATTTCATTATTTACTTTAGGGAATAAAGTCCTAATCAATTTATTATAGAATCGACTATTGTCCTCAATACCTGCGCGTACGCCTTGTTGCAGCCGGGTTCCGGGCACACAAACGGCCGCTCGCCAGTGTGCAATCTCACATGGTTGTTCAGATTCGTAACCTGCAAAAATAAAATAATCAACACTTATACCTTTCATCTTACATGTTAAAAATAAGATATAAATATTAAACCTACTTACTTTGCCATATTCTTACGAAACTTAAACGAAAAACAAAACGCTTTCGTTTTATAAGACGCGCCGTTCGGGAGAAAAAAGAAAAAAATAAATGATAGGAACTCTGCAGCAATCACGTCTATTACAATAAAAAAGGCAACAGACATTCTCGAATTTTCTGTTTTTTTTTTTCTTACTCAGACCGGCTTTGGTCTTTCTTTATAACTTTAAATAATGCCTTTTCTGTATGAATTGCTTCATCTGTGTACGCAGCGCGGGTTGCTATACAACTCTTTTGTCTTTCTGTGTGAACCCTTTTTCTAAATTGAGCTTAAAGGATGTTACATATTGTTTATAATCAAGTTTAAATAAAATCAATACCTTTATGATTTTGGACTTGAAAGCAGTAATTTGCACGCAAACCTATACATAAAGCCTCTTGTCCATCAATATACACATTATATTGGAGATAGTAAAAATTACATACCTGTGTGAAAGCCTTTCCACATTCGGAACATTTAAATGGCCGTTCATTGGTGTGGATCCGAAGATGCGCTCTCAGGTTGTTCGACTGGGAGAATGCTGTAATATAAATTAAAATAAATTTTTAACAAATGTTTCTTTGGAGTAGTTTTGCCAACCCAGGTGCCAAATAGGTATACATTATCAGTAAACTAATTTTTCGCCATAAATATCCAATAAGAATTCTATATAAATCCTATGAGAATTCTATTGGCTATTGCTTGTTATTATCATAAGAAATAATTCCAGCTTACTATGTTACATTAAATAACAGTAGTCTCCAACTAGTCAAATTCAACACTTTTATCTAAATGACAAAAAATGTATCTATGTATGTATAAAGTCTATTTTTTTTTTAATATCTCGATAGCATTGGAAATTAGTGTAACAAACCAATAAATAAAATTATATTTATTATTACAGTATATGTATTATTGTGTTCAATCATTAAAATAATTTATATTTAACTATAGAAACTGCGTAACTATGTCTTTCAATGCAAACTCACCCTTATTGCAGTAAGTGCAGACAAAGCGTCTCTCCGCACGATGGTTGCGCAAATGGTTCTGTAGCTGCATATTCTTCTGAAAAGACTTGTGGCAGAGGCCACAATACAATGATGATTCATTGCCTTCCTGCAAGGTTCAAACATGTAGCTGTTACACTACACTTGGGACACCTCTTTAATGCAAAAAAACTCAAAATAGGTGCCACTAATAACTCTTATTTTATATTGTGCAAAAATGAGCTCAGTAACAAAAAGTATAAAGCAGATAATAGAGTAACTATCATTCACTTCAAGCAAAAAATAATAACATAGATTTAAGGCATGCTCATAGATTACAGAGTTATCAAAGTAGGTTTTAATTCACCAAGTTTAAAACTCATTTGATGTAATACCACAGTTACTCAAAAAATAACTAATAATATTGTACTGCATAGACAGAGACACTTAAACAAAACAAAATGAGTAGTAATAAAAACTAGTTCAACTAGAAGTCACTTTAAGATAATAGTTATTCAAAAGTGCTCTTAATTTTAAACAAATGTTGGTCTATGAATACTTGTACCACTACGTTGCATACAGGTAGTTATTTTATTATGTACATGCCTTTCTTGTCTTGATTATGTAAAGTGTTAACAAATATCAGATAACATGAATATGACCTCCCTAGTCTAGTGCATAAACAAATGATATAATAATATAATTTTGATATAAACCTCTTCAGTGTTGCTGGAGGTCTGTGGTACTGTCTGATCACTGCCATTCTCGCCAATAGTAATCTCAGGCACTAGTGGCTGACACTTGAAGCATGCATATATTCCATCCTTGCCTGTTTCAAACAGTTGCTGTAAAACAACAATAAAAATGTATTGCAAGATTTAGTGACTTGTTACTTTTTTTGTGTATTTGGTGCATTTAACAAACCTAGAACTATACATAAATCCTCATAATACACATAGTTATACGCCGGTCAAAATCTCCAAGCCTTCTAAATATAATAGATTAAACAAGTTTTTATGTATGTGAATATCTATAAAATGCAATGCTATTATTATTTATCTGAGATGCTTGAGGTACCTACAGCATATGCCAAGGTTCACTATTCAAGTACATAAAAAAGGATCACTGTTGTTTTTTACACTGCGCTGAGCCAGACGTAAAAAAACACTCGGAGCGACAAAAAATATAAAAAAAAATACGCGGGCAGGTTTCGAATGTCAAGTTTTTTCCCATTTGTGCTTAGTCTTCTACAATATTCCAATTCATTCAATTACAAAATGTATGATTTGTGAAAACGAAAGCAGCTCAAATGTCCAGGGACGTTATTTTTATAACAATCTCATAAAGAAAACAAAAAAATATTGATGTTATATTTCGAGACGACGCGTATAATAAGTAAACAGATACTTACAACTGCAGGTTTAAGACAAATCCCACATTTGTCCATAGCGGACGATCACTTAAACACTAAATAAATCAAATTAATTAAGAAAATTGATGATATTTATTTAAAAAAAGCAGCCCTCAGTGGCTCTCTCCGAAAAATCACAGGGCGGGTCGGGAGCGGGGAGTGCGGGAGGAGCGGCAAAAGACATAAACTCATAGACAATGATAAAATGTTTACTTTTAGTTTATGATATGATATGTCACTATATAATTTTACTTAATATTTCTTTGTAAATTCCTTTAAAAAATAATCTTAAACCTTAAATGAAAATCAATAACCAACCATCTTACAACGATAGGAACAAAATAGCCGATGCATGATTGTAAAAGATCCTTCAGCCAAAGAGTATGTAACCACTACGTTTACCTTTAGCCGCAAGGTTCTTTTTTGACGTTTCTGACGTTCTTCTTCATTCTTATTCGAAATTGTTCATCATTCATTCAAAATTGCTACCACTCGACGAAATACGAAATTATCGTGTTTTACTCTTCCGAACTGCGTATTTTTTTATTTACTATGCTTTTTGTGATGTGTTGATCAAATCAAAAACAACTTTATAATTGTTATATTTATATAGTTTTTTATGCTCATGTAAAGGGCTTTGTTGTTAAGTGTTTACTATTATTTTTGAGAAAGATGGCAGAGAAGATTGTCATAACCAGTGGCAGTAACCAGCCCATTGTAAAGATAGGGCACTACACGCTGGGAGCTACTCTTGGCGTAGGTACCTTCGGCAAGGTGAAGATTGGGGAGCACCAGCTGACCAAACACAAGGTCGCCGTAAAGATTCTGAACAGACAGAAAATAAAGAGCCTCGATGTCGTGGGGAAGATCAGACGTGAGATACAGAACCTTAAGTTGTTCAGACATCCGCATATTATTAAACTGTACCAGGTATGGAGCTACATACATGTGATAATGTTGTTTGACCTTGAATAAGTCACTTGACTTGTAAAGTTTACTATTGTTCATCCTGTAACCAACAGTATAATATTTCCAGGTGATATCCACTCCAACTGACATATTTATGATAATGGAATATGTGTCTGGTGGTGAACTGTTTGACTACATAGTTAAGAGAGGCAAGCTACAAGAGCATGAAGCTAGGAGATTTTTCCAACAAATTATATCAGGTGTGGACTATTGCCATAGACACATGATAGTGCACAGAGATCTCAAACCTGAGAACCTCCTGCTTGATCACAATATGCATGTGAAGATAGCTGACTTTGGACTTTCCAACATGATGATGGATGGAGAATTTTTAAGGACATCATGTGGATCACCTAATTATGCAGCACCCGAGGTAAACCTCCTTATTCTGAATTTTACAGTAATCTCATTAAAAATATAGTTTTAAAAACATTCAACATTGCTTTAAATATTGACTTGTTGAAAAATGGTATATTCCATTTCCTAACAATAAACTGCTAATATTATGATGTTAATTCTAAATATATTTGAATTTATAAATACTCAGCTAAACAGTAATGCAACAATAACAATATATATTCAAATAGATATTTCTTTATCTCTCTACTTCTAAGTTATTTCTTAGTTATCTTTGTCTGAACAGCTATCAATATTGGATGTTTCATATTCAACAGGTTATATCTGGAAAACTATATGCAGGCCCTGAAGTGGATGTATGGTCATGTGGAGTCATACTCTATGCCCTGCTCTGTGGAACACTACCATTTGATGATGAGCATGTACCTACACTGTTCCGGAAAATTAAGTCTGGCATATTCCCAATACCTGAGTACCTGAATAAAAGTGTAGTTAGTTTGTTGTGTATGATGCTTCAAGTAGACCCAATGAAGAGAGCCTCTATTGAGGATGTGAAGAAACATGAATGGTTCCAGAAAGACCTGCCAGGGTATCTGTTCCCGTCTCCCGTTGAGCAGGTAATTACAGTATGTAAACCCCACCTTTTTTAATACTAGTCTGTAAGTAGTTTTAGTTGGGTCATGGGTGCATAGTTCCTTAAAAAAAGGTTTTACTAATAATGGTGTTTTGTTCCTGGTGCCTAGTGGTGATATTGCTCCCTTCATTTTCTTCATTATCATACAATTTTTATTTGTCCTATTTGACAACATAGTAAAAAGAATAAGCAGCTTAATGTTGACTTCATAATCCAAATTAAAAATGCTATTTAAAAAAAAACATGGTGTTGTGACTTTCCTAATCAAATAATTGCTACATAAATAGTGCATAATTATAATCTGTCCGCAAAACAGACATGCTGTAATATTATTGAAATAATATTCATATTTTTATTAAAATATGGACAACACAGACAGCACAATGGCTAGATAAAAAAAATAAGGCATAGTAATAATGCGTTAGCATTATGTGGAACCGAGGCCGCTTGCTGTATTGTTTATGTATTGTAGTAAATGTGGAAATGAGTGTGCTACTCTGTGACCCGTATTTAAATAATGACATTGACACACAAATAAGTGAGTCATCAATCACATCACATACATTATTCATTCACGCTTTGACATTCTTTAGAAATATATTGTTTACTTTACAAAATTCTGGAGATAACAAGGATTCTGTTGAGATCATGCTTATATTGATCGAAAGGCAAAAAGTTTATGCGAATTGCAAAGTCGAAAACTAAGACAACATATTTTTTGCAACATTAGAATTTTACTTGAAAACTTGACTTTGATAACAATATGGCAGTTTCCAACTAGTCAAATTCGATACTTTTATCCAAATGTCAAAAACGATACTATTTCATGAAAATTGTATGAAAAACTGAGTTATGACTTCATATTATTATTGTATATTATTTTTGCGTCAAATAGCTCACTTATTTCTTAATAATTAGCTAAAAAATATCTAAAACTTAGTGTATCTATCAATTGATGAATAAGAGTATAGTTTTTTTAATATTTTATTGTATTGAAATGTTGAATTATTTTTTTTAAACTTGGAAACTACCCAATTGTCGTAGTCTATTGTATACATGTAGGTGTATTACATGCGCGGGTACATTAAGAGGATACTCATGTAAATTTTGAAGGTCCATAAATAAATATTTATTCCATATGTGCAGTAAATAAAATAACCTATCCTTATTTACATAAATAACTAACAATTTTTAAGTAATAAAAACCATTTCGATATTACTGTCTACACTTAAATATTGCAGGACAGCAGTGTGATCGACACTGAGGCGATATCCGAAGTGTGCGACAAGTTTGGCGTCAAAGAACATGAAGTCCACAATGCTCTATTGAGTGGAGATCCTCATGACCAACTGGCCATTGCCTACCATCTCATCATAGACAATAAAAGGATCGCTGACGAAGCTGCTAAAGCAGAAATTAAGGACTTCTACGTAGCAAGTAAGAGTAATTTGTGTTTTTTTTATCAACCTTCTAAAAATGTATACTTTGTGTTTTTAAAGTTTACAATTATATAATAGAGCCGATCAAAAGCGAATGCGACATGACCCCATGCCGAGGACAGTGTTTGGGCTTGGTCAGACTCAACTTTTTTTTATATTATAAGACGGCAAACGAGCAGACAGATTGCCTGATGGTAAGCAATCGGCGCCATCCAACACCAAAGAAGTTACGGGTGCGTTGCCGGTCTTTTCAGGATAAGGGTTTCGGATATTAAAGGATTGGGAAGGGATCGAGGGATGCGGGAATGTTGAGGGATTGGGCCTCCGATAACCTCACTTTGGTTTTTAGCCGACCCATGCCGCGAACTTTGGCTCTCCCACACTTAAAGCATTACACTACGAGCATTTTTATCGATTCCATTATTATCATCACACCTTATAACGTTTCAACGTCAACTAGCAAAAGATTTAAATAATTGTTCCCTTATCTCCAAGCAGGTAACTCACCGCCCGCGGCGTCAGAGACGGCACGCCCGCACCCGGAGCGCATTGCACCGCATCCACACCCGCATCAGGACAAAGCGAGAGGGACACCAGTTAAAAGGTCAGAATTAATTTCATATATAAAAATGTGTTACATAGAATATCCGATTTGGCAATATATCTTACAAGACCATCAATGGAAGATGTATACCTGTATTTTCTCATGTCTTATTTCCTGCCATAGGGCGATAAATTAGCCGATGGATTACCTTATTAAGTAAGCAATCAGAGCAGCCGACGGAAAACATTAGACGAGTGAGTTGCCGGTCTTTTAGGGGTTGAAGGTTAAGGGACAGTGGGGATGGAGGATGAGGAGATCGGGTCTCTGGTAACCTCCGGTACTCCGGTCGACCAATCCCGAAATGCCCTGGACGAATAAAATATCGCAACATGGTATAAAACAGTCGCTTTCTCTATCGCTATGTATGGTAAAATCTTTAAAACTATGCAACGGATTTGGATTAGAGCGATCGAAGCGGAAAGTTTACATGCATAATAACATCCATGGGGGGGGGAGGTTAGCTTGTTACTTATATACTTTATAATTTTCAATGAAAGTAATTGAATATCGGCCCCCCCTTATTGGTACCTCTTGGGGATTTTATGGTGTAAATTATATTATCCAATATTTTCCAGGGTATAAACGAGGCTAAAACTTGTGGTCAAGGGCAAAGAATACCGATAAATATAATTATTTCAATATTTTTCTGTTTCAGAGCAAAGTGGCACTTGGGAATCAGATCTCAAAGCAAGCCGAACGACATCATGCTAGAAGTGTTCCGCGCCATGAAAGCTCTCGATTACGAATGGAAAGTTATCAACCCTTACCACGTAAGGTAGGTGACAAGTCATTACGAACCAATTTATTAATGAATCTAATAATAGAAATGACCTTCTTCGCCTTAATTGCTAGACGACGGCATCATTAACCTATGGAGATTATCTTAGGTACTAATATTATAAATGCGGAAGTTTGGATGTTTGTTACTCAATGACACCAAAACAGCTGCACGGATCTGGATGAAATTTGCCACAGGTATAGGAATCAGACATAGGCTACTTTTAATCAACATACCACGCGGGCGAAGCCGCGTGCGCTAGCTAGTAATAGATTGACAACAAAGCAAACAAAGCTGAGAATATGGGTCATAATTATAGCGTATTTTTGGATATAGAAGTATTTTTAAAGTTGAACGTGCCTCACACAATACTGGCTTATAGTAA